CTTCCCCGTCAGCCGGCCGTATCGCTTTTAAATGGTCTGGCCCACTTTTGACCAAGGTGGGCAGTATCCGGCCCAAATCCGAAATCAGTTTGACACCCCGGCTCTACCATAACTCTACTTTTTCCTTAAATTCCCCAGAAATCAAAGTAAGACTCATTCTGAATACTGGAAAGTTGTGGAAGTGAAGCAGGATGGCCGCGCGTGGCCCCACAGAATGGCCCCAGCGATGATGGGTAGGGTTGCCATCCGTCCCTTCAAATACGGAATTGAGAAAAAAACAACGCAATAATAATAACAACAGGTTTTGTCCCGTATTTCCCGAGCTGTCATCAATGCAGCATCCTATTCAGCCCCGTACTGGGTAATACTGCCATTGTTGGTTTGATTGGTTTATTTCAGTCAGAGGAGGGCGGGACTCTTGAGGAAGTGTCGATTTGAGAGAACGGCAGAGGCAGCTCCTGAGCGCATCTCCCCTGTCCGTAACGTCCGCGCCGCCATCTCCTGTCGGCCGTGTCGTCCACCCCCCGACCCCTGTCGGCCGCAACATCCGGCACCCCCCCCCCCGTAGTGTCCCTTATTTTTCTGTACTAAAGGTGGGGTAGATCTCAAAGAGTGCAGAGGAAGTTGCTGGACATCCTCTTGCAAGCTCGCGAGCCGTGAAACATCTTCTGCTGTAGAAGCGCCAAAGACCAACAGAAGGAGCTGGGCCCGTATACAAATCGCGTCGTTGTAGAAAAAGTAATCCCATTCCAATTGGAGGGAAGGTCCAGCCAGAGACGAAGCCCGGAGGGGCCCCAGCTGTCCAGTGGAACGAAGTCCAGGAGAGATGGGACGGATGCGGCTAATGCTGATCTCCCTTGCGGAACAATGCGTAGGGCAAAGTTTAGGTGGCCCAAAGGGAAAGAAGTTGGCGTTCGATATAGCGTGTGGCAAGGAATCAGGAATCAGGAAACATTTATTGCCAAAATATGTCAAACATACAAGGAATTGTCTTGGCGGTTGGTGCGTGACAGCAGACAGTGTGACAATAGACAACAAGACAGCAGTGCACAAGTAATAAAATAAAGTAAACTGAAATGCTAATGCAATGGGTTAGTAGAATAAGGCTATGGGTTAGTATAAAACAAGGGAATAAAGTTGAAGTAAAAAAATATTAAGAATATAAAAAATATTTAAAAAATATATATATTAAAAAATAAAGTGCACTAGCGAACAAGTGTCAAAGTGACAGAGTGACGACAAAGTGACGAGTGAAAGATGACAGTAAAGTATGAAGAAAGTGACCGGTGGAATGTTATAGTCAGTCAGTGGGGGGCCGGCTCTGCTGATGAGCCCGACTGCCGACGGGAAGAAACTGTTGGTGTGGCGGGAGGTCGTAGTCCTGATGGACCTCAGCCTCCTGCCAGATGGAAGGGGCACAAACAGGTTTTGTCCGGGGTGAGAGGGGTCGGCCACCATCTTTTTAGCTGCTTCAGAGACCTGGAAGCGAACAAGTCCTGCAGGGACGGCAGATTGCAGCCGATCAGCCTCTCTGCAGAGCGGAGGACACGCTGCAGCCTGCCCTTGTCAAAGGGACATCACAGATGTCTATGCAGCAGGTTCAAGTTAAACATTTCATTTATTTCTACAGCACTGTTGTTTCAGATAAGAGGCTTAAAATAACCTTGATTTTAAACTTGTGATCAACGTATGCAGTTTGTGCTGTGAGTTAGGTCACGTTAACGCTTGTGTCACCAGCTGCATGCTGCAGGGGAAGCTGAATAAATGCTTTGAGCATGGATCTGCATTCTTATTTCTAAACTCCTTTCAAATAGACACGAATAAAAAGATAAACACAAGTGTGAAGTATGCTAATGATGCTAAAAAACAACTTTTCAACATTATTCATAGACATTTCTCTCAAATGACACTGGCCATATTTGCAGCAATAGATCACCATGTTGCCCGTCTCCCTTCATGTATGGACCAAACCTCGGCTAAAACAAGTGAAGAGGAGAAGATAATAATCAGTAGAGAGAAAAGACGTTGCAGAAGGAACTTGGCTAATTAAATCCTAGCACACCGTACAGGAATATGATGTGACGCGTGTAGAAATAAATCACTCACGGTAGTTATTTAGTCTCGGGGTGAAATTGGGAGCAATGCGGTTCTTAAAAAAACTAAATCAGTGAACGCCACATGGCTGCTTAGTTCAGTTTAACTTAACGTCCGTATGTTGAAGGTGCCGACATACTATTAACACCATAGTGTTCAGGAAACATTAGCCGAGCAACGCTTCACGTTAACGCAACACGATCTTACAGTTGTCGAGCTGCTCAGCAACATCCCACCCGGTGGAAGCCACGAGCGCTGCCAGCAGCTTCCTGACGGGCTCTACAAGAGCCATGAGCTTCTGTACTCCACCAATCCTGTTAATGATGAGGTCCAAGCTCGTTACCATACAAACACATGAAGAAATACAGAAAAGTACATTTATTTAATTATGTTCTGCAGGTAGCAACTTATATTTATACATGTGTGTATTTATTCTTTTAGTTAAGCATTTATTTGCTCATACATCTGTTTAAGCATCAGCACAGAACGTGACCTGGACCCTGTACTCAGGGCGCCTCCAGAAGAAGGCCAGCATCTACGAGGACATGGGTCACCCTTTGTTCCACTGCCACAGGCTGAGGAACAGCAGCTTTCCTCCCAGCTCCCACTGTGGGGGGACAAAGACACACAGAAACGGACACGTCTCTTTGAACCAAGCACCCATTTCACTTTTTAAGCCATTGATTTCTTTTGTTTTGTGTCTATCTTTTATCTAGTTTAGATTGAATGTCTTGTCTTAATGTCCTTATACATTATTTTAATTTCGTTGTATTTTATTACAATGACAATAAACATGCTTACGTGACCTCAGCTTACCTTATTGTGTCAATAGAAGATGATTGAATGATACATATATAAAGCATGTCATGATTATAGCAGTTAAATTGGATGTAGCCGACATTCAGTATAAAATCAATAAGTATGATTGATACTGTGTCTGACCACAGTGAGGGGATACACACAGTGATTGGCAGAACGTTTAATCTTCCATTGGATAATCTTCAATAAAATTGGTTTATAGAAAGAAAAATGATCTGTCCACGGGGGTGAGACAATATCTGTTTTCATGTTAGGAAAACTCTGCCTAATCGTACTTATGGAAAGTGTTCCTGAAGGACTCAACGTGTCTGAGAGAAAGTCCTCAATTGAAGTAAACCACCCTGGACTTGAGACTGGGAGAGAAGAGATGTGGGACTCTGTGACTCTGTGATAAGGTGAGGACGTGGGAGTCAGGATAAGGACGGCTTGAGGACATCTGGTGGACCAAAGGAGAACTTTAGTACTGCTTTATGAAAGCTGTGGAGAAATTGGATTGCGGCCGGAAGAAGGACAGAAAGACAAAGGAAATAATCCTTGGGCCTTGGTCTGATGCAAGTTAGTCTTCTGGGGGTGTATTATTCAAATTATTATTATTTAAAATATAGGCCCAAATCTGCCCAGCCATTGAGGATATGCTGAAGTGAAGCAGTGTCAGTCGGGGCCAGAGGGTTTCCTGCTCTCAGGATGTTTACTGAGGATGTTTTCTACCCTCTTTTCCCTCGGAGGTGTGGTCCGTTTCCTTCACACGCTGCACGAGGACAAGTGCTACATGTGGAAGAACCACAAAGTTTCGGTTGATTTTGAAAACAGATCAGGACATTTGACAGATTTATAACTGTTGAGGAATTAATTATGTGGACTATAAATAGTTTAATAATCATTAGGTATTAAGTATAGAAACCTTTTGTAAGATCATGGAATCCGGAGATGTGTTGTTAAACTGAATAGTTTTGAGTCTTTTGACACTTTTTGTTGTTGTACTTTATGGTGACTTGACAGAAATAGTTACTGTGCGTTCTTTACAAAAAGAGGAGCCGCACTCACACACATGAGCCACTAGAGGGAGACGCAGGAACCCTGGTCCACTAGGAGACATCATGAGCTGCTCCCCATTGTTACCACAGCCACTGATCAAGAAATAACATATGTATTATTTACACAGGGGTTTCTTCATACGTCATGCATAGCCTGATTTATAATTCAGAAAACATGCCATATGTATTCACTGACTTATGGAGTAATGCAAGGCGATATCTAAAATATCTTTTACTTTAATATGTTGACAAATTGAAAGAAGAATTTGACTTTTGATTCTGTTCTCAGAATTGTATGTAATATTAAATGATATTGGAAAACGCACTTTGCACCAACTATAAAAACTATGTGAGTTCTGTGAGGGGTTTGGGTGGAGATGGTGGAGATAGGACTCAAACGCTGATTTTCAAACAAAAAAGGACTTTAATAGTCACCAGATCCAAAAATCAACTCAAAAATGCCAAGGGCAAAAACGCAGACAGGGACCAGGGACAAGACACTACACCCCACGATCAACAGTTACCTCCAACATGACGCGACGAGAGACACGAGACACACGTGGCTTAAATACACAGGGACGGTGCAGGTGATTGGACACAGGTCCGAGGACGGGGATGAAAGGACAGGGCAGGAAGTGAAGTTGACCCGGGGACACAAGAGGCAGGAAACTACAAAACAAAACAGGACGTGAACCCAAAGCGTGACAAGAGCAGGTAGTTCTGTTTGCTGTTACCCCCCCCCCCCCCCCCCGCTGGGGGCTCAAAAAAACTTTTGGGAAGATGAAACCAGTGAAAGGCGCAGCTCCCGTCATAATCGAAATCCGTTCTCCCACAATGGTTTGAATATTCGCTACTCAGCGGGCAAGTCAAACAGCGCTCATCCAGACTGAAAACACACCCACACATGTACTCATGACAAATGTGTGTTCATGCGTCCCACAGTGAAGGCATTCATCCCCCACACACACACACAGGCGTGTAGGTGTGAGGTCATGCCCGGCTCAGTACGCGTGTTTTCCTCTCTAGCGCTGCCTCGGATGAAAAGAGCAGTGGTTCGGGGAGCTGTGCCTCGGAGGAGGGGGAAAAGGAGGGAGGAGGACCACGAAAGAGTCACAGGCACACTGCCCCAGATGGTCCATGTGAGGAAGCCACGCTCTGCGTGATGCATCAGTGTGTGAGCTGAAGTTCAGCGTGGAGCGAATCCATCCTTTGAATTCTCTCTTTACATTTCCAGTAGACGGCCTGAAAGTCAACATGATCGACTACGGTGAGTTGGACTTCCACTTTTTAACAGGGACGATTGTAAGCGTCTTTAACTATTGTAAATGTGCGTCTTTCATTTCATTAGGACCCAAGTAGGGCTGTTAGACAGGAAAGTAAGAGACCTGTCTAAGTATGGTGGAACTATCAATGCAAGTTCAATTAGACATTTCTTGGCCTGAGGGCTGTATGACCCTAGTAAGTGTGTGTGTGTGTGTGTGTGTGTGTGTGTGTGTGTGTGTGTGTGTGTGTGTGTGCGTGTAGATTTTGCACACCAGTGGTCCTTCATGAAAACACAAATTACATCACATTGTGTTTGTCATTACAAGGCGATCTTTATGGCACAAATAACTGCGTGAAGCCAGCAGTGGATAGGAAGACTCTCACCAAAGACAAACAGGCCCACCTGACATACAGCTCTACGAATATAAAACATATAATCTGCCCTACAGATGGAGATCATCCGTATCAAGAACTAAGCCAGTAGATGGTCTCAGTAATGCGCATTGTGTGGTGGATTATTTATAGCATGGCTCCTCTTGGCCTGCTCCTTCCCAAAGGCTGGAAACCAGATTCCCTGTGAAAACTCGAAACAACACTGTCGTTGTGCGGGCTGAGCGACCGCCCCACCCCTGCTTTCTCTCAATCAGGGTCTGTTCCAGCAGGCCCTGAGTTGCTGCCTTGCTAATAATAAAGGCAGTCAGTGTTTCTGTGACGACATGTACACACACACACACACACACACACACACACACATATATAATTAAGCAAACACATCAATCTTAAAACCTCCTTTCAATGTGACCTATTGAGGTGACCCAGACTTCTCTCTCCCCCACAAAGTTTTCCAATGTTCCAATCCCCCCATTCTGGGAGATATTTACGCGTTCCCGAGTGAGCTGGAGATTAAATCTAGCCCTCTAGCAAGAGTAGCGTGATACCCTCATAGTTTGAGCACAGTAGTTTGTATTTCCAAGACAATAATTCTTGTCACACAGACCATTCCATTCCAATAAGGTAAAACAAGGCAAAAGGTAAAGCCCCAAAATCTCCTCCTCTATCTTACTGTTGAAGAAATAAATCAATATAACACATTCCACCTCGACAACACTCTACAACAGGGGTGCTCAATACGTCGATCGCAATCGACCAGTCAATCTCAAAGGCAGTACCAGTCGATCGCGTGCCATCGATAAAAAAAGGACGTCACGCATGCGTGGTCTACCGCGGGAGATGACCAAAACCAATGCTAATGCTAATTAGCAATTCTTGCTTACTAACGGACGCATTTAATTTCATTCCAAAGCAAAACAGGCTGACTCCAGTAAGGTAATGACCAAGAATGTGCGGGATGCCTGTGACAGATTCCTCCTTCTGACAGATGAGAGGCTCGTTGTTTTCTTAATATCGACTCGTTATGCGCTATTGGAGCGCATTACCGCTACTATTTACCGGTCGCCCCCCCCCCTGTCAGCCCCGGCACGGAGGGGGGTTGATTGCCATGACCTGGTTAGTATAAAAGTAGCTCACAAGCTGGAAAAGTGTGGGCATCCCTGCACTACAGTAACTGGCGACGAGGATAAAACTGTACGTTTCTCGTGGGGAAGGACACGCGGGGTGTCAGTACTAGAGAGTACGATGGCCCGGTTTGGGAGAATTGACGAGTTCAAACCGAAAAATGAACAATGGTGAGCTTACAGTGGATGGATGGAACAATTCTTCGTAGTTATAGCATAGCCGAAGATAAGCTAGTAGCCACACTCCTCAGAGTAATGGGTGCGGCTACATATGGGTTTTGAGAAATCTGGTGCAACCCGGAAAGCCAAAAGATAAGACATGCCATCAAGCCCTTATTAGTAGCTGAAATGTTTCGCTTTACCTGGTGCATCCAAAAAACTAACCATTGGCAGTACGCAGCAGTTGAAACAATGCGCAGCCAAATGTGAGTTCGGCGCCAACTTAGATTCATCACTATGAGATTGTTTTGTCGGTAGAATAAGGAATGACGCCTGTCAGAGGAGACTACTTTCAGAAAATAATCTTACTTTTGCAAAGGCTTTTGAGTTCGCTCTCAACATGGAGACGGCGGACGGAGACGCACGGCCGTTAAGAGGAATGGAGAATGAAAGCGTCGGGGCGGCAAGCGTTAACAAGGTTAGGCCCCAGCGGGCAAGACACTGTTACAGGTGCAACGGAAAAAATCACGTGCCTAATGAGTGCCGTTTTGGGCATATTAAGAAGGCATGTCGGCCTACGGAACACACACAAAATATGTGGAATCTGAAGACGACACGGAATTGGGGGTGTTCACAATTTTGACTGTCACAAGTGAAGATGCCAGGTCCTGGATGTAAGCTGGACCCCATCCATTCACGGCATGCTACGTGAGCACCAATGTTTAGAACCTGCAATGTTTTAGAGACCTGCCAGGAGGGAGTTACAGTAGTCCAGGAGGGAGATGACAAGATCCTGAATCAGTACCTGAGCAGCCTTCTGAGTGAGAAGGACGTGTTCTACTGATGTTGTAGAGCGTGTATCTACAGGATCGTGTTGTCGCAGTGATGTTGGAGTCAGGGAGAGTCGGCTGTCGATTGTGACGCAGAGGTTCCTGCAGTCAAAGTGGGCGTTAACACGGAGTTGCCAAAGTTGACAGTCAGGTCTTGAGTCGGAGAATCCTTTCCGGGAAAGAGAAGTAGTTCCGTCTTGTCGGGGTTGATTTTCAGATGGTGGGCGGATCCACTGAGAGATGTCAGTTAGACAGGCAGAGATCCGAGTGAGGGAAGGAGAGAATTAGTTGGGTGTCATCAGCACAGCTGTGGTAGGAGAAGCCATGCGAGCGAATGACAGCGCAGAGAGAGTTGGTGTACATCCTTTACGGAGTCTCACATTTCCACTTTCATAGCCAGATACCGGCATTATTAAAACGAAGAATGTTTACGAGAGAACGTATCAGATTGAAGAACTTTTGTGTGAAGAAATGCGTAAATATGAGCACTTGTACAAGCCGTCATTGGCGGACTATAAGGACGCCGGATGGCCTCTGATTCATGGAGGGAGATCTCCACAAACGACAAACGACAACAAAGTTGTGGAGGAAAATACGGGACAAATGTGTCCTTGATGAAAAGCAGCAGTGTGGATGCACGGGGCAATAAAGTCTATGATCAATAAATAAAGCAACCAACGACTTCCACACACAAAGACGTGACTCTCCAGGTCGTCTTCAACAAAACACGTTACTCCACCTGTTGTTCTGGAGGTGAATCGCTCTGCAACACACGCAAGACTTTACAACCAGGAAGTGAAACCAGTGCGTCGACACGACGTAAAGACGCAGACGCAGAAACATGCGCCGGCCTTTAGTGTCAGCCCACCATGCCCGAGCCTCCCACTGACTGATCGGCGCAGTTATCCAACACACCATGCCAGACGGAAAAGAACACTGTCTCCAGCGGAGAAAAATTATTCTCAAATAGAGAAAGAAGCTCTTGGAGTGGATTTTTTGGACAAATTCGCATATCTTATTTTATAACTTGTTGGAATATTTTCGGGTTGGTGCACAATTTAGCCAAGACTTTGAACGGTGTGGACCCTTAACCCTGCCCCCCATGACCCTCATATATGGGTCTCATATTTCCATTGTTCCTTCCTTTTCTCTCCCATTTCACCAACACACATTGTTAACTGGCTGCCTCACCATCTCTCTGAAGGAGGCAAGTCAACCTCCAGCCTCAATCCATTTAAGTTTAACAACTATATTGCAGGGTACGCTTGCGCACGTTGGCGGCTGCTCCTCTTGACACTTTCTTTGTGCTTGTGTGATTTATATGGCAGCTGAGGCGTCTGCGCAAGGCGCTGCAGGAAAATTCGAACAGTTTTTTCCCCCGCTATGGTCATTTGAAAACTCTTGAGGTGTGTCTTCTTGGGTGCATTTGAATGTCATTGGCTTCTCCTTCAAAGTGTCCCCTCCTGAATTGTCCCCTTCACATCGAGGTGTGAAGCTGCAGCTGTAACCTGAGACCTCTCTGTCCTATCTGTCCCTCACATTCCAATGCATTCAATGTAGAGACAGTTGGCTTTATGCCTCAATGAGTGAATATAACAAAGCATGCATAGTTTGTCTTCATCTTATAACTAGTACACTTTAATTACAACCAGGGCTGTAGTGGAGGGTAAACGCACGTAAACGCCGTTTACGCACCTCTAGAATTTGGAAATAGCGTTTACGCACCTATAAATAGCGTTTACGCACCTCTAAGTGGCGTTGACGCACCTCAAAGTTCCCTGCGCCTTGTATTCTTCCGTTGGAATAATCCGAAATAAACTTGGTGTAATTTTAAAACAGCTAAGACTACGTTTCATATTGTTGAACATATAAACGCCGTAGTCTGAATCCTTCATCTGCGCTGTATTACGGTCTGTGAGCATCCAATAAGTGCCTTGCGGCTGCAGCAGCGACCAATCAGGATCCAGGAGGTGTGTAAACACACGTTGTGGATCAGCCCAGTGGTCCCCCACCTTTCTTACCTCACGGACCGGTTTCATGTCAGACAATATTTCGCGGACCGGTCGGGAAGGTCCGACGGGGGGGGGGGTAGTAGTCGCGCGCTCTGTGTTTGCTGGTCGTGCACGGTAAAAGAAAAACGCCTGGTGACGCGTAGATTAGAAAACAAGTCAGTTCTCAATGTAAAAAAATCATGCTGTATAGGCTATTTATGATGACATAGGTAGTACATGAGTGTTCCTTTAACTCATGTTGTCAGTGTAATTGACAGGCTGCTTAACTGGTTAACTCTTAAATTCAACATATTTTTTCAGGCAGTGAGAGGACAGGCAATGATGCAGAGAGCACAGGGAGAGAAACACCAGGCCCAATAGAGAGAGGAGAAGCACAGAGGAGCCATGGCTCATGGTTCATGGCTCCTCTGTGCAAGGCAGGACCTGACGTGGAGGACAAGGAGGCCCTCTGGGCACTACTGTGAAAATGAGACTCTGTATGTACATAGTTCTTAATCTGCAATTGTGTTGTTGTGTTGTGTTGACATACTTTTCTTTACTGTTTTCTTAAATTTAATAAACTATAAACTACTAACACATTTATTCATTGTCATTGATTGTATATGAATTTTACTGATAACATAATGCAATATAGCCCGGACAGCCTTACAGAGTCGCAACGCTTTGTGTTGCGTTGCTTCGCATCGCGTCGAGGTCTGTATGATCACAAATTCAGAGTTTACCCACCTCTAATTTTACCACTACAGCACTGATTACAACACATCATAAATGATCACCGTTCGTCACACTTCATCATAAGATCTAAGACAGTTCATGTGGTCCAATTCTCAAGACACTTTCCTCAATCGGCTGTCTTGTCTAATCTACTACCTGACTGGCGAAAAAACTCTCCAAAAACCCTCTTTGGGGAGAAAATTGGGAGAAATCCATAAAGGACGACAACTGGCATCCATCCCCAGGTTGTAACATCACATTGTGACAGAATGTTAATGTGTACAGTGTTTATATGATTAACATGACTATAAATTACGTTTGATTTATATTGCATTCACTTCATCTAACATGCTTTTGTACTATCTAACATCACACAAACTACAATTCTAACACTAAACATTATTACACGTATTATAATTTCACAGCCTCCATTAGCTCACCAGCTGCTCTTATTGTGTTAATCAACACATTTGCTTTTGTCATTGTGTGTGATTCTCTCAATACGTCTTAGCCTGATTTAAGCCAAAGCCACGAGGACTATGGAAACCTTTGCCTTTTTTTAAAACAAGGAAATCGCCAATATCGCCAATTGCCTCAGCTATTTCTCAGAACACTTACACAGGCGGAAGTAGTCACACCGTCCTAAGTGAGTTTTTCTAATTGCTCTGCAGAGCGTCCCCATCCATTAGGCTTCGGGCCAGCTGGGAGGAGTGTGATGGTTCCGGAGCTCCCACTGCACACACATACTCCCACTCCGACGGCCATACCTCAGAGAAACTCCCACCAGAGCAGGAGAGCCAGCACAGCGGCTGCTAGGAGGATGGAAAGGAGACGCACAGACCTGGAGGAAAGCAACAACCACCCAACCAGCAGCCACAACCCCCGCTCCAAGAAACTGGCCATGATATCCAGGTACCAGCACCGATCAAAGGCTAATAAACAGGGCTGCATATCAACACTTCAGTTAGGCTATCCTTTTTATTGGTAGACATAGTATGTACCTTTCTTCACAGGCTTGTGTCAAACTCTACCATGGAAATTGATTCTTTTATCTCATTATTCCAAAGGGGGGCAATTTGTGGGAATTATAGATTGATCGGGAACAAAAACACATTTACATACAATGACTTTACTTCAAGCAGGGTTTGGTACACGGGTAATCAGACAAGGCAGAAAGAGGAATCCGAAACAGTCACGGGTGGGAAAAAATGGGTCAAAACATAGCAAGGCACACGGGGGTCACTAGTAAGGAGTAGACACAGACTCATAGGTGAAAACAATGAGGGCGGGGCTTGCCATCATACAGGAGGGCAGCACACAGGAAGGGAGGTGTATGAAACAAGAGACAAGGTGAAGGACAGAAAACACAACAGAAACAGACAGTGACCACAACATCATCTGTCCTCGGACCCTCACATAGGAACATAACCCCCCCTTCAAAACACGTTTTCATGTCAACTGAGCTTGTTACTTTCACTGACTCTGTCCAGGTCCTTGATCCTGTGTCATTCTAAAACCAATGATGACTGTCCAGACGGGAGGCGTGCTGTATCGGATGGGTGCAAGAGATGGGGCCCAGGCTGTAGGGCACTAATGACTGCTGGGGGTCAAACGCACTGGAGGACAAGTGACCAATCAGCCCTGGGGAGGAGAGGAGACACTGAGTTGCAGCATACCAGCACACTCAGGGAGAACAAAAAGAGCATGAGGAGGTCCTTCAGCATCAAGGTATGGCAACAGTGGTTTCTGCTAGTGAGACTTATCAGGAATCAGGAATCAGGAAACATTTATTAGCCAAAATATGTCAAACATACAAGGAATTTGTCTTGGCGGTTAGTGCGCGACAGTAGACAGACAAGACAACAGTGCACAAGTAATAAAATAAAGTAAAATCAAATGCTAATGCAATGGGTTAGTAGAATAAGGCTATGGGTTAGTATAAAACAAGGGAATAAAGTTAAAAAAATTTAAATATTAAAAAGTTAAAAAGAAAAATATTAAGCATAAAGTGCACTAACGAACAAGTAACAGACAAGAGACAAAGTGACGAGTGACAAAGTGATGAATTGACAAACGTAATTAACAACAAAAACAACAAAAAACGAAGCCATCAACGGCGCCATCTTGGATCGAGTTATTACAAACTGTCTCACCCTAAACTCAGATAACTGTTGATTATTAACACATGATATACTTGGGGATAAAGTTTTGAAGAATTCTGGTGCTTGGACTCTACTGGGTGATTTGTAGTGAGTCAAATCCCCCTGTGGAGTCAGGACCTGGGGGTGGTGTTGGCTGATGATAGAATAAAGCTGATGGATCTGTGCCATTTCATAGAAGAGACCAGCTGATCAGAACAGCAACAAATAAACTACATTATTGTACTGCTTGTAGAAGTAGTAATATCAGCAGTTGTCAACTGCTCACTGCTGTATTAGTAATAGCAGAAGCCATTAGAAGCAGTAGCAGCTGTACAAGTGGTAACAGCAGTAATAGCCTTTTAGCCAGTAGCAGTTCATTTCTCAAAAGGACATTATGCACCACTGTAGTAATAGCAGTAGTCATAGTTGCAGTGGTTTCGGGGTCGTCATGGCGCAGGAGTAGAGAGGGGGCACCGGGAACCGCAAGGTTGGTGGTTCGATTCCCGGCTGCCCCATGTCGAAGTGTCCCTGAGCATGACACGTAACCCCTAATTGCTCCCCGTGCAAAAATGTCAAAAGCTGTGGGTTAAAATGTAATGTAAGTCGCTTTGGATAAAAGTGTCAGCTGAATGACCTGTAATGTAATATACTAGTACTTGTAATAGCAATCTTAGTAGCAGAAGTAGCTGCACTAATAGTAGTTGTATTTGAAAGAATTTACCATTAATACTTGTATGTACATAGTTTACTTAAATTTATTCAGTTATTATGATTTTAATTTTACATGTTGAGTTCATATTTAGCCAACAAATCCCTACCCACCACCGGTGATTGTTGGTGCCCTTTTGAAGGGGTCTCGGACCCCAGGTCGGGTTAACAATGGTTTTTAACTGATGACTTTTAATCATCTACCAGACTGAAACTACAGAATCAAAGAGCCATGTCCATTTCAGACCAACCCATTAAAAGTCAGAGGTTTATGAATGAAATCTCTATCAATAGATTCCTTTCAGGAATTAATCTATTCTCATCATTAGATTTCTTTGTTCCACATTATAACATGTTCACTTTTGGGGTATCTGCATTTGTTAAGTAATTGACGTAAAGGAAATATAAGTGTACCCATTTAAAGATCAAAGCTATTCTGTCTGTATTTGATCATTTCTCTCTTCTATGTCCCTAAGAGCTACTGAATCATATATGACCTACGTGGCCTCTTTTGCAGTTTTGTCCTTCTTTGCTGTCACCTCGCTGTCCGACGGTTGCTCTGCTCATGGAGCTGGCTAGAGGTTCCTTTGTGCTCGTTCACTGTGTATCTGTGTGTATGTGTGTGGCTATAGGAGAGCAGTATCTGGAGGATGTGTGTAGCCACAGGGCCCACTGAAGACGTGTGTGGACCACAAGCCGCTGATAACATCAACCAGACAGGGGACGAGGACATTAATGTGGAGCCATGCAACGAGGGGAATTTACACAGGTAAAGAAACAAACACTGTAACACAACTCTAAATGTGGGAAAAATGGGGAATTCAGCATTTGTGAAAATACATATCAGCCAGTGGTGTGACAACAATAAGCCTCTGAGGGCCAGGGACTGTCTTTGTGGGGTTCTGGTGTAGCCAGCCAAGATTGGATGTACTTTCTTGTTCTCTCTGTAAGTTGCTTTGGATAAAAGCGTCTGCTAAATGATAGATGTAAAGCTAAAATTGTCTGTTTTCTGCTCAGTGATCACAGTCAGTTCAGTAACATTAACACAAGACAAGAGTTGGAATTGAGAGATGAGTGGATTGTTTCACAGCCAGTTGAGCTAATTTTATACAAATACTGAGTAATCAGTATTTATAGTCTTTATTTTCTAGAGAGATTCCGTCTTTCAAATAGAGAGATTCCGATCTAGATGATCTAGAACACACTTGATCCAATAAATAGTTTAGGAGGAAGTGAGGCTACAAAAGTCACTCCACTCTAGGAGGAAAAACCAAAGACTTTCACTCTTTCGACAGAGGCAAACCCTCCTTAAAACTGGAGGCACTATGAAAGATTATCAAAACCAAATCACTCCTTACGGAGGAAACAAAAGACAAAAAACTTTAACCATTCAACTAAATCTATGCTGCAAAATCTTACAAAATCAAAATCACTCTCTTGGAGGAAAACAACGGAGCAGAACGCAATGACATGGTTTCCCAGGCTTGGCTTGGTATCTATGACCTGGTATATATGGCGTGATATCTATGGCGTGGTATCTATGGCTTGGCATCTATGGCTTGGCATCTATGGCTTGATATCTATGGCCTGGTATCTATGGCGTGGTATCTATGGCTTGGTATCTATGGCGTGGTATCTATGGCTTGGTATCTATGGCGTGGTATCTATGGCTTGGTATCTATGGCTTGGTATCTATGGCATGGTATCTATGGCTTGGTATCTATGGCATGGTATCTATGGCTTGGTATCTATGGCATGGTATCTATGGCTTGGTATCTATGGCTTGGTATCTATGGCAGAAACGACACACTGTTGCAGGACAAATACTATTAGTACACATGGAGGGCAATGGGGAACAGGTGGACACAATCGGGAATCAGGGAAGACAATCATACTGGTGACACACGAGGAAGGTAAAGTGACCTGAAACGAGAGGAGACTATTTCAAAATAAAACAGGAAATGACAAAAAGACCAGACAAAATAAAACAAACCCAACAACTTCACTGCGGTGTGAAAATAGCAAAACACAGATTTAGTTTCTGGCTCTTTATCTCTTCACGGACTGTTTACCTGCATTCAACCAACCAACCAGTGTTTAGTCAATATTAGAAGAAAGAAAAGAGGATACAGTAATCTATTCCCCTTGCGTTTGGTCTATTTATAGAGACTACCTAAACACTTCTACTGAAATACTGAAAGCCTCCAAACTTAAAGGTGCTTTTGGAAGCTTTCACGTAAATTAAGTAAATGTATATTCACATTCAAGGTTAGCCAAATGCTTTTACCCTGTGCTATAAAAATAGTGTTAATTATGCATTAATATGTTTTCTCTTCAGAAGCTGCAGCTCCCTGAGCCCAGACAAGCTGGCGCCGTTTCTAGATGGCAGTACATGGCAGGCAGGCGAGAGGATGATGACTATTCACATTAAAGCCTACAGTGAGGTATGACATGGTTATTTCTTTACCAACACACCACGGCAGTGTTCAGTACCCTAACCCTGATCAGCAGACTAGGGGCTTTGTGTACCTTTGTCCAGAGGTGTCAAAAGTATTCACATTCATTACTCAAGTACTCAAGTATTGACACTAGCGTTTAAAAAGACTTCTGTGGAAGTTGAAGTATCAACGCAAGCGTTTTACTTAAGTAAAAGTATAAAGGTAAATGTAAGGGTAAAAAAAACGCTCACAGAACATGTCAGTCCGTCCTTCCACCGACCACTTTTCGCCCCATGCGTCACTCTAATTGGTGTCATCTGCAGGTGCATCACGGAAAAAAACCAATAGTGTGTCAAAATGGTCTATGGTCACAATCAAATCCACTCCCTACGCATGATTTACCTGGATAGGGTTTTTGTGTGTTTTGAACGACGACAAGTCTGAATGAAAACAGGGCTTTAGATATATGATAATCAATTAAAATGTATGTTTCGGCGATACATGCGCTACACCAGTGTTAATTTCGTCGACGAAAACTATGAAAAACGAACCTTTTTTCCAAGACTAAGACGAGACTAAGATGTGATGAAAACGATCTTAAAAAATAAAAACTATGACTAAATCTATTCTAACTTTTGTTAACGAGACGAGACGAACATGTTGGCGGTTGACGAAGTCACGATACTTTTTCCCCCTAAATTCGCACGCAGCTGACAGACAACAGACAGACAAAGTACGGCGGATATTAACGCGTCATGATGACGTCATCCACCAACCCAGGACGCTCGTATCGGTGCAGCGGTGGTTCTTGTGCACCGACTACGGACCACGACGACTATTTTACGCTTCGGCTTCGTTAGTTTAGCTCAGCTGTCTCTGGTTAGCTGCCTGTTAGCTGCCTGTTAGCTGACTGTTAGCTGCCTGTTAGCTGCCTGTTAGCAGGCTGAAGCCGCGCTGCTTCACAGAAACATGAAGACGCGTTTAAAGACTGTCGGACCTTTCTGCTCTGTTCTCTGGCGACGGCAGACAGCGTTTCCTCGCTGGATGAGACGCTCCGTCACAAACGCCTCTAACGTAATAAACTCATTGCAGGTTCTGAAGCCAAGAAAATAATGTATTGCAGCGATTGTAGGACGTTAAGGTCTCTTTTGTTGGGTCAGTGGAAACAATAAAGGACCATGAAGTGTCAAAAGCATCGCAAGTAAACAAAGACAACTAAGTGTTGCGTTTAGATCCCTGGTCCTCATGAAGATGTTACACCTTTGACAATTTGTTAAATTGCCTTGCAAATAAATGCTTTGCTATTTGTTAAAATCCAAATCCTTTCATGTAATGATTTTTCACATGTCATTTATATCAGCTCACACAAACACTTCCACCATTTGTTCTTGGCCCGGCTCCTCAGTCACATTTTACAACCCGTCGTGGCCGCGAGTCAAAACGTTTGCCGACCTGCTATAGACCTGTCCTATAGGAGGGACATCTATAGGCCTGTCCTAGGAGGGACATCTGTAGACCTGTCCTATAGGAGGGACATCTATAGACCTGTCCTATAGGAGGGACAACCAAGTACTGCTACTGCTAGTTTTCGTCGACGAAAACTAGACTCAAACTAAGAAGGATTAAAATGACTAAATGTGACTAAAACTAATATGCATTTTTCGACTAAATCCAAAATAGCTGCCAAAATGACCACTGATTGGTCAAACGGTTTCCCATGCTGCAACCTCCAAGCCTTCCCACTTACAGTCAGACACTAGGCTGTAGGGAGGCAGTGAGAACAAAAAAATACAGACAAAAAGTAATGGAAATGATTTGGTCAACTACAAGCTTAATGCTAGAAGAAGAAAATGTGTGTGATTTGTAGGCCTCACTGTACTTGGGGTTTCATGAAATAGCCATCCAGGAATTAGAATTATTCTGACATCATTGACAGCAGCAGCAGCGTTTTACCCTCTCACCATCATGGACAGTCAGGGAAACGTTTTGTAATCAAGATCTTTCAAGTAAAAAAATGAGTTGTATTCCTTTGTATCATATAATTTGTATTGTATAATTAATCAAATGTAGACAGTATCAGTGTAGCCGAGATAGCGCTACCCGCGGGTTCTGGGTCAAATTCACACACACTTGGAGTTTGCTGGCTTATTTATTTTATTTAGTTTGCACCAGTTTCGCCGGTCCTCCCGTTGGCCCCGAGTGTCCCGCCGAAAGTCCCTCGACGAGTCCTGCTTTTTATCGGGAGATAATCAAGCAGATTGTTCATCAGCTACGCTCCCTAACTATCTCCCGGCACCTGAACCGCTCCCCCCGCTGACCCCCCCTGCAGCTGAGCTCACCACAATCAGCATTACACCTATGATGTCATCAACAAGAACGAGGAGTCCACGGGCATTTTGGAGGCGAGATGTTGTATTGACCAGCGTGCTGTGTTTCATTGCTCCTCGGGAGCCACAGAGGCAGTAGCCATTGTGAGTAACATGATTGTCAGTGTGGGAGCTGTCCTGTAGGGCAGTGAGCGCAGAGCATCACCCAGCTGCCAGGTTTACTTGAGTCACTTTTAATAGGCCGGAAAAACTTGAAGTAAGAATAGAGAAATAGGAAAGTATGTCTAATATGTGACTGGCTCAGCTTATTCTTTTTTCAATACTGTGTCTGTTGGATTTTTTTCTTAATGACTCCCATCAGAAATGAAACGCCCCCTTTCACGTTGTTACAGAGACTAATGGCGCGTTTCCACCTAGCGGTACGGGTCGGGTCGGTACCCTTTTATTTGTGTCTCCACTGCTAAAAGTTGAGAATGGTACCAAAAGTCAGAACCGTACCGTACCACTTTCTGGGTACCCTTCCGTTGGGGTACCTGGCACAGTTATCACTACTTTCTGGAATACACCACGCCTATCAAGTAAGGGTACTGTCAAATCATGGTTAACAGACCCGACCCGTACCGATCCGAGCCGTACCGTTCCATACCGCTCGGTGGAAACGCGCCATTATTATAACCGCAAGGTTGGTGCTTCGAGTCCCGGCTGCCCCATGTCTCAAGTGTCCCTGAGCAAGACACCTAACCCCTAATTGCTCCTCGGGCAAAAATGAAAAAAGCCATGGGTTTAAAGTGTAATGTAAGTCGTGTCACGGCGTCACGGCACGACTGTCTTATTTTGTAATTTTCTGCTTCTTGTCTCCCTGGGTAACTTCACTTCCTGCCTTGTCCTGTCATCGTCTGTGATTGTCTGATGGTTTCCACCTGTGTCCACCTGCACCTCCCTAGTGTATTTAAGCTGTGTGTGTCTCCTGTCACTTGTCGCGTCATTGTCAATCGTCCTGCCTGCCTTTCCCCCCCCCCCCCCCCCCCGTTCCTGTGTGTGTTTTTGCTCGTTGGCCTTTGCTTTGCCCTTTTGACTATTAAAGTCGTTTTGCTTTAAAACTCTGCATTTGAGTCCTGCCTTTCCACGCATCCCTGACAAGTCGCTTTGGATAAAAGCGTCAGCTAAATGACCGGTAATTCAATTTCTTTTTCTCCTGGTGCAAATTGCAGCTTGGCCCATCTGTTCCGAATTCTCACGTGACAACTCACCCAGTGTGTAGAGATTGGCTTGCAGGTCCAGGACACACTGAAGTTTGTTATTACCGGGGCTCGGACTCTCCTCCCACGTGGTTTCCTGGCAAACAGCAGCTCTAAGGGAGAAAATCCTGTGGGAACCTGGATTCCTGGGGAACCTCCCGTACTGCAAACAACTTACAATCAAGCCATTTATCCCAATTACATTCATGGTCGTGAATGAATTGTCTTATTTGGCCTTTCCACCAGCTCGTCAATCTGAACAGATTCAACCCCCAGTAATTTGTGAAAGTTCCTTCAGTGTACGTGACATGAACAAGGTGCCCTGAGAGTGTCATCAGAATCTCTTTCGGGACTCTTGACTGGGGAGGTTTACCAGCTGACATTACAGGCAGGACGCACAACAGTGGCTGGCTAGTAAAATCAGGCTATTTTTCGGTACATAGTTTTATCACTACCCATGTGGCCAGCCATTGGGTTATAGTGACGGGTGACGAACCCTCTGTGGGTCGGGAGAAGTGCCGGGTCCGGCCGGTCCCGAGGGATCAGGAAACCTCCGGGGGAGGGCTAGTGACCGCGGGGCCGGCAGGGGACGACTGTTTTTTCAACCACAAAGGAAGACAAAGTTTGAGTTGCTGTGCTGCACTCTAGAGGGGAGGAAGAGGGGCAGAGTACTTCTGAACACAGCAAAGGTTTTCTCAATGGCTGGGTGTGGAAAGTCTGTGCCCAATATGCATCGGTATGGTTGGACCTAACGTCGATGATAGCGTCTCGTTGATCCGGGCTGTAGAGTAACACAATAAGACTTTACAAACGGCTAACGTGAACGACTTTATATAAACCGACTACTTTAATCTTCCCAGAGAACCAGCCTCTTACTGTTTGGTGGGCTCTTTCAGTCGTCTTTACCGTTATATCAGCAATTTCCTGCTGCTTTCTGATGATTCAAGCTCGTTAGCGGAAAAACTGAGTGGACAAAGGTGATTTGGTTCTTCAGTGTCAATTTTATCGGTCAAAAAGCAAAAGGTGAAAGCAGTGATTACAGTCTCCCCTGGTCAAACATGCATTATTTATCTTACATGTCATGTCACTTTTACATTACATGTCATTTAGCTGACACTTTTTATCCAAAGTGCCTTTTTTTTTTAAAACCCATAGGTTGACATTTTTAACCTAAAAGGGAATGTAATTCACAGACAAACGTATACACAGAAAAGTGTACGACAATAGACTAGAGAAACTACGCTGTAGAAAAAATCAAGGGGGTTCAACTTAAAAACATAAGTTCAATTGCTAGCTTACACTTTCGATGTAGAGTGTAATTGGATTTACAATTTGTACAACTCATTTGTTGTTTAATTTAGCTATGGATTGCTCACATGACTACATGTTTATTCAAGTTTAAAAGAAACATAACTCGTTATCATGTTCAAAATGTCTTTAGGGTCTGCATCCGTTAGCCCGGCTAAATGAATGAGTATGCGTTCCCTCCACATAGGTTAAGGCACCACGTGCACCGTGTTACTCAGCGTTAGCCAAAGGTAGGTCGCTAACTAGCGTTAGCTGCAAACATTTTAGCCACAACACAAGTAGTCCATAAACTGACCATAGCCCCCACATAAGGTTGTATTTGAAGGTTTTGTGTGTTTTGTACGCAAATGTGTTGTGGCACCAGTGAGCTGCCTCCACAGAAAATGTAGAGCTGCTAAACAAGCCTGTCTCCTGGATAGCCTGGTTAAGGGCCTAACAGACGCATACATGAGGGCCCAACACTGTTATACTACTTATAGCATACTATACGATACCACCCTCATTTATATTATATCATACTAAACCACCATCTACTATAGTGCTTAATGTTATGTTTTACTTCACTGCCTTGACTCTACTATCGTATTTATCCACTGCTCAACACACTAAACTACAAAAATATGTTGTAGTAATTTGAATACTTACTCCGGTTGTATAGTAATTAGATTGCTTAGCACATTAGGGGCTACGAGATGGACCCCTATGCTCCCACCACATGACGAGGATCTCGCTCGTCCCTGTCCTCAGCCCACCATCATGAAACCGTATCCACCCGTTTGTCCTGTATTACCTGTGTTGCATAGAGGGCAGGGTGTGTAGTCAGGATGGGACTAATAAACCATGGCAAAAGTGGATTTAACGGTACATTCTGAATATTGGCACGTCTCATCTTAGGCCCAAAGTTGAAATGTTTCTTTTCACTGGTATTTTTGTGTACTTCAGGACACTTTCAGGAGTGAGGACATCCTACATTCACAAAGTCTCACGGCAAACTCATCACACCTGGCCCTCATTTCCCCATCTAATGCGCACTTGTTACCTGGATCCACAGATGAAGAACGTCTTGCCAACAACAACCACCTCAAGGTAAAATCCTTTTTTAGGTGTAATCTGACAGTTATGTTATGTATGCACCGTCAAAAAATGATCTCATCTTGTATTTCAATATGCGAGTGTCCCTTGGGACGTTTGACTGTGTGTGTGTGTGTAGTTCTCCATCCCAGAGGTGAATGAAGAGAAGTTCTGGGACACAGATGAGACTAAGCCGAGCCCATCAGGACAGATGGCCACTAAAAGGACACGCTTCAACTCAGCCAGTGAGTGTCGTACACTTTTCTCTCAATAGGACAATGAACCATCAACTCGAGTGTGAGCAGGAGGAGACTGCTGAAAGAGAGGCGGTGATGGAAAAATGGCTCTAATATGTTTACCGTCTTCAGGGAGTTTTGAGGCCAGGGAGTAATGTCCTTCTACAACCAGGAAGCCGCGCCGCTAATGGGAAATGTGATCCTAATTGTTAGAAATGCATGCACTTATAGTTCCAACAGTGTGAGATTGGAATACATGGATGTCTGTGTATATTTATCATGATACAAGTACAACAACAGGAAACCCCTCTTCACTGTAATCCACTCCAATACATCACTTCACTTAACAACCAGAGTTGGAAGAAATTGTTTTTATCACTGCATGGACAAAAGTATCCGGTACAAAATGTCAGCGGCGCCACATTTGTGCAGGCATAACATAAAAATGTAATAACGGCACAACAGGCATAACGTAAAACAATTAATAATAGGTGAACAGTCGGTAGCAGGACGTATTGCAACGCAACAGCTCCAAAGCGTGAGCAGCGGCGGCCGTGGCTCACTTTGACTGACGGCGTCCATGTGGCTGTGAGTATGAATGTTAGTTACTAATGGGCAGGTGGCATAGTGTGGGATGTACATTGTGATGGGGAGCTCTTAGAAAAGAGATATTCAATACAGTCCATTTACCACTGTAGATGGGATGTGTTGTTGCATTAACCAGCAGTCATCATCATGACAAAGCAACTGCCTCAGAGGCGGTTTAAGGTAACTGTCGGTGTGTGCAGAGGAGGCAGTAGGAAGTGGAAAAGAGCTCATTGGTTGTGTCTGGTGTGATCCCAATATCTGCCAACAGAGTTTCTGTGTCCTTGTAGTAGTTCCAGGAGTGCAGGGACAGATTCACAAGGTGGAACACCAGCATAACTGTTGCAGCTGCTAACTAAACTGTTTTCAGTCCTATAATAAAGAACAGGATCTACTGGGATCAACGTGATGTTCATCCTGAGGACACTGTGTATCAGCAGGTGTTCATCCTTACTGGATTGGGGATCTGGACAGCATCATCATGAAGACCCCAGAGCTGTACACTATTCATCCTCATGGGAATGGAGGTTTATATGGAAACAGGAAGTCTCTGTCCCAGCAGCTGGAGTTTCCTCATTCCACTACACAAGTATTTCAAAGAATTATGATTTTGTTTAAAGAAAATGCATGAAAGAACACACGTGCTGACCACAAATAAATATGCACCAGGGGCGTTTCTAGGATTCAAAAGGGGGAAGTTGGGAACAGTATTTCTGCTTGCGTAGCTTGCGGCAATTTTTTTTAGGGCCGTGGATCCTTATTTCAGACAGTTCATAGGTTCAATCAGAACGAGTGTGACTTTGATCTGTAGTGCTTGCATTTAGTATATGATAACACTAGAAACAGAGTTTCAGCGTCATGGTGAAATTTGAAAACACAAATATGAACTTTGACTTGACATGAAAATATCATGAAATACTCCAGTTTAGGCTGCTTCCTTGGAGTAGCCTCGGCCTTGCCTATGCTTATACAGTTGTGCTCATAAGTTTAATAAAGTTCGATAATAAATGGTTTCACCCAACCACTAACCATGAGTGTGAGAAAAGTGTTTGTGTTATCATTGATATTTTCTGAAAATGGCCCAGAAATCATACGTCCTGCCAGGGTATGTAAACGTATGAGCTCAACTGTTCATTTCTACCACGGGAGAATAAGCAAAAAGAAACTTGTTTCCTTCTAGACCTGTAGACCACTAACCTCCCTCACACCGGCACCTTCAGCTCAGTCTCCTGCTTCTGGGCCGAGCTGCCACCTCCTTTTCTTATATTCATGTGCTCAATGAATTGTATGATGTACTGGTACAACAGCATTATGATGGAAACCACATAACTTTTTTTCACTAGCATTAACAACAACATTCTATAGGGAATTATATTTTTGCGAGATATATCATTGCAAAAATTAGAGCGATGTTGATCGTTATTTCTTGTATTTTGAATAGTGCCAAATTATTTGGGGGGGCTTCGGCCCCCTTAAATAGGGCTGACTACACCACTGATTAGCACATGCTATGAATAAGAGAAGGAAAGCAAGAATGAAATTATAACTAATGCAGAAAATAAATGCCTATAACCGACACAAATGAATTTAATTCAACAAAAGCGGCTTTATTCTCTTTGGTGTAGACCATAACCACACGCGTCTGACACACTTGGTGATGTCTGATGTTTAAGAAAGTTAGACAGACCATCACACACCAGTTACATTAGTACTTCATAGCGCTACCAAATGAGTGTGTTCATTTTGACATGTACACTGCTAAAGCACAGTGCATGACACCATCAGGTCCAGGAGGTGTATCCGCAGACCCTTCTGGGATTCTTTTTGCTCACTTGTTACATGTTCTTCAAACAGTGGCTATTTTATCAAATGAAGCCGTCACTATTGCAGCTGAGAAAAACCGACTAGAAGCAGTGTCCATCATATGAAGTCCATATTAATCAAGCCATGGCTGAGTCAGTCTGATCAGTTTGAGAACAGCAGCCCAGAGGCTCTCTCTCTCACTCAGGACCATCTGTGATTTCCATCCCTGATTTCTACACTGGTGTGTTGGTAGCAGAACAAATGTCAAAATATCGCTGCCTCCCGGTAGTAAATGAAATTGTGATTGTTTCATACTCCTCCTCTCTAGTCTGTTCAGCATCCCTCCCGCTCCCTCAGCTCTGCCCAGCTAGTACACTCCTGCAGTAACACGCAAGCCTTCATTATCTGCAATGTTGTGCTGATGAAGGGCCATGGCAAGGTAGGCGGCCTCCCCACCAACACAACTCTCGAGTTTTCTATCATATTATGAGCAAGTGTTCTCAAACGTTAATAAATAAATATATTTATTTCATGTTATTAATTTCTATTGGTAATGATTTGTATGCAAATAGTGCTTTTTGTTTTATTTATTTTCTACATTGTATGTTGTTGATAGCGTTTTGCTCCATCATCATCTGTTCTTTACACAAACCTTTTCCTACGTTCCAACTCTTGTTCTGGCCTTTACTTCTGGTATCAAGCACATCGTAGAATTGGAGAAATTTGGAGAAAATGTGAAACTGCTCCAACTTTTATATTCATGATTCCAAGTATGATCGTTATTATATTTGTATTGATGTGACTCAATGCTAATGCTATTGATTATATTTCTGCTGCTGTTTCCAGGGTCTGGGCTTCAGTATAGTGGGTGGGAAGGACAGTATGTATGGACCAATGGGGATCTACGTCAAGACCATTTCCCCTGGTGGCTCAGCAGCTGCTGATGGAAGGCTGCAGGAGGGTGAGGGACAACGTTCTGCCCATAAAGCACACACACTTAGGACAGCGGGGACATGGGATGGTGGTGCTTCTCAGCCTCTTGTTTCAGTTTTAAAACACCTACAACTTACAAGACCTATGGTGATTTGATCATCATGGAATAGAAAACTATTTGAATCTCACTTCTCTCTCTGTGTCCCTGTAGCAAGCAGTAGACACAAACAGTGTAACTGAATATAGAAAATACACAAAATGCTGGTTAAAAGGTAACCTGATGATCATGAGAGTGTCAGGAAAGCTACAGATGAAGTTTTAGATCTGCTCATAATCGACGGTGGCACAGGGGCAGAGCGGGTGCGCCAGGAACCGCAAGGTTGGCGGTTTGAGCCCTGGCTGCTCCATGTCCTATGAGCAAGACAACTAACCCTAATTGCTCCCTGGGCAAAAATGTAAAAGCCATGGGTTAAAAATGCAATGTAAGTCGCTTTGGATAAAAGCGTCAGTTAAAGGATCTGTAATGTAACAATTTAATGATGCAATGATGTGGTCATTACAAAGAGAAATGATGGTTACTCTTTTACATAAGCGTTACTGAGACACCAGTTACTGGGTAGACTTAATGCTCTCAGGTCCACTGTTTTTGTGCCTGAACAGGTGATGAGATCCTGGAGCTGAATGGAGAGTCACTACATGGCCTGACTCACGATGAGGCCCTTCACAAGTTCAAAGTAAGGCTACTACAATTTAACACTACTGTTTTCTTTTATGTGCTCAAAATAATCACAGGTGCACAACATTGATCTACTAGACCCAATGTATTTATCTAAAAATGAGTACATAAGCTCTAATAAAAGGGAGATATCAATCAGCCAGTAGTTAGACCAAACACGTATTGATGAGCTCATTTGGGGAGTTTTACCCTTAAACATTTTTGCTGTAAAGGGGATTTGTAGTTTTTGGACTATAATCCAATTTTAATTTACTGCAATCACCAAACTAATTGCTTGAAAGTAGTAAACCTTGTATAAATGCATGTGCATGTGCACAGAAGGCTCCTGTACACATTTTAGTCGAGGTTCCAGAACAAAATATCCAACTTTGTACTAAATCTACAAATAGTTACATTTTTAGGGAAACATGATAGCAGTTGGTTGAGGTTTCCTGGTGCTGTTACATTATGCCGACATATTAATCTATAGGGCAGAGGTCTTCAACGGGGGGTCTGCGAGGTACTGCAACCAATTTTTTTTCACAAATTTAAATGTCTTTATTGTCTTTAAATACACATTAACATGAATCCAACATATTGTAGCGAACAGATACATTGATGAAGACGTTATCTTTCAGTCCCACAGCAGCTCTCAAGCTGCTCCCCGGTTCATTCATCATGCTGATACGACATCACATGCACCAGCCAATCAGATCCATTCATGCTCACGTCTAAAGAGCGCCAAGCTCAAAAATAAAAGATGGCGGACCAAACTCCGTAGGGGGTCCCTGCTCCATCTCAAAATCAGTATGGAGGAACTTGGCCTGAAAGACGTTGAAGACCCACCCAGCAGAGGTGCAAGTCAAGCAGGACTCATCAGTGAAAACCACTGTGTGGGCTGTGCAGGACCTCTACAATTAAACATTACACATGCTAATATACAGTATCTATGAAATATGATGCATTGATTAAATAAATACTAAAATAGGTATTTGACAGTCCCTCCAGCTCCACCAGTTGCAACATTAAAATGCTCAGCGACTCCATGCATAAGTGATTCTCCAGTCATTGCTCTTTCCCATTGGATCCTTTTCTACATAAGAACCTAGTTAGCTGATTAAAAAGAGCCCACTTCTTCCCAAAGCCATTATATACAAGATTCCTTGAAAATTTAAATATAGTAATTATTTAATAATTAGGACTTGAAAATATCTTTCTTTACAACACTAAAATGACATAGCTTATTGGAATGGCACACTACAAGTATTCTTAAAGAATGAATAATCACTACCAGCACTCTATTCCATTTTTCATGACGGGGGGGGGTTAATAGTGGGCCAGAGATCCTCAGCCTGCCAACTTTTGTATTGAGCATTGATTTTCAATATTCTTTGTACAGCAAATCAAAAAGGGGCTGCTGACTCTGGTGGTGAGGACAGGCCTGCGTCTGGGGGCCCTATGTGGTCAATCGCAGGTAGCTCAGCTATGCAGGTCACGCTCCCTCAGCTCCACCACAAGCATGGCCAGCGCTGTCGCTGACATGGGAGAATACAACTGCCTGAACAACACACGGAGTGTACCGGGTCAGCCCGCCAAGCCCAGGGACCGCGTCATGATGTTGATCATCCTGCAGAAAGGTCAGAAACAAAAGACATCTCAACAAACCCGTGTTGTTCTTCTTCCCACTGTTCCAACATCACCAGTGCTCGTCTGGGGGAAGTAAACCCTTAATTCTGGATGTTGTAAAGAAAATGTGAAAGTATGCTGCTTCTATACGCAGTTTCCCCAGCTGTCACTTTGTCCTTGTGCGAATGTTACTGAATTAGCCAGCTGAACAACTCAATGCCTTTGCTGTGCCACTGACTGATTGCTGACAGTGGCAGTTAATTAGGTAGTAACCTTATCCAGGGTTTTTCAACCTTTTTTGAGTTACCGTACAATTTTTTCCACGGCACACCAACAACAAAACATGTGTCACCCACGCCTCACCTCATGATCCCATGTGTGGCGGGAGTGCGCGACTAGAGACTGAAATGCGTGACTGTCACACTCAATGAGCCCTGAGCAATTGTGGATCACGTGCCTAAGAGGACAACATAAAACCGTTAGCTAGCTAAATCAGACATTAGACATTATTACAGACAATAAAACATATTGTGGCAACCCGAGGGGAGGGAGGCCAGCTTCCTGCATAAAATAGGCAGCTCGGAGGCAGGAAGTGCAAAACAAAAAGGATCCTTTAAATATTAAGGTCAAAATACAGGATCCTGGGCCAAATTCTAGCAGAAGTAGCTCTCCAGCTCTGGGCTAGTGACTCCCGTCTATTCCACGGCTCCTTCGCCCTGGGAGGGGTAGAGCAGAGGGCTGAAGCCTAGTTTATGCTTCTGCGTTTTCAGCGAGACGCCTTGCGTGTCTTTTCACACCTCCTGTCGACCCTTTTTTCTAGGCTTGCTTTAAAAGCGACGCAGCCTCCCGCAACGCACAAGGCTGTGATTGGTCTGCCAACTACGTCCTTTACGGAGTCTCACATTTCCGTTTTTATAGCACAATACGGCCGTTATTAAAACGAAGAATGTTTACGAGAGAACGGATCAGATTGAAGAACTTTTGTCTGACGAAATGCGTAAATATGAGCGCTTGTACGAGCCGTCATTGGAGACTATAAGGACGCCGGATGGCCTCTGATTCATGGAGGGAGATCTCCACAAACGAGGGGAACAAAGTCATGGAGGAAAATACGGGACAAATGTGTCCTTGATGAAAAGCAGCAGTGTGGATGCACGGGGCAATAAAGTCTATGATCAATAAATAAACCCAACAACGACTTCCACACACGAAGACGTGACTCTCCAGGTCGTCTTCAACAAAACACGTGACTCCACCTGTTGTTCTGGAGGTGAATCGCTCTGCAACACGCGCACGACTTTTAGAACCAGGAAAACGGGTGTGTCGACACGACGATGCGTAAAGACGCAGAAGCATGCGTCAACCTTGGGTCCTGTGGTTACCTCGTCTCTGCTACCGGGCTCCTCTGGCTCCCTAGATGTATCCTCCCCCTCTAATTACCTCATGGCCTGCAGGTGTGACTAATGCATCATTCCCATTGGCTGCAGCACCTGCACAGGATAATATATCCCCGTTATTACCTCCCCCAAGCGGAGCTTGGAGATCCGCCTCCTGTGCTTGGTTCCTCCCCTGGTTCACCACAATACACAAAACATATCACTAACTAATAAAAACAAGGCAAATATAAACTAAGACAACGAACATCCAAAATAATAAAGCTACCCACCAAACAGCCATGGTTCTCAGCAGGAAACCGATGGATTGCCTACTCCAGGTAGGGAATGTGTCCTTACCCCAAGTGAAGGAGTTCAAGTACCTCGGGGTCTTGTTCACGAGTGAGGGGAAGATGGAGTGTGAGTTTGGCCGGAGAATCGGAGCAGCGGGGGCGGTGTTGCACTCGCTTTACCGCACCGTTGTGACGAAAAGAGAGCTGAGCCGGAAGGCAAAGCTCTCGATCTACCGGTCAGTCTTGGTTCCTACCCTCACCTATGGTCATGAAGGATGGGTCATGACCGGAAGAACTAGGTCACGGGTACAAGCGGCCGAAATGGGTTTCCTCAGGAGAGTGGCTGGCGTCTCCCTTAGGGATCGGGTGAGAAGCTCAGCCATTCGTGAGGAGCTCGGAGTAGAGCCGCTGCTCCTTTGCGTCGAAAGGAGCCAGTTGAGGTGGTTTGGGCATCTGGTGAGGATGCCCCCTGGGCGCCTCCCTAGGGAGGTGTTCCAGGCACGGCCAGCTGGGAAGAGGCCCCAGGGAAGACCCAGGACCAGGTGGAGAGATTATATCTCTGCACTGGCCAACTTGTATTGTACTTATATGTGTATATTGCGACATCTTCGGGCACTTTAGGCCACACTCAAGCACATGGTGATTATTGCAATACCTACTGCCACCCATTGGCATGGAGTATTTCATTACTTTAGCCAGCCAATATATTGCAGCTCTGACACTCAACAATTTGCCAAATATGTTCTTTTGGACTTTTTTAAAGTGAAATTGGACATTTTCTCAACACACCTAACCAAATCAATGACCTAACCATAAAATGATGATTTAGTTCAGCTATAATCGCTATAAGTGAAAACAGACAAGTTATCTGTTGTCTCAGCTTTGGCCCTTGGCTTTGGCAGAACCCCACTGAAGACCTTTATTTTTCTCCTCTCATTGCATTGTGGTTAAAGATTTGCTCATATAATCGGGAAGTTAGAAAGTCTCTTGTGAATCAATGTTGTATTTTCTGTTTATTTCTTGGAAAAGGAAAAGAAATCCACAACAGCTGTACATGGACAGGCAGTGGCAGGCTTCTTCTTGATGTTTGAGAGCAACACAGATATATTTATACATTTATAGGGTTAACACCTTGGTTTTGTTGTGCTAAAGGCATGAAGACAGGCAACGAGGTCACAGTCTGGGGGGTGGGGGGGTATTGCACAAAAGTAGAATAAAGAAAATAAAATGCAGGATAACTAAAAAGGCGCCGCTTGACTTGTGTGATCGGCTCATCGCGGCTTAATCGGTTGCATGTCAGGATGAGAAGGAGGAGCTAAGTCAATCCAGATGTGCACAGCTGGCCTCAGTGTATGTTCATGGCTTTCTTAAGTAGACCACGGTGTCCATCCCAGATTTACCGATGCAGAAATGGAGAAGACACGTGCGGCATATTTTTAACCCACTGAGCAGCAACTAATTATGGAAACTTATGAGTGAGTGACGCATATAATATGCAAAAAAAGAAAAAAACGCAGCTGTAATAAAACAGAGAGAAAAGCCTGGCGGACAATCGCAGACCGACTGAATGCGGAAGGATATAAAAATATCAACATACTAGGGTAGTTCTCTATAAGCTGTGTCAAATAACCTAATTGAGTGTGGCCTGCGAAGCGGGCGTTATGGTGGCGGGCGGCGTTACGGCCCAGCCAAAAAGCTCCATTGGAATGAACGGAGCTCCAAAAAAAAAAAAGCCCCAGCGCCAAACCAATAGGATCTTTTAGGTACAGTGTGTTGTCCTGCGAGCACCAAACTCTCAGTTTGTGATTCAGGTTTTCCGTAGCACAGCTCAGTCTTTGCAAAGGTTCTCACACTCCTCACAATGGTAGAGTTGCATGTTGTTGTAAAGTAGTAACATTTGTTCCATTTATAGACACAACTATAGGCTCTGGTAACTTGTCATGGCCACAGTTATTATTGTTTTAACATTTTACAGAGTAAATGATTGATTGTTGGATAAAGAAAGCCTTTTTTAGTTCACCTCTAAAATCATCTGTTGTGGTATGTTGATGTACAAAAGTTTCTTTTTCGAAATTAAGCCTTTAATTATAGGCAGCATGAATGAATCATATCACAAGAAACGTTAATATGTGAATGTGTAATTTCCCAGAAGATGCAGGTGGTCTTGGTATTGGACTGTGCTGTGTTCCATCCAGTGACGGATACCCAGGGATCTACATCCTCACCCTCTCTCCAGGGTCTGTGGCTCACATGGACGGGAGACTTCGGTAAGCATACTTTACTACTGTACAAACAAGTCAACTGTAATTAAATGTTGTACACATTTAATTACAGTTGACTTGTAGCACAGTGCATGAGTTCTCCAGCTCTCAGTAAAAGGGAAATGTATTGCCTGAATTTATTTACTATTATATAAAACAGTTATTAGTGCATTTTTCAATACTGCAAAATCCTTTTGCTGCACAGTCCCAAAGACTAGTCTCACCCTGGTTGCAAGAAGAAAGACACAGCGTCACTGGTGAAAAGCAGTTGTTGTTCTTGTTGAGGCACAGGTGAACATTGCACTGAACATCTGAACGCAATCTGCCCCTTACAATTTGGAAGTTTGCAGCATTGCCGACAGCTTTCGCCATCTGGCCAGTGACCCACACAATCTGAACAGACTTCCAGTGTTAGCCTTAGCTGGACCTCAATGTTTCTTTAAATCAGCATCTGGAAGGGTACCGTTCCAAACTGGAACATCTTTTGCAGAGTTCTGTTGTTGCACTAGTTTCCACACTACTTTTTGCCATCTTCTAGTAGACTTCTTGCGGTAGTGGTGCTGGTAGCAGCTGATTGCCTTGTTGTGGCGCTGGTGCTGGCAGGTGCATCATGACTGCTGTCAGAATCTTCTTCACTACTGCTTTCATCACCTGGTGTAGGTCTGTGGTCTTCATTGCTAGTATCACTGTCACTCAGACAACTCGTATCTTTTGACTGGTGGAACCCTGGTTTAAAGTCCACTAGCTGTCTTCCCATAGAAAGTTGATGTGTCCATTTATTTCTGTGGAAAAATAAAATGTCCTGGATATCTCGGAGTGACACCTTGGGGATTTGTACGATCAACCTGAAGTGAAATTATCGTGTAACTATTGATTGTTTCCTTTTTAAATCTAATTTGACCAGAAGAACTGGTGAAAGATTTTGAAGGAAGTTAATGCTAATGTATAACATTTTTGAGTGGCTTCAACTTTGAACTGGTACATCAAAATGTCCTGATTATCACTGAGTGACACCTAGAGGTGCTATGCTGTCAACCTGAAGTGGAGTTATTATGTAACTATTGATTGATACCCTTCTCCTTGCAAATTAATCAGATCCCTCTCAAATGTTGTCAGAAAAGACCTCAGACCTTAATAATGTTTAAGATGAAGTTTGCAAAGCGGCATTCCTGGTGTCGCTCCTTATGGTTAACGATGACTAACTCTCAGACGCTTTGTCCGAGGGCTGCAGGAGTTCTTGGCTGCGTTTCTAGCTGTCCGGCTGGTGCCCCGACATGCGGAGTAGCGAGGACCCGTCCAACGCTGCTTGCATCGCCGCTTATCCGGGGTCGGGTCGCGGGGGCACCAGCTCCAGCAGGGGACCCCAAACTTCCCTTTCCCACGTTTACCAGCTCTGACTGGGGGATCCCAAGGCGTTCCAGTGCAGATATATAATCTCTCCACCTAGTCCTGGGTCTTCCCCGGGGCCTCTTCCCAGCTGGCCGTGCCTGAAACACCTCCCTAGGGAGGCGTCCAGGGGGCATCCTCACCAGATGCCCAAACCACCTCAACTGGCTCCTTTCGACGCAAAGGAGCAGCGGCTCTACTCCGAGCTCCTCACGAATGGCTGAGCTTCTCACCCGATCCCTAAGGGAGACGCCAGCCACTCTCCTGAGGAAACCCATTTCGGCCGCTTGTACCCGTGACCTAGTTCTTTGGGTCATGACCCATCCTTCATGACCATAGGTGAGGGTAGGAACCAAGATTGACCGGTAGATCGAGAGCTTTGCCTTCCGACTCATCTCTTTTCGTCACAACGGTGCGGTAAAGCGAGTGTCCATGAAGACCACAAACAGGATTGGTGACAAGGCGCAGCCCTGGCGAAGGCCAATCCCCAACGGAAACGCCTCTGACTTACTTACATATATATTAAGAAGCTTTTATTGATCAAATCAATGACTCTTCCAAGCACAATGAGTTACTCAGAACAGCATTGTTTCACATTCAGCACGTCATTTTTTCACCTTAATTGTTGTTTCTTTCCACATCTTTTCCTGAACTTTCTCCTTGTTCCTTTAGATGTGGGGATGAGATTATGGAGATCAACGACACTGTGGTTTACAACATGGTGCTGAATGATGTCTACACAGTATTGAGCCAGTGCGCACCAGGTCCAGTCCATGTCATTATCAGTCGACACCCCGATCCCAAAGTATGCAACGCCTCCACCTCATTTACCTTAACCAGCATGTGCAGCCTTAATGTGGCCTCTTTGGTAATGACATTGAAGGCCTCTATGCTGTCAGCATGAAAGCATTTAATCTAAATCCATCAAGGCTTCAAGCTAAGCGCTAACATCTGCATGCTAACATTCTCACAGTGACTATGTTCTGGGGAGGTTTTCCTGTGTTGAACATACCAATAAAAATGATCTTTAAGTGCAATAAAAATACATTTATTTTGTGAAATGACAAAACACAATTAATCTAAAAAGTGAGTTAAGCCTCACTTCAGTCCTTCAATCAAGAGGATTGGCAGTTTGATCCCCGGCCCTTCTAGTCTGCATAAGGATGTGTCCTCGGGCAAGAAAATGAAACCCAAATTGCTCCCATAGCTGTGACTACATTGTATCAATGTTAATTACTGATGGGCAGGTGTCACTGTGTATGGTAACTATTGTGGTTGGTGTATGAATGGATGTATGAATGAAAGTACAGTCCATATACCATTCATAGGCAGTTTTCTCTGCCTGGGAAGATACGTTTTGGGGAAAGGATGTCCTGTTGTTGCTGCATGCTGCCTTTCACATTTTTAAAGTCCCACTGTTTTATGTCTTTATAGGCTTTCAACAATAGCTACCCAAAAAGACGAGCATCATGTCAAATTAAAAAAAAACTATTTTACAAAAATACTGTAACCGTGGAAGAAAAGGAAAGTTAATTATAAAATTATAAAAACAGCATTTCCACTGTGTAGAAACAACAATAAACTAATTATCCCAGATCCCCATCTGGGATAAAACACCTGACCACTACAGTGTTCTGGTTAAAGGACAAACGTACTCTCACCCAGAGTTACCCACATGTCTCCTTTAAAATGTGTGTGAGTCCCCTCAATCACCAAAATTCTTTCATCACCCTGACTTATTCATTCCAATCTTTTGTGTGTCATAGGTATCCGAGCAGCAGCTGAAACACGCTATTGCTCAGGCAGTGGAAAACAGCCAACTGATGAAAGATAAGAGCCAGTGGAGCATTCATGGTGAAATATATATTTGGTCATTATTCATTTTCCACAGTCACATCCAGGTCTGTAGCAGCAGCCTCAACATCACAAAGATTGGAGTGTTTTTGAGGCTGCTGCTACAGACCTGGATGAGCCAACGGATACTGTCACATCATACATCAGTTTTTGTGAGTACATCTGTATGCAGACTAAAACATTCAGCACATGCAACAAAAATAAATAATGTTTAACAGAAAGCCCACTCTCAGACCCCCCCCGATGCCCCTCCATCATCAAACAATCACCTACACCCCTAGCGTCCTTCTTACCTCTTTTAACCGAGCCCCAGCCAAGAAAAGAGGATGTGAGTTGGCTCTTTCACAGTCCAAAGACCGGGAAGACTCTGGGCCTAGATGGGGTGTTGGCTTCCTGCCTGAAAGTGTGCTTACCAGCTGGCCCCCATCTTCACACTGATGTTTAACCGATCATCCCGATTTCTAAGAAATCTTCCATCAAAGGATTATATGACTATAGGCCCGTCGCCATGACGTCTGTGGTCATGAAATTCTTTGAGAAGCTGGTGTTAACCAACCCGAAGAACATCTCAGGGCTCCTGCTGGACCTCCTGCAGATTGCCTCCCCGGGCCGACAGGTCAGTGGATGATCAGTCAACATTGGACTCCACCACATGCTGGACCACCTCGACTCACCAGGGACATATGCACGAGTTCTGTTTGTGGACTTCAGCTCTGCGTTCAGCACCATCGTCCCGGGATTACTTGAACACTCTCCCAGCTCACTCTGCCAGCCTCCACCTGTCAGTGGATCTTCCTAACAGACAGGACGAAGTAGGTGAGGCCTGGGAAATTACCTCAAATCGCCGGACAACAACGCCCCCCGGAGATGTGTGCTCTCCCCATTGCTCTTCTCCCTGAGAAGATTAACTAAGATGACCCAACTGCCAGACTCCAGAAGTTCTCAGAGGACACAACGTTCATTGGCCTCCTAATGGACGGAAATGAGTCTGTGTACAGATGGGAGATTGACCAGCTGGTCCTCTGGTATGGTCAGAACAACCTGAGATGACAGTGGACTTCAAGAAGAGCCCCCCAACACCGTCCCCCCTCAACATACTCAACAGCACTGCGTCTGCTGTGGAGACCTTCAGGTTCCTGGGATCCACAACCTCCTGGGACCTGAAGTGAGTCTCCAACATCGACACCATCAGGAAGAAGGCTCAACAGAGGTTATACTTTGTGCACCAGCTCAGCCCCCTCCAATCGCCTCGATCCCCTCAGTTGTTCACATATTCACATACTGTAGTTTCAGGATATATATTTACAATCACGTTGTATAGTTATTACATTTATTCTTTATTGAGTGATATATACGTGTCCAATAAAGCCAATTCTGATTCAGACAAGTTTGCCTGGACTCAAGTAGTTTTACTCCTGTTTCCTCGCACACTTTTTGGCTTAGTCCCATGTCTCATGTCGTTATTTTAAAAATATTTATGAGACTCTCATGTAAGCCACCTTAACTTTATGCAACTGTTAGGTCTAGCTCGCCCTGAAAGCTATTGTTATCTTGGTTGGACAATAATTGAAGCATTTCTTTTGTGCCTTGAATGGAGCCTTCAATTTCCCTGAGATTGTAGAAGGCAGAGACAACTGCAAATAAAATGGTATTGCCAGTATCACAGTATCACATATCACATTTTCTCAGGGAAAGAGGAATCTAGTTTTCGTTTAAATCTTTAGTTTTCATCAAATCAAATCTTGTATTATTTAGATAAGTCTTGTTTGGTCACAGGGCTGCGTGTACCGGCATCCTTCTCTCACAGCCAGCTCAGATGTGAACAATGTCTGGAGAGGAGTTTCAGTCAGCTGACGGTTCGACAAGCCCAGAAGACCATGACCCGCTCCTGCAGCGACAACACCCATGGTCCCAATCACAACAACTGCCTTACCACACACAGCCTTCACAATACACACCGTACCCCATCAGCGCGCGTCCACAGCCTTGACACATCCGAGGTAACCAAATATGTCACAGGTTTGTAGAGGGTTCTAAATACAGTTTCTGCTATCAGATTAATGTTGGTTTTTGGGGAAATCAATTAGAATCCAGGTAATCACCTACTTTGAAATGAAATGTTAATCTTATCCTGTCTCATTCTTGTTGTGTAGTCTATAACAGAGACGTGCTCTGACAACAGACTGTCAGTGCCAGTGTATCCTGATGAAGACTATAACCTTCCACGCAACCATACTCCTGCCAACTTGTCAAGTCAACACGCCCTTGATCTGGCCTCAAGGGGTTACAAGGTAAGCTACAGAGGTGTCAAGTAACCAAGTACAAATACTTTCTTCCCTTACTTAAGTAGAAATGTGGGATATCTAGAGTATTTATTTTTCAGACAACTTTTTACTTCTACTCTACATTTTCACGGAAATATGTGTACTTTCTACTCCTTAGATTTTAAAAAGAGCCTGTCGTCGTTGAAAAACACACACACAAAAAAACCCTATTCAGATAAATGATCCGTCATCCGTAGAGAGTAGATTTGATTGTGGTTGGATGAGAATTATAAACATAGACCATTTTGACACCCTATTGGTTTTCTCCGTGATGCACCTACTAATGACACAAATCAGAGTGACGCCGGGTGCGAACAGTGGTCGGTGGAAGGATCCTTTGTCAGAATGGCACAAGCCGATCTCAGTTGGGTATTTAGCGACATGGACCCTACTCCTCCTCCTCGTGCAAATTCCATGTAACGTTAAATGAGTATCTTCATGACCGTGGGTTGGTTATTTTTTTACTTTCTGCCCTGCTTACTATGGGAAATGTAATCCCTGCTGCAACCACTGGGAGGGGATGTACCGCCCATCGATGACACTTCCTCCCATGACATCAGAATATATTGTTTCAATCAGCACCCGTCCTGCCCTGCTTGTATCTTTTCATTATAGTGTACTGGTAGACTACTTGAGTTGGAAAAGTCATTATAACAACAACCCTCACTTGTTACAGGTGAGCAATTCAGCTTTCACAGACAAAAAAGTTCAGTTCAGTTTTAACTATGAAGAGTCTAATGAGTTGAATGTAGCTTGTCAATCAAATTCTAAATGAATGCTCTTACCATTCGATACATAGCTTTTAATATTGGTACTGAAAAAAGGGTCATCATAAAGTATTTTCGAACCAAAGTGGCAGCAACATACCGACCCACAGCTCTATCTCGTCCTCCCAAAAGCCAGGATACCGCAGCACCAGGAAAAATGAATCGGCAGGGCAGCCCCTCAGGTGCAGACCACCAGTGCAGAAATAAGCTTGCTACATTTCAGCTAACTGCTAACTGGGCTATCACCCCAGGAGCTGATGACTGCTCCACTCCTGTAAAAGCAGCCTTCCTTCAGGCGGTGGGGAGTTTAATAAAGTTTAATAAACAAACTATCAAAACTCACTTAGACCATGGATCTTTTATTGACAATGGAGAGTAGATCTGCTCTGTGCAGCAGATCCACTCTCCATTATCTGGACCGAGGGTAGACTGAACGCTACAGCCCCTCACTATGGCCTCTGAAGAAACAAGCGGTATTTCCAGAAGAGGCTGCACCTCACTGATCGGCATCTCTGCCGCACAATAAATTACACATATCACATAACATCACGGCAAAACGTTTACTTTTTATATTGATAATGTGGGTTACATTTCTGAATGTTTCAAACATAGTACTGGCCAGACACTATATGTTGTACATATTATACCTGTGAAAGCGCTGTGTGTCTCTAGTCCACCTGCAGGATGCGTGTTGCTCAACATCGGCATTGCAGGCCTCAGGATGTTACCAGTGAGGAGGGTTGTAATGGAGAGTCCAGTGGACCCACCAGAGGATCCCCTGTTTGCGATGGAGGACTGGAGTCCTCATCACACATCAGCTGCCAGGTACATTACAGCTGCTATGATTCAATGCAAAAACGGGTATCAAACACGCATTATTACTTTGCAGTTAAATATTTAACATTCATTCCAATATGTCTGACATACAAGGAATTTGACTTGCCGGTTGATGCGTAACAGCAGACAGTACGACAATGGACGACAAGACAACAGTGCACAAGGAATAAAATAAAATGTAATGCTATGGGTTAGTAGTTTAAGGCTGTTAGTGTGGCCCGAAGTCTTAGTCCAAGTAGTCCAAGTCCAAGACAAGTAGCACTATATTATATGTCAGAACCTGAATGCAACTACTGAAATAACTGATTTATCAGGCAGTTTGATTGAATGACATGAAAGAAGGCTTATCTCGGTTATCGGTTTATCAGTAGAGAGCAGCAGTGTTGTGGCCTCAAGATCTTAGGTATATCAAGGGGCAGTCAGGGAAGCCATCCGACTGAAGAAGGAGGCCTTCCGGGTTATGATATCTGGTATGATTCCGGAGGCAGTTGCAGTGTACCGGCGTGAAGGGCGGCAGCCGCTGCCGTGAAGGAGTCAACTCTACAGTGGCGAGTTGTTTGATGAGATCCGTCCAGAGATGCTGAAAGCAATGCATGTTTGGGGTCTGTCTTGGATGACACACCTCTTCAACATTGCGTGGAAGTCTGGGACAGTGCCAAAAGAGTGGCAGACCGGGGTGGTGGTACCTCTCTTCAAAAAGGGGGACCAGAGAGTGTGTGCCAATTACAGGGGTATCACACTACTCAGCCTCCCGGGTAAAGTCTACTCCAAGGTGCTGGAAAGGAGGGTTCGGCCGATAGTCAAACCAAGGATTGAAGAGGAACAATGCGGTTTTCGTCCTGGGCGTGAAACGACGGACCAGCTCTTTACACTTTCCAAGAGGGGGCCTGAGAGTCTGCTCATCCAGTCTACATGTGTTTTGTGGACCTGGAGAAGGCCTATGACCAGGTCCCCCGAGAGATGATGTCGGAGGTGCTGCGGGAGTACGGGGGTGAGGGGGTCCTTGCTTGGGGCCATCCAATCCCTGTACACCCAAGCGAGAGCTGTGTTCGGGTGCTCGGCAGTAAGTCGAAGGCGTTTCCGGTGGGAGTCGGCCTTCGCCAGGGCTGCGCTTTGTCACCAATCCTGTTTGTGGTCTTCATGGACAGGATATTGAGGCGTAGTTGGGGGGAGGAAGGCCCTACAGTTTGGGGGGCTGCAGATCACATCGCTTCTTTTTGCAGAGGACGTGGTCCTGATGGCACCTTCTGTCTGTGACCTCCAACTCTCACTGGAGCGTTTCGCAGTCGAGTGTGAAGCGGTCGGGATGAGGATTAGCACCTCTAAATCTGAGGTCATGGTTCTCAGCAGGAAACCGATGGATTGCCTACTTCAAGGTAGGGAATGTGTCCTTATCCCAAGTGAAGGAGTTCAAGTACCTCGGGGTCTTGTTCACGAGTGAGGGGAAGATGGAGTGTGAGTTTGGCCGGAGAATCGGAGCAGCGGGGGCGGGATTATAGTCGCTTCGCCGCGCGGTTGTGACGAAAACAGAGCTGAGCCGGAAGGCAAAGCTCTCGATGTACTGATCAATCTTCGTTCCTACACTCACCTATGGTCATGAAGGATGGGTCATGACCGGAAGAACTAGGTCACGGGTACAAGCGGCCGAAATGGGTTTCCTCAGGAGAGTGGCTGGCGTCTCCCTTAGGGATCGGGTGAGAAGCTCAGCCATTCGCGAGGAGCTCGGAGTAGAGCCGCTGCTCCTTTGCGTCGAAAGGAGCCAGTTGAGGTGGTTTGGGCATCTGGTGAGGATGCCCCCTGGGCGCCTCCCTAGGGAGGCACGGCCAGCTGGGAAGAGGCCCCAGGGAAGACCCAGGACTAGGTGGAGAGATAAATATCTATATACTGGCTTAGGAACACCTGGATCCCGCAGTCAGAGCTGGTAGACGTGGCCCGGGAAAGGGAAGTTTGTTTTATTAATCAGTTTATTAATTCAGTTACCATGACAGGGTTCTGAAAGTATGTCTGAGATCACTTTATCACTGAGAGATGACAGGGAAACTGTTACTTTCTCAATGCACTCATCAATGTACTAACCATGCTTCTCCTGTAAAGAATGACCTGTGACACACTGTTTTCCTTCCACATCCGGCAGCTCTTCAGCAGAATGTACAAGTCCTTGAGAAAGATCCTGAGGTTGCTCTTAACGAATGTATGTTAAGCGATGTGGCTTCCAGTGTATTGCTCGTGAATTCACGCTGAACATCTTTTAGGGCTTTATGTGTTTTAATCTGCTCTTACTGGCACTACTCTAATAAAGCATCCATTTTGTTGGTTTTTGAATTGAATCCAAGGTCTTTCAAAAGGGTAAATCAGTTATAAGCCATTTGAAAAATCATTACTTATTTACTATCTTATGGAAAGCTATCCAAGGGGAGGCTTATGGTTGGACAACCTATCAGACAAGAGAATCGTGTCTCCCAGTGAGTACCAACCATCATTTCTAGTGTAAAACTATATCAACTAAGTGAAGCACACACTGCTTTTACATGAATGTACACAACCGCTCCTGTGAAGCTTTCAGCTGTATCAATCACCGAAAAGCTTCTTGTTGGCAGCTAACACCCTCTAAAGAGTTACATATTTATGCGATTTTATGAGAAAAATGTAATCCTTTCTTGTATAGCCCACAATATGCCGACATTTAATACGACTTTGGAGAAGTATGTTCACAGTCAATTTACAACAGATAAAAACGTATACAATTAGCTAATAGGAGTTGTGTGACACATTGATGTTAGCCATGTACAAGTGTCTTCATCTTTGTGTACAACTGGCTTTGATATTACGGTGTTAGAATATAATATAACTGTGTTTAAAAAAACAATTGTATGTTGCAGTTATGCTTATCATGCATGCCTTTACATGTGTCTTGGTATGTGCATGTCAGCAAGAGAGCAGTGCATGGCATGTGCTTGTCGCGGGCTAAATTGGGCCAGAGCCAAAGTTAACACAACACTTATGGAATTTAGTAAGTAAACCGGAACATTGTGGTGCCTTAATCTGTTGCTGAGCGGTGCTGCAGCAAAGTGAACAAAATCTGCCGTGCTTGCCGGTATGAAGCCGGGGGTTTGGTCACGTGACATGGTCCTTGTCCAACGGGAGCTCTGTGCGCTTCTCCGCACAGCCCCCTTTATTGTCCTGTTAAGGTCTGGTGCCCAGCAGGGGGCCGCTCCTGGTCAAACATTCACATCTTCCTGCATGTTCCTTTGGTTCCCAGAGGAGCACAAATGAGGGGCCAACACCAATGTATTTGCACCTGTCTATTTCTTTATCAAAATCTACATCTATCTTCATTTAAATGAAGGCTAATACAAATCCGGTCATTTAGATAGTTTCATTTGATTTGAGATGTACAATCTGTCTCATGAATTCTATGCTAATTAAAAACAATCTCCTTCTAGGGTGCCATTGATAGACAATCTTTGCACTGAGGAACTAGTTTCCATGAAAATTGCTGTGTGATCTGATCCCACCTCCCCCTCCTCAACAAAGCTCAATCCTACCACTGACTGAATGCACCACTCTCGTTCACTTCATGGGCCTGTAAGTCAAACCGTGTGAGAGCAGTAGCAGTTGTGTGGATCAACGTCTGAGCGGAAGCAGGAAGCATGTTATTGCACCTCTCTGTGGTTGATACAAGAGAAGCTGTTGTGACAAAATACTTCCTGTTTGTGAAGCAGGAAGGAGAACGAATAAGAGAAGATTCAGAGGGGATCAAGGAAAATGCCTCTCAACCTGTAGCCGATACCAACAACGGACTTCACTCAGGTAAGACCAGTATTACCATATTATATTTCAGCACCTGAATGAAATTACGTTTCACTTGACAACGTGACAGAAGGCTGATCTTGGTTATCAGTATTTCAGTAGAAAGACACTGGTGTTGCACTTGGCAAGGTCACATGTGTCTGAATATTTTTCAATTAGATGACACATTGAATTAAACACAAACCATGAATTTATTTCCAAGCTAAATCAAGTAGATGTGTTTCACAACGTTAACCACTTGATAATGTTTTTTTCTACATACGTCAAGGCTAATATGAACATTCATGATACAGCAGCTAGCTGGCTTTGGTTAGACCGAAACTGTCAGGGCTTAAATGACTAGTAAAACTATTATTGTCTTGTCCATGATAACTTCCAGGTTCTTCCTAATTTGTTTTCTAATAGTTGAATATAAGTGTATTTGAATTTATGAAATAAACCTTTGAAACTTTATTAAACGTAAGAATAAGAATCATGTTTACATCGTGAATACACTGTGGACACTACTCCTACGTTTGAGAGATGAACATGTTTGAAACACACAACTACCCCTCAGCGTATTGTACTTTCCTCTGTGCAAACAGCGGTTCTCTGCTCACAGCTGAAGAGAGGAGCCCTGAGGAGGAAGGCTCGTATCGAAGAACAGCTTCAGGATCCTTGGGTTCGCCTTTCAAACAGCCCTCCGGAAGAACGGACTAGGATCCACCATCGCCCCTGCAAGCGTGCTGCAGAAGGAACACAGCCTGTGAACATCCACAACAAGCCTGCCGCCACAAGTGACCAACCGAACATGTCCAATCTCAATGGCTTAGCCACCGATGGATCTTCAGATCCTCCATCCAACACGGCCCCTGGAAACGTATCGGAAGCACCTTTGGGAGCAAAGTTAGGGCCCCCGGTGGCACCAAAACCTGTCTGGTTTCGAAGGAGTTTGAGGAAAATTGAGGATGAGCAGGAACAGAAGAAGCAAGCTAAACCCGCAGAGGAGAGGTTGGCTGAAGGCTTCAACAGAAGCTTTGGAGTCAGATCTGCCTCTTCTGCTGCCAAGTTGTCAATCAAACAAAAGATCCATTCATTTGAAACTTTTTCCAATCCAGAGGTTCCAGAAAAGGGGGGTATCAGGTCGCCCCTGGCCCCTTCCAACTCTCTTCCTCTGGTGAGGGATTCCAAGAGTCCCCCTGCCTCACATCGAGAGTTTGGAAATGGCAAAAATGAAATGCCAAAAGAGATCCAGGCTAACAAGTCTGCATCTGTTAGGGAGACAAACCACACACTTGTGTTTGCTTCACCCTCTGCTACCACCATCTCCTCCTCTGAAGCTTGTAGTCAAACACCAGCAGAGTCCCCTGATGATGAACCTCACTCTAGCCAATCCTTTAAGGCTCGGCCACTTTTTGACACCATCAGTGGCAATCTGGACTCAGGGACGCATGATTTTCATTCAGCTCAAGTCCATGATGACAGAAATGTCTTTCCAACAAAGCAGGGATCGGAGCTCAAGAGAGTGGATCTTACCGGGGACACAGAGTGCAAAGTCCCACCCTCTGAAACATCTGTAGGATCCAGTGAAGTCCAAGGGGAAAGTTCTCCAGAGAGTCCAGAGGAAGATGGAGCACACAGCCAAGAAATGGTGCAGAGCACCACTCTGAGAGCGGTTCCCCCCGCAGACAGTAACACCCTGGGAGGTCTGGGGGAAGATATTTTAGGCAAAATCCTTTCCTTCAGTAACCAGGTAATGTCATGGGAGCAGCTATGATCGTGTCTTTGTGTTACTTGTAAATGTTCTTTAAATGGAAATCGCCATCCATTGTTACTTTTAAGGCTTTAAAGTAAGAATTGATCCAGATGATCCAAACCTCAGTATGTGGAAGACACAGGCAGAACCTGCGCCTGGGAAAAGTAAAACCAAAGCTATATTCTCTTTAATGTCCATCGGGGTCCTCTGCTTTTTTAAAAGTCATTTAACTTGTTACCGGACCCCTGAATGTAAAGTGGGTAAAGCCAGCTTAGTTTGCAGCAATTTGAGCGTACACGAGAGCAGCACAGATGGAGGATTTATGGAGTGGACGAGTCTCTACTTGCATTTGTCATATTTCTATCATAACGATCTGATTTCCAAGGCATTCTGTAAAATAGTCAGTCAGAAACTCTTGTGGCTTATTGTTGAACAGTTCCATTCATTTCTACACTACGAAGCCCAATGTAAAAACATGTTTTTTCCAGGTGTCACAAGCTCTGATGCGCTGCCGACCGATACACCCCCGCCAAGGAAACGCTGCCTCCCTAAAGGACTCCTCCGCTGTCGACTTTACAGAGCACATGCTGGACCCCCCCGACAGAGGGTTCTCTGTCAGGTACCACTCACTCTCTGCGTTAACATTATGTGTTGTGCTCCATTATTTAAACAGGAAGTCATCACCAGAAGGCACAGGGCTTATTTGAATTCATAAGGAAGTGGTTCAAGTTGCTAAAAAAATCAATTCCTGTTTTACAAGAGAAGCAGTGAATTGTCAAAAGAGATGTTGAATGCAGCTCAGTAGCTGACATTAGATCCTTATCTGTCATTTGCTGTCGTTATTTTAAACACAGCTTGGCCACACTGAGGAAGTGCACAATTGAGCGCGGGGAGGAGGCTTGTGATGACGAGGCAGCGCTCACTTCGGCCCAGTCCGTCATCTCAGCGATCCCCTCTCAGGAAATACAGAGGATGATCCAGGAAGTCAAAGGTCTGGACGAAGAGACCCTGAAGGTAAGAAACATCACTGCGGACACATGTATGTGTGTGTGTATACATCCCTGACTCTTAAACATACAACATCATAGCATAGCATTCATATATTCAATTTAATGATATTTAGGATTATAGAAGTAGCATAGTCAAGTCAAAAACAAATAAATTGTCACACATGAGTAATTATTACTCATACATTATATGCACACATATCAGATGAACGTCATTCAGAAATGCTGTTAGAACAGACTGAACATGAAGTTTCATATAAAGCTCAGATGTAGTGAAATCTATAAACCCGCTGTGAGCGTGAACAATGCTTGGTGGTAATAAGACGCGTAACGAACAAACACACTGCAGTAATAACTGTTTCTCTTTTTCTACAGCAACTGGCGGCCATCCATGTTGTGGTTCTACACAAAGAGGAGGGAGCTGGTCTGGGCTTCAGTATTGCTGGAGGTTCTGACCTGGAGAGTAGAGCTACCACAGTAAGCAGCACTCTTCTCATCCCATTAGTGACAGTTGTGGTCTTTCATTCAAGGTTACACTAACAGCGAGGACACATACCTGTGTGATTCATAAATAAGATAATGGTTTGAGAATGAAAACTCCTTTTGAAACTTTTATGGATTATTTATTGGCGTTGTGTAAGTCAGGGTTAGTTGTCGTCCATTGGTGCTACACAAGAACAACTTGATTTAAATTAAAACCAGAAGTGATGTTAGTTGTTGAATAGATTGTGGTGGTACTGGTGTCTCAGTGGTCAGCTGATCAGGGACAAGCATAGCATAGTCAGGGTAGTGTGATACCCCAGAGGGTCGAGCAGACCCTTAAGTCCCCGTTTTTGAGGGGGAACCAGCATCCCGGTCTGCCAGTCCATTGTTCCTGACTCCCATGCGACATTGAAAAGGCGACAGCCCAACAATGTCCGGCGCCTTCACCCCCCCGGCGCCTTGCCACCAGGGAGCTTTACCAACCTTAGCAGCCTCTACCAGGGCTAGTGAGAGTGATGGAGGCCTGAATGGGACACGTGCTTAGACATTCATGTGTGTAGTGACTCTACAGTCATCACAACAGCTCTTGATGTGGATTAAATGCTGGATTACTTTCTCCTGCTTTTAGATGTGGTCATTTTAGCATTTAATGACCACATCTTAAAAAAAAGGGTATTTATCCTCTATTTTTTGCCTGGGATGGACTCCAGCCCCCCTGCGACCCTGTGTGCAGGATAAGCAGTTTGACAATGGATGGATGGATGGATCCTCTATTTTGTTATTTATGTTGAATACATATCACAAAAAGGCCGTACTACTATTTACTTTTTTACGACCGTATAACAATTCTTTAAATATATCATTGTGATCGTAACAAGTGCCCTTTGGGACACTCGCTGTCTTCGTCCAGGTCCACAGAGTGTTTCCCAGCGGCCTGGCAGCTCAGGAGGGCACCATTGAGAAAGGAGATGAGGTGTTGTCTATAAACGGACAAACGCTGCGCGGCCTCACGCACGCCGACGCCACCGCGGCTCTGCGTCAGTCCCGCTGCCTGAAACAGGCCGTGGTGGTGGTCAGCAAAGGAGCCGAGGACGATGGAGGAGAGGGGGGAGGCCCTGCAGGTCAGTCCCAACTCCGCTTCCTTACGTCAACAGTAGGTGGCGTGCTTCCCGTAGGCCTGTATCGGACTTGTGTTTTGTGTAGCAGCGGAGGAGCAGGGAGCCCTGCTGACTGCGCAGCTCCACAAAGGAGCTGGAGGAGTCGGCTTCACCCTGGAGGGAGGAAAAGGCTCAATCCATGGAGACAGACCTTTAGTCATCAACAGGGTCTCTAAAGGTACACTCATGATGTCTCAGTAGCGCCCCTAGTGGTCAGCAGTGTGTGGACGTTACTGACGACTGCACGAGTGATCCAAAGACATTTACTCTTCGTTATTGGGGGGAAACATTTTCAGAACTGCGAATGGAGCCTCTGGAACGGAAGCTGCTTCAGAGGCACTAGTCAGACGTACTAGTCAGACGTACTAGTCAGACATACTAGTCAGACGTACTAGTCAGAGGAACTAGTCAGACGTACTAGTCAGATATACTAGTCAGACGCACTAGTCAGATGTACTAGTCAGACGTACCAGTCAGACGTACTAGTCAGAGGCACTAGTCAGAGGCACTAGTCAGATATACTAGTCAGATATACTAGTCAGATATACTAGTCAGACGCACTAGTCAGACGCACCAGTCAGACGCACTAGTCAGACATACTAGTCAGACGCACCAATCAGATGTACCAGTCAGATGTACTAGTCAGAGGCACTAGTCAGACGTACCAGTCAGATGTACTAGTCAGACGTACCAGTCAGATGTACTAGTCAGACGTACTATTCAGACGTACTAGTCAGACGTACTAGTCAGACGCACCAATCAGATGTACCAGTCAGATGTACTAGTCAGAGGCACTAGTCAGACGTACCAGTCAGACACACTAGTCAGACGCACTAGTCAGACGTACTAGTCAGACGTACCAGTCAGACGTACTAGTCAGAGGCACTAGTCAGAGGCACTAGTCAGACGTACTAGTCAGATATACTAGTCAGACGCACTAGTCAGACGCACCAGTCAGACGCACTAGTCAGACATACTAGTCAGACGCACTAGTCAGACGTACCAGTCAGATGTACTAGTCAGACGTACCAGTCAGATGTACTAGTCAGATGTACCAGTCAGATGTACTAGTCAGACGTACTAGTCAGACATACTAGTCAGACGCACTAGTCAGATATACTAGTCAGACGTACCAGTCAGACGTACTAGTCAGATATACTAGTCAGACGCACTAGTCAGACGTACTAGTCAGACACACTAGTCAGATGTACCAGTCAGATGTACTAGTCAGATGTACTAGTCAGACGCACCAATCAGATGTACCAGTCAGATATACTAGTCAGACGTAGGAGACTGATCAACTAGTCAGAGGCACTAGTCAGACGCACTAGTCAGACGCACTAGTCAGACGTACCAGTCAGACGCACTAGTCAGATGTACTAGTCAGACGTACTAGTCAGACGCAGCAGTCAGATGTACCAGTCAGATGTACTAGTCAGACGTACTAGTCAGAGGCACTAGTCAGACGTACTAGTCAGACGTACTAGTCAGAGGCACCAGTCAGATATACTAGTCAGACGCACTAGCCAGATGTACTAGTCAGACGTACTAGTCAGACGCACCAATCAGAGGCACCAGTCAGACGTACTAGTCAGACGTACCAGTCAGACGTACCAGTCAGACGTACTAGTCAGACGCACCAATCAGAGGCACCAGTCAGACGTACTAGTCAGATATACTAGTCAGACGCACTAGTCAGATGTACCAGTCAGATATACTAGTCAGAGGCACCAGTCAGACGTACTAGTCAGAAATACTAGTCAGATATACTAGTCAGACGCACTAGTCAGATGTACTAGTCAGACGCACCAGTCAGATGTACCAGTCAGATGTACTAGTCAGACGTACTAGTCAGAGGCACTAGTCAGAGGCACTAGTCAGACGCACTAGTCAGACGCACTAGTCAGACGTACCAGTCAGACGCACTAGTCAGATGTACTAGTCAGACGTACTAGTCAGACGCAGCAATCAGATGTACCAGTCAGATATACTAGTCAGACATACTAGTCAGAGGCACTAGTCAGACGTACCAGTCAGACGCACCAATCAGATGTACTAGTCAGATATACTAGTCAGACGCACTAGTCAGATGTACTAGTCAGACGCACCAATCAGATGTACCAGTCAGATATACTAGTCAGACGCACCAATCAGATGTACCAGTCAGACGTACTAGTCAGACGTACTAGTCAGAGGCACCAGTCAGATATACTAGTCAGACGCACTAGCCAGATGTACTAGTCAGACGTACTAGTCAGACGCACCAATCAGAGGCACCAGTCAGACGTACTAGTCAGATATACTAGTCAGACGCACTAGTCAGATATACTAGTCAGACGCACCAATCAGAGGCACCAGTCAGACGTACTAGTCAGATATACTAGTCAGACGCACTAGTCAGATATACTAGTCAAGACGCACTAGTAATTCTGAACATGAGTGATTTTAGGTCAAACTCGGGGTGGGAGTGCACTTCAGCCTCCTGTGGCCATAATTAGTATTACAACAAAAACACAGAAAATGATCAAAATAAATTTTAAAAATCACCCGGCGAACTGTTTTCGGTTTTCACAGATGAAAGTAACGATTCAGGGAATTATTTTCACAGCTGGGAACAGAAATAGTAGCAATAAGTCGGCTGTCCTGCTGTTGTGAAGGATCCCCAGGCTGACGCTGTGTGTGTTTCAGGTGGAGCAGCAGAGCAGAGCGATCTGCAGCATGGAGATGAGCTGCTGCAGGTCCAGGGAACCAGCCTGCAGGACATGACTCGCTTCGAGGCCTGGAACATGATCAAGACCTTACCTGAAGGACCCATCATGGTGGTCATCAGAAGGGGGGTCGGGGGGGTAGAATGACAGACACGGCTGATGAAATCCACAGTAAAACACATTTCTGTCATACTTTTAGCACATTTGTGAACAGATATGGATGATCAAGTTCTACCATAACCCCCCCCCCCCCCCCCCGTGCGGGAGAGAAGGGGGGCACAAACCTGTAGTGAGGTGACGTAGAATACGTCCATGTTTTACCCCTTTAGTTGTTGCATATCTGGCGTCAGCGCTTGAAGAAAGACGCATGTATTGATTGTAACAGTGACGGCTACACAGGGACAGTGTCCATGCTCTATTGCTGCTCACTGATTGACAGCTTGATGGAGCAGCAGTTGGGGGCGGGGCTTAGCCAAATAGGTAGGATTTTCTATAACTATAGAAAATTATTAACAATCTGCTTCAATCTTTAAAGGTCAAAATAATTGAGCTGCTTTAAAGAAGCAGTTGTTTTGTTGGTCTGTGCACCTTGTGTGGCGTCTTTGCCACTGTTCAAAATAAACAGTTTTCTTTTTCTGCGTCAGACCTGCCGTCCTGAATGTACGAAGGGATCCATTACGTCTCTAAAAACAATCCTTCCAATAAGCCAGAACAAGGCGAAGTGGAAAGCAGAAAACCTACAGCAGCTTTCAGCTTCTCCTCAGACAGTAAGAACAAAGCAGATTAACACGTCACTCGTACCTCATACCTGACCAGTGAAAATGAGCAAAGAACTGGACTACACCGTAAGGATTTTAATGCTGGTGATATACAAAAGTTACAGGGTGCAGAACAGTACAAGATAAGCCGTGGATGTGTTTGACTGGCAGCAGTAAGAGGAGAAAGTGGAACCATGTGAGTCCTGTAACACGGGAGCCAGAACACGAGTGAAGGGACTCATTCTGCAAACATCTGGCGCGGCGCCGCAGACGTGGACGTTCCGTCTTCGGTCTCATCACTGTGACAAATGGAGAGTTGAGCTCTTTCACCGCTCTGTTAATCGAGATGCAGCTGATGCTTGTTGGTCGGGTTCAGAGGTCACAACCTGAAGCGTGTGGTGCTGGTTGCACTTGCGAGCGTAAAGCAGAATTTATTTTAAAATGACAGAACATTGGGTGTCGTTAAGAAGTAAAAGTCGAATGAACTGGTGAGAAACGCCACGACTTGTTGGTGACGTTTCAGACACAACGGCTCCATCCTCATCGAGTACTGACGTGGTGTCCTGATATCTGCAGTGTGAACAGTGCGAGTGGAAAGTGCAAAGCGCGGCGCCTCCGTATCCACGGTGACATCCAGAAGGAAAAAAACACCACAGAGCGGCCATTTCCCCGAGTGTCAGCGTATGAGGGTTGAAATAATTAACAACAGTACAGGTGTGGTCTATTTTATCTGTATATTTTGTATTGAATATGTATTATTATTATAAAGGCGTTCATATGGTTTAGTCATTAAATACACAGTAGAAGATTTGAGCCGTTCCTCACGTTAAATCACAAGACTACATGGTTAAATAAAGCTAATGGGGGGTGTGTGGAGGTATTACATGTGTACTAGTGGAAGTACTGTCACTATATACAATCCTACTTCAAGGTCCACATTTGTTCTTCCCCCCAATGATGACAATGATCATTTGTAGAAGGAGGAGGCCCCTCAGATGAAGCGGACTGGTAAAGATTTGCTGGTCCTGCTGTTGGACGATCTCGTGCTCTGAAATAGGGGTCAGTATAATTCTACTTTCCACCACTAAAACTATCGGTCACCAATAGTTAAACTAACATTACACATCATGAGGGAGGCAAGAAGTTCTTCCTCACGGGGCCCAAGTGCCTCCAGTACCAGCAGCAGAACAGCAACAAGATCAAGGTACGTAAACGTACACCTCAACTCCTACTGGACAAGAGTACTAACTAACTAACTAACTAACAGCACTATGGACACCTGGGTCCTCCTGTTTGACATGAAGGAGACATACTAACGAGTAACATTTGCTTCACATGCACCTAGTTATGCCTGGGAATAGTTTCATCTCAGTGACAGTACTGCTACAGTATCAACTACTGTCTAGACCATATACGCTTAAATTGTATTGTAAATCCTATGTTCAAACGTATGGGCCTTTTATTGTGAAAGGCCTCGTGTCAGGTGGTGACCACTTTGAGCCCAGTTCATCAGAGACGGGTTTTTAGGTTTTGAGAAGCTGCAGAAAGAAGAAAATAGGGGAACTAATCCCCCCCAACAGGGAGGAAAGGCTGTGTGGTCGGTGGGCAGCGTAGGACGTCCCCTGTGCTGTGGAGGCAGGAGGAGGCACATAATCAGTTTACAGGGGAGTTGGCAAGTACAACACAAACAATTGGACATGAGGAAGGAGGGAGTTCTCCACAGCAACAACCTGGTACCAGCACACGGTAAGTAGCTCCATGCAACATGCACACACAAGAACACCAGCATAAAAAAGGAAATCTAGTCGCATCAGCGTGCTAAAAAGTGCACATGTACAAATATAGATTATTATTATTTCATTCTTTAGATGAATTCATCCCGATGACGGTGATGTCAAGAGACTGACTGGTCTTCTCGTGCGTAGACTACTTTCACATAGAAGGGTTCCGCCTGCAGCCACACAGGTAGGAATGTACTTCAGGTCAGCCGCCGACGAGCTCGCTGCCTTTAACATACGACAAAGGGCTCGGGTTGAAGGTAGCGACGGGTCCTGACTGCTCAACGGGTCAGAGGTCCTTGAGGGATCGGACAGCCTTGGCCAGGTTGCTGTAGAACTCCGCCATGCTGGAGGGGAAGAAGGAGTCCACCACGGAGCGAGGGAGGAGTCCCCCCAGGTCGGTCTGGAAGAAGCTGAACACCTGGGTCTTATTGGGCTCCCTACAAGGAACACACAAGAGAAAAGGTGTCCTGCTGAAGGGCCTCACGGACGCACCCTGAGCCGCCTGGAGGAGGGTACTCACCCGGAGACGGGCACGCAGATGCACCCACATGCATGGTTGAAGCCCCGCACGTAGCCGGACTGGGGCGGGCAGCCTGGGTGGGTCACGTTGGTGGCTGTGGGACGTGACACAAGGCGCACATACACGTTTGTCTACAGGATGTCGATGACAGCTTTCTATTCAACGACACTACGGACAACGGCACCCAGGGACAAAGGAATGCGTCTTTCATTCTAGTGGTGGGAAAACATCCCCGACTTAATAAACATAATAGAGAAATGCACAGTAGTAGTAGTGCATCCAGTTCCCCTGCAGCGTCCCCCCCTAAAGTAATAGGCTGACTAATATATAGATTAGTGCTCTTATTGTTTAAATGGTCTAAACGGGAGTTTCACACACGCCGTCACCTATTTAAGCTTCACTCAGATGCTTCATGACAACCGCTCCGACATTTCTGCCACTTCAAGTCCAATGGGACAACAATTAGCTTGTGAACAGGCAACAGTTCATCCACATTATCCAAACCCCTTTCAGGAAAGGCCCACTTGTGTTTACATCTACTCCCCATATCAGCTTCAGATGGCTAAATGGATCTGTATATATTATACAGGGATCCATGTCACTCAATCAGTATTCCATATCTCACAAACGTACTTTGAACTGTGCGGCGCTGATGATCGAGGCAGACAAGCGATCACACCATGTGACCAAGTAGCTGATGGTGACGGACTGAAGGGACGTCCAGCTCCTGGTGGTGTCACAGTGCTGTTCTACAGCTAACCTTCTGCTCACTGAAACCTCTGCTGGCTTCAGCTGCAACATGCAACTAGGGAAATGATCCCGCTAGAACATCTGGAAGCAATCAGCATCACAGGGGCTGTTGGTTAGTAACTCCCCCCCGTGCAGTGATTACAGCTGTGGGGGGGTGCAGACACTGCCGCGTTTTCTGACGCGTGCTGCACGTTGCTGTGTGTGTGTGTGTGTGTGTGTGTGTGTGTGCAAACGTGCGACCGTGTAGAGACAGAAATGACCTTTAGAAATGTCCAATAGGATGACTTGTGATCAGTCTGCAGAGGCTGGCCTTGGGGGGGGCGGGGCCCGTGTTATAACGATATGAGGGGGTGCTGCACAGGTAAGAGCATCCCAGGAATGTGAGGACGTACCATTTGATGAGATGGAGCCATCTTCGTACTGCTTGACTAGAAAAACGTCTACAAAGTCGCGTGGCGCGATGATGCCCATGGCCGCGGAGGGCGTGACCGTTCGGCACACAGAGATGTCCTGTGCAGGGGGGGACAGTGAATGAACAAACACTTTCATATCGCATTTAGAAACTAGGTGTGTAATGAGGCGGCTGCTACGTGGATCAAGCACCAACGTGCTCTCTCCTCTGGTTCACACCCGCTGACAGGTGCTACTGTACAAAGGGACAGACGGGCCTCAGTAACATCACGGTCAGTCACAGGGGGGAGCGTCTTTCCCAGGGACACATTGAGAGGGAAGGGAATGCAGACAGTGACCTTACAACCCACAGACCCAGCTACGAGACTAGGACCTCAAGCTGAACACATCAGGACGGCCACAGAAGCAGCTAAGCAAAGTGTCCTTTAGGGTTAGAGGACTCGTCCATGCATTCATCTCCAGTAGACTCGACTGCTGAACGGTGCATTCATGGTCTCTGTAAGTCAGAGCGCTGCAGCTGCAGTCCTCGCTGGGACCAGGAAAGTGGATCACATGACTCCGGTCCTCAAATCCTGCTGTTGGTCCCTCAGCTCCTTTAAATCCACATACAGACGTTTCTGTTTGCTGCTGCCTTTAATTTACCGTTTCTGCGATTCGGAATTCTTAAAGAAACTATGAAGAAATGTAAATGTAAATGGCTCTTTTTAAATCTGTTTAATGACGGTTTCTCTTTTATGGTTCAATGTTTGTAAATATTTGGACCAAGGCCAACGTTTGCTAGTGTGTCCGTAAAAGGACTCGTGCATTTATTTATTAAATATGTACGGCTTTGTTGTTAAAACACAACGGTTGTGTGTAAAAACACACTTAAGAAAATGTATATAATATATACATTTAGGATTAATTATTAGATTTTTTGTGGATTGTGGAGAAGTGAGAGGATCAAGCCTACGCCGCGGCCATCGCCGCTCGGAGTGGGACAGAACGCGCCTCCTTGTGGACGCTGTCGGCCCGTTGCCATGTCTGGTTGTAAATATTTGCCGGTATAAGAGCTCCGGTCACAGACCACAGACACTCAAAATTTAGCTCAGGTGCCTCCTGTTTCCACTGATCATCCTTCAGATGTTTCTACAACTTGATCGGAGTCCACCTGTGCTAAATTCAGTTGATGGACATGACTGAGAAAGGCACACACCTGTCTGTATAAGGTATCACAGCTGACAGTGAATATCAGAGCAATACTCTGAGTAGTGCCGAAGCCACTCCTTTGTTATCTTGGCTGTGTGCTTCGGGTCGTTGTCCTGTTGGAAGATGAACCGTCGCCCCAGTCTGAGGTCCAGAGCGCGTTGGAGCATGTTTTCATCGAGGATGTCTCTGTACATTGCTGCATTCATCTTTCCCTCAATCCTGACTCGTCTCCCAGTTCCTCCCACTGAAGAACATCCCCACAGCATGATGCTGCCACCACCATGCTTCACTGTAGGGATGGTATTGGCCAGGTGATGAGCAGTGCCTGGTTTCCTCCAGACATGACGCTTGGCATTCAGGCCAAAGAGTTCAATCTTTGTTTCATTAGACCAGAGAATTTGGTTTCTCATGGTCTGAGAGTCCTTCAGGCGGGCTGTCATGTGCTTTTTACTGAGGAGTGGCTTCCGTCTGGCCACTCTACCAAACAGGCCGGATTTGTGGAGTACTGCAGAGATGGTTCTCCTCTCTTCATAGAACAACGCCAAAGTTCTGTCAGAGTGACCATCGGGTTCCTGGTCACCTCCCTGACTAAGGCCCTTCTCCCCCGATCGCTCAGTCTGGCTGGGCGGCCAACTCTAAGAAGAGTCCTGGTGGTTCCAAACTTCTTCTTCCATTTCCGGATGATGGAGGCCACTGTGCTCATTGGGACTTCCAATGCTGCAGAAATCTTTCTGTCCCCTTCGCCAGATCGGTGCCTCGATACAATTCTGTCTCAGAGGTCTACAGATAATTCCTTGGACTTCATGGCTTGGTTTATGCTCTGATATGTCAACTGTGATACCTTATACAGACAGGTGTGTGCCTTTCTCAATCATGTCCAATCAACTGAATTTAGCACAGGTGGACTCCGATCAAGTTGTAGAAACATCTCAAGGATGATCAGTGGAAACAGGAAGCACCTGAGCTACATGCTGAGTGTCATGGCAAAGGCTGTGAATACTTATGTACATGTTATGTTTTCATTCTTTGTTTTTAACAGATTTGCAAAAATTTGCAACAAACAGTTTTCACTTTGTCATTAAGGGTTGTTGTGTGTAGAATGTTGAGGGAAATAATGAATTGAATCCATTTTGGAATTAGGCTGTAACATAACAAAATGTGGGAAAGTGAAGCGCTGTGAATACTTTCCGGATGCACTGTGTGTATAATATATATATATATATATATATATATATATATATATATATATATATTATTTTGCTTTGTTTAGCCTGAGTGGAAAGAAACCTACTCATTGTTTTAATCACAGCCTCAACGGTTCTGCTTGTTATTGGGACAGAACCTCAGAAGAGTCTTTTTGGACCTTTGTCTAATAACCTTTGAATTCCTACTACCGGAGTGAGCTCCTCTTGGCGCGGTTTCTACTGTCGACGTTTATCTGATCCCCACATCTAAAGAGTGGACTGAAATCAGAACCAGAACCTCCCTTTGTTGTTGTAGCAACAGCAGCAGTTGTTAGGTGGCCAAGCCAATACAAGACAAGAGGCCAGTTGTGGAGTCGTATCATGCAGTTTCATCACAGCCCACAACCCAACGTGTACGAACAGAAACATGAACAAACAGTCAAGACATCCTGGGATCAGAAGAAAGAAATTAGTGACACACCTCTGTGATTTGCTCCAAAAGCTCAAACCTTTTGACGTTATTGTCCCACTTGACTCGGAGCCCATTGGGTACTGGTTTCAGACACTCCCACACTTTGTCTGGGCTGCCAATGACAATCCCCTCCCCCTTATAACTGCAGAGGACGAGAGACGAGGACAGGGTCAGCAGACGGGTTCATCTCACCGCTCACTGGTAAACAGTCCACAGATTAAAACAGGAAAATGATATCGGATTTACACTTAAACGACGTGTATTTATTTGAATCTCAGTCACAGAAAAGAGACCCGTGCAGGTTGAGCAGCTCCACTTTACGTGTTCTCACTACTCTGCACCGAGACACACGGCCGTTTACGTTTCCACAAGACGAAGAACCGCTCTTCTTCTGAACATGACCAGGAGGTTCACCCCGCTGTGGGCGTCTGCATGGCGTCAGTGAGATGGCGCTGCCTCCTCATTGGCTCTCCTTGGTCGGGCTGCGCCCCGCTGGTGGCTACAGACAACCAGCCGCGGTGTGTGACGCTTTAAGCAGTACTTCTGGCTCCTGGTACTTGGGTGATCAGATACTTCCCGTTTGCAGTGGTTACAAATAGATATCGACTAAGAGATGGAGTTAAAATGTTGGTATTTATACGCGTGCCTCGAGTACCTCGTTGCTTTCACAATACGGCTGCCAGAGACATTATACACGTTAAGTAAATGGCACAAAATAAGCGTTGTGTGTCGTGTTTTAGCAGCGTTGACAAAGTCATCATTTGGTTGAATGGATGTGTGTGGCGTGTGGGAACAGCAGCTCGATCTCACACCTTCCCGTTCATTCACGTCGGCGCCCTAAAGCGCTCATTCACGTCGGCTCCAGTCTTTTTTTCGGTTATTTTGAGCGTCTGGCTGATATGGAGGCCTCAGGTACAGAACACGCGTCACTGTATTACTAAGGAGCAATGGACGCTCACAGGACTGCAAAGGGGTACGTCATGCATAGTGTCCAACTGTTCAGGAAAAGTTAAACTTTCTCACACATTCCCTGGGAACTCCGACGAGGGACGCCAAGACACAGCCACGTCATTCTGCCAAAGGAAACAGATGGACAGTGAGCAACATTGGACTGAGGAACAGCCCTGGTAAACGCACAGTCTTTCAGAAAGGCCAAGTTGTGTCTTTCTATAGTCTTGACCAGCACAGATTGTGACAGTCAGCCATCATTGGGGACACTTCAGTGTCCCGGGTTTGTGATGATGATGATCTGCATAGTGCAGCGGAGCCACAGAGATCTTCTATAACAGCTCTTGTACATCGGCTTATTTGATGAAATTGCACTTTCTTGTTTCGTGCTCTTCTGGGTGTGTTTCCTCATGGTTGAAATGTACTTATTTTAGGTCGCTTGGATAAAAGAGTCAGCTAAATAACATGTAATAAAAGATGGCACCTCTTGTATCCTTTACCATCTAAATGAAATGGAACGCAGAGAGAAAAACCAGCCAAAATAACATTGAACGTTTTAACAGCGTCAGACAGAACCGGTCCATGCATGATCCGGCCTGCTGTGGCTGACTCCATGTGGTTTTGCTAATGCTTGCTGCTTAATGGGAGTCGGCTCGACATCATTTCCTGTAGAGAGAGCGTCACACCAACTGTGTTAAACTGACACAGCGTACTGGTTAACACACACATGCACACGCACACCCTCTCACACAGGGGAGCCTGCAGCCATCGGCCTCTGTAGGAACCGACCAAGGACCATGATCGTCTCTGGAGCGCTCCTTTCTTAGCTGCTGCATCCAATTATAACGTGTAGTTCAAACGCCCACAACAGGGAGATCCGGGTTAAAGTGTCGCATTTCAGTCAGTCACTAACAACAATAGTCTCCAAGTGTGTGAACATGCGAACCCAGTCGGTGAGCAACGTGCATCTAGTGACACTTCGATGGCGCTGTGCAGCGACACCTGCCGGTTCGCCTGCGCAGCGCTCTCTGTGTGTTCTTAACAGCAGCGGCTGTTATCCGCCCCGTCGCCTGATTCGTCACACATTCAAACTAAATAATCCAAGGCCTCACGTGTCCATTACAACAATTGAGATGGAATAAGTGAGCGGCACATGATTCATTACTGCAGTGGACTGGTGGTGTATTTTGAAGATCTTCAGCAATATTTTGTGAATGTGTGACGAATCAGGGGACAGAAAACAGCTGCCGCTGTTAAGTAAACACAGATACGTGACGTGACACCGGGGACAACGTGTACCATTTCATGTGAGGCGATAAGCACAGCGAACACTTACAGATTTCTTGCAGACTTTCCAGCCGGAGTCATCCCTCTTGTAGCTCAGCATGCAGTCCCCCACTGCTTTGGCCTTGTGTTCATAATCCATTGCGCCTGGTAGCAATTGATGCTACCTTGCTAGCCTAGCTTTAATGAGTTGGCAGATATCGTTAGCTGACGGTGGAGCGGCTCCGCGGTTGGAACGCGATATGATAGTATCGCCCAATTCAATGTAGCTGCAAAGAGACACCGTCGCTTAACTGTGGAACGAGACGGTTTAAGTCACGTAGCAGCAAGTAGAAGCGCTACTACGGAGTTAGCATTAGCACAAATGAATGGAACCTGCTGTGCGACGCACACGAATACGCGGTTAGCTCGCGCTTATGACAACTCTGTCAAATACTGTTCTATTCCAAAGCCTCTACAGGCCACCAGCCCTCATTGGTCTCTGCCAGGACGTTCCGATTCTAAGCTAGTTTAATGAATTCCCTGAAACAATTGTTACCAGTGCTGTCAATTCATTCTGAGAAATCATGCTTCCGGTAGAGCTTTCAAAACAATACTCCCATCTCACACAATTAAGCGTTTATGAAAATGCAACATGTGCTATCGTAAATATTTTCTTACATTTACAATTATTTCATTGATTCGATCGAGAATGTGTATCGCCATTCTTCGGAACAAAATATTTACGGAAGCAAAAAAGCACCATTTATCTTATTTTGAAGGCAAAAGTCTCTGGACGCGTCACGCACCTGCAGCCGGATCACCGGACGTTGCACAAAGCACGCTGGGACTTGCAGTGTTCACGTCCTTCTACCGAAAATGGTAAATGTGCAGATCAGATCAAAACGAGTATCTATTCTATTGTTATCTGGGGGTCGACGTGGCGCAAAGGTAGAGATGGTGCGTTGGGAACCGCAAGGTTGGCGGTTCGAGCCCCGGCTGCTCTGTGTCCCTGAACAAGACGCTTAACCCTAAGTGCCCCCTGGGCAAAAATTTAAAAATGTAATGTAATCGCTTTGGATAAAAGCGTCAGCTAAATGTGTGTTGATGGCTCATCAGACACCAGTAACGTTAGTGCAGTGTGGTTAGAATGAGGACACAATGCTATAACAACACATTTAATTAACTGAAGCACATGTTTCAAAATGTTACAAGACCACACAAATTGGAGCAAAAAAATCACATTGATGATAATATTCTCACTTTGCTTTAAAACCCACTGTACCCTAGTAGTGTACATGTATCAATGTCCCGAACAGAAGACATCATTGTAGCATCGATGTCACACATTGGTGCAGACAAGATCATTTGAATCAATAACATTTAGGTCCACGCTGGTTTTGAACTTCTTTTTGGCCAACTTCTCGTGCCCTGCATCCGTCTTGAGATGGGGCTCCTTGTTGTGGAGGACCTGAATGTACTGGTCACTGCTGCTGGAGGCCATGGAGGCTGAGTCTGACTCCGTCAAAGGGGTCTCCAGCTTCGCTCTCATCTTGGGCTTCAAGAAAGCCTCCGGGTGCCTGGTCCTGGCCGGGGACTGGCGCCGTCGTCCTGGGGAATGGACGGGACGCCTGGTTCGCAGGAGGAGCGAGTCGCCTCCTCTCACGCTGACCTGGGCCTCAAAGTTTGACTCTAAGTCTCCACAATCCATCTCTCCTTCACCATCCTCCTCTTTATCGTCTCCTGGCGCTCCGTATCTTTCTCGAGCTCGACTGCGGCCGCCTTTCACCACGGACACGTGGCCCTCCACACGGCCCCCGATGTGCAGGTGTGGCGGCTGGTGAAGGTCAAAGCGGGAGCGGGAGCGATGGGCCTTCCCCGACGCCATCCTTCTCCTGCCTTTTCCCTCCTCTTCCTCCTCTTCCTCCTCACTCAGATGCAGGCGGTGAGGATGTGGCTGGTGGTGGGCGGCGCGGGGCGTGTAGCGCCTGATGTTGCGCGGGTACACCTCCAGCACCTCTGCAGGCTCCTCCATGAGGTAGTGGCAGGGGATGCGCGTGGACGCGCGCAGCAGCGTCTTCCTGGGCTCGTGCTCGTTGACGATCACGTAGCGGGTGGCGAGGCCGCGCCGGCCCCCATAACTCTGTGCAGTGATGATCTCAGCTGGATGCTTCCTGTAGCGGGTCAGAGCGCATGCTGTCAGTCAGCTGAGAGGGGACAACACACTGGAATGAGCAGAGGTGATCCTTAGTGAGACAGTATTTACCAAGTGTTTGCAATGCAATTCTGCCCAAATGAAAGAGGACATACTGTTGGCTGTAATCATCCATCACGGCGTAAGCGAGCCGAGCGCAGATGAACCCACTACGAACACCGTGGCACCGATTGTCTATTGGTCAGTAGTAACGTAATCAACACTGGTCCGTTCCTTTAAAGCCGATGCTCTACTAGGTAGAAAAACATTCCTGTAGCAACACAACATCCTTCCTCAGAATCAAAGAGGAGAACCTTGTTAGCGACTACGGTAAGAATACAAATAAAACAATAAACCCTTTTTATATTAAAAATCCTCTTTCTTTTTTTCAATGTATAAATACAACTTGTGGTTTTTTATATAAAAAGGCTTTATTGCTCAGTCTTACCGTAGTAGCTAACAGGGTTTCAAGTGAGTAAGAAATAAGAGTTCAGAGCTTAAGGCTGCATTCGATTTTTGAGTTTACGGTCAGAATCTTTTTCTTTTCAAATTATTAATATATATAAATCCATGAAAAACTGTCTAACCTGTGCTGTAGATCTCAATTTGGTTTTGTATTGCCCTTTAACCTCTTCTGTAACAATCTTTCATATGAATATCTCAATATAGTTGGGACTGCCTCTTAGACCAACCCGAACCATTTTGTTGGTCTTCTGTGGGTCTTTTTGTAAACACAACATTACGTTACACAACTATTGAACATAACAAGTGGCTGTAGCCCAGTATTGTTAAGTACAATAGACCAGTAGCTGGTGGATGTTCAGCAATCTGCAAACCCTTCAGCTGTCGGTGTGACAATAAACCAGCATCCATATTTCTGGGTGCACAGATTATATTTGTGTCCAAGCATCCAGCCTCTTTTACCCTCCACAGACTATTTACCTGCATTAAGCAAAGCCCCCCCAGAGGCATCTGTCAATCTAACAAGTGTTGTCCCCCTGCCTAGATGAGATGATTGGAGTCTGTTTATAGGAAGCAAACACCTAAGCAGTCCTGTTCTGTATGAACATTAATCGTAGAAGGATATTTAGAATTAGACACAGCTTATAGACATTTGTGCATATAGTACATTTCCAGAGGAACATAAATCCCATCTGCTCACTTTTAAGGCAAAGTAGACTAAATACTAAATACACTTTACAGTAAAACCGGCACATTTAAAACATAAACACAGTTAAAGCAACACAAGCAACACATAAAACAATCATTAGAAGCAATTAAAACAGTCTACAACTTTCCTGTAAGTAGATATTTGTAAACCCTTTCATTCAGTCGGTCTGCGATTGTCCGCCAGGCTTTTCTCTGTTTAATTACAGCTGCCGGTTTTTCCTTTTGTTGCATATTATATGCAAAGTTTCCAGAATTAGTTGCTGCTCAGCGGGTTAAAAATTTTCCTTGCGTGTCTTCTCCATTTCTGCATCAGTAAATCTGTGATGGACACCGTGGTCTACTTAGGAAAGCCGTGAACATGCACTGATGCCAGCTGTGCACATCTGGATTGACTTAGCTCCTCCTTCTCATCCCGGCTCGGCAAACGTGCAAACGATTAAGATCAAACTGAGTCAAGCGGCGCGTTTTCACTTAACCTGAGTTTCTTTATCCTGCTCTTGTGCAACCGCCCCTGGACTGCGCGTGTAAAGGTTGTTTGGACAACAGATCCTCTGCTACAATATATGTTTTTATCTTTATAATACGATGGATTGATGGCTTCCTTTTTAATGGTTCCAGAAGAACTGGGTTTCCTTTTCCTTTACTGCATTCTACATAAAAGTACTGAGTAAAACACCACATATACATTAACAAGCTAGTTATTTGCAAGAAACCCCCCCAGACAAATGCCTACCAAGGGTTTGATTACCACCTTTTAAACCCCAATTAGTGATATCGTTAGTTTTCAATTCTAAAATTAATTCTGTATCAACGATATTGACATATACAGTGCCAAAAAAACCTGTTTACCCCTTCCTGGTTTCTTTTTGTTTGCATATTTGTTAAGCTCAAATGTTCATCAAACAAATGCAACAAAATGCAAACCTACTTGGCCCAATGTGAAAAGGTAAAAACCCTCTTCATGAATGAACTGTGATTAACCACCTACCATTTTTGTTCAATTTCACCAGCCACATCCAGACCTGACTATTATCACCAAGAGATCCCTTAAAGGAAACACATCAGGTCATTTTAAGACTCATATCGCTGCTGTCCAGCGTTATATTGGCCCAGGTTGAGAAAACGTGCAAACCGACCCAACCAATCACTTATGGTCATAGGTCATGAGTGAGGTCAGGAAAGAGAGGGGCAGACCTGGCATCCATGGGACACTGACCAAACAGAACACAAAGGCTCGTCTCACTTGATGATCCCCAAGCTTTTTGGGAAGATATTCTGCGTATTGGGTGTAAAAGTAACCCAGCCTTTGAGATGATATCAACAGTCACACATGGTGTGGGTACTGTGATGGTCTGGTGCTGCTCTGCAGCCTCAGCACCTGGACCACTTGCTATGGTACATAATCAATGTACCCATGTGAAGGATGTCCGGCCAGTAGTTTGTGACCTCAGCCCAAGAGCACTTGGGTTCTGTAGCAGGACAAGGATCACAAGCACACCAGCACGTCCGCCTTTAAATAGCAACAGTAAAAAAAAGGTGTTTTTTGGAGTCCCTTTAGGCTGGAAAGAATTCTGCTAAGTCCCTCCACAGCGCTGTGAACATTGGGTATTGCTTGATTGCAGTTGTTGCCGCCAAGTTAATGGGATTAAGGGGAAATTCATTTAAAAACTGCATTTTGTATTTTATCTTGGTCCAGTAGAATTTTTTTCTGATAAGTGTGACACATATAAGTGTGACAAATATGCAAAAAAGAAACCAGAAACCAGGAAGGGGACAGACACTTCTTCATGGACGCTTATTTTCTATAGACAATCGGATTGGCTGAACCAATATATCAATGTGAGTCAGACCTGCTAGGTATGTGCTCCGGCCTGTGCCTGGTCAGCCTGGTGGCTGTCGGACTTCTGACTGATCCAACCACACTTCCTCGGTCCGTCCTACAAGCTGATTGTGTGATAGTGTCGATGCGGCTTCCATGACGAACAGGAAAGCTAGAGTTTGTGACGCTGCCGTTCCGTCTGAGAGAAGCAGTGTGAATAGAGGCCTCCTGGCTCGTGATGTCGCTTTCCTGCTGATCTGTCTTTTTGTCAGCTGCAGCCTCTGGAGCCTGTAACCTCGCTAAGATGGAGTACATGTTACAGGGTGAGGGCCACAACACCAGAATAAACAATGGAACACAAACAGGACACGGAAAAAACACAGGAGACACCTGCAGCCGTCTGGAACACTTTCTTCTTGTCATCTTTCCGCTCCTGAAGACATCAAAAGAAAAGTTCCACCTTAAATCATTTCAGAATGTTAACTTAAAAACGACTACAGCAAGCAACTCTCATTTCTTTCATTTTGAGCTGGATTTGTCCGTCCTTTGGACAAAGGTGGTAGTGTCAACGAGTCCCTGTGGAACATCTGTCATACACACAGAAGTATAAGGGTGCCAACTGGAACCAAAAATGGTTCTTTGGAGTGATGCCATAGGAGGACCATTTCTGGTTCCACAAAGAACCTTTCAGACCAGGGTTCTTTAAAAGAACATCTCCCTAAACAGTTCTTTAAAGAGATGCCTCAAAGAACCTTGAAATAATGGTTATTTGAAGTACCATTTCTGGTTCTTTAAAGAACCCTTTTCAAAAAAGTTATTCATGCACCCAAATAGTTCCATTGAGAACCCTGTCCGAATGGTTCTTTCTTTAAAAATGATTCTCTCGAGGAATTAATAGTTCTTTTTGGATTTTTGGAAATGTAAAAAAATCCATAAGAAAACCGATTCAGAATTAGGATTTTTCCACTCTTTTTATTAGAAGATCTTTGAAATAATCAACATGCACATAAATGATGGCAAACTGTTAAGGATACAACAAAAAACATGAAGATGAACTTACTAACTTTGTCATTTAACATTGTAATCTGTGTAAGAAATAAGTTAATGTTGCCACTCTCTCAACAGTCACAGGGACCCTTGTGTCCAGCTGTAGGATAAATGCCTTCAAAAAGGCAAACATGGGAATGCAATATTTAAAACATGATACGGGGCCAACACGACCCCCATGGCCAATGAAATGCCCGCCTCAGTGTCCCACACCATTTTCTGTCCATCCACTGCGACACAAACGTCTGTCTGGTCACTCGGGGGAGGATTGTAGGTGGTTCCTGAAACAAAACATATCAAACTTAAAGCTGTAGTCTGTAAGTTTGTAATGTTTACAGATCAACACTTTCAGATATGCTTAGTTGCACATTAAATGCTAGTTTGTTTAGTTTGTGTAGTTTGATTACATAATTCATTATTGTTATATTTTTTAAATTGCACTTAATCAAATGACTAACCCTGTCGATTGCAAACGGGTGTGATGCATCACCCTGTGTGACTCCCCCGTCACTATTGTTTCGTTTCCTGGGCTCCATCATCACCCAGGACCTCAAGTGGGAGCTGAACATCAGCTCCATCACCAAGAAGGCTCAGCAGAGGTTGTTCTTCCTGAGGCAGCTGAAGAAACTCAACCTGCCAAAGACGATGATGGTGCACTTCTACACGGCCATCATGGAGTCCATCCTCTGCTCCTCCATCACCGTCTGGTACGCTGCAGCCACAGCCAAGGACAAGGGCAGGCTGCAGCGCGTCATCCGCTCTGCAGAGAGGCTGATCGGCTGCAATCTGCTGTCCCTGCAGGACTTGTTCGCTTCCAGGTCTCTGAAGCAGCTAAAAAGATCGTGGCCGACCCCTCTCACCCCGGACAAAAACTGTTTGTGCCCCTTCCATCTGGCAGGAGGCTGAGGTCCATCAGGACTAAGACCTCCCGCCACACCAACAGTTTCTTCCCGTTCAGAGTTTCTTAAAATAAAGAATAGTTGAAATTTAGAGGTTACATCTAACGCTAGACGAACTTTAACATACACCCATGTTAGTTAATCAGCTACAGCGAAATTAACGTTAAATATATTAACTTAACTAACGGTAAAGCAGACTAAATAAACGCTCAGTACGAAAAACAAAATACAAAATTAACAATTTTAACAACCTAAGGATAGTTAAAACTTAAAGTCTAACATTACTTCGAACTATTTAAATATTTAATGTTATCATTAACGTTACGAAATCCACAAAAGGAGAGAAATATGTCACATACAACCAAGCTAAAGGCATGACAAAAAAGTGTAAATGGCCAAAAGCTTCAACTTACCTTGAACCGACCGCTATTATTTGGGGGTGACAGTGGCATGAAAAGACGTTGGTCTGTCAACGAGATGGACGGCTGTCACTTGGAAGTAGGCAGGGCGCTTTATTTTGGTGTTTTATATTCTCATTCATGATTTTTTTCTTAGAATTTTCTGGAAAAATGGTAGTATTATGGGAAGAGGCTATTTAGGGCACAGGTATCAAAGTAGCCCGAGCAGGGACCCATTGTTCTTCTTCTTTATTTGTTAATAATATTATAAATATTAGCTGTTCTTCAACAGGGTGCTTGTGGCATATGCACATTCTTCAAAATGTCCCCCCTATATATATATATATTTATATATTTACATATATATATTTACACATATATATATACATATATATATATATATGTATATATATATATTTACATATATTTATATTTACACATATATATATATATATATATATATATATATACATGTATATATATATATATATATATATAGTTTTTTTTCTTTATCCTATACCCCACCACTCAACAACAGAAACGTGAACTAAGAACACTTTAATATCTCATAGAACCAAGTTATGGGCAAAGATGTAGAACCATCCAATAGATAAAATGGTTCTTTAGAAGGAGATGGTTCTTTGTGGAACCACACTCCCTTGTAAAGAACTATTTTTTGTGTAGCCCTTTTTTAACAGATTTCGGTACGGTATGAATTTCTCTGGTACCGTTCATACTGCTGTTACGCCACAACTTACGCTCTTTGGCAGGCGGCAGCATTTATTGTTACGCGTCATGAAGGAGCCCAGCGGTCGGAGCTACTTGTTGGGAGCGGCTAGGGGGTCGTATTAGGTTACTAGCAAATGAGGAACTAACTTATGGACATTAATAGAATCTTTAATAATCACTAAGATACTTCTCAGAATGAATAAATAACGGGGCACCACCCTGAGCTAACAGGGACCAATAACCGATACTATAAATCAAGTCTCATAATTGATATTCACTCCTTGAGGGTGAAGATGTTGGAAGGATTTAAGTTTGAGCACTGACAATGTATGTCAACGGTCACCATATAAATGCACAAGTAAACACAGGAAAACGGTTCTTTCAAGTGTAACAGGGTCTATTAACTCACAGGAACACTGATCAAGATCACCTATAACTGCAACCAACAATCCCCATAACACCTATTTTAAACCTACTCACTAAACAAGCAATCAAAACCAGTGTGTGTGTGTGTGTGTGTGTGTGTGTGTGTGTGTGTGTGTGTGTGTGTGTGTGTGTGGGTGTGCACAAAGGGGGGTGCGAGAGAGAGAGGGGGGTGCAGGGAAGGAACGACGGTGCGGTTGCGCACAACAAGCGGAGTGCCGGTTATCACACTAGGGGGCAAACGAGAGCAACGGGGCGGAAGTGAGACCGTCAATCAAACCACCGAGGAAGACGGGAATCTTAAGCAGTGTAATACGACTACTGGACGCGAGGGGCGAGCGGGAGCGAAATGCAGGGAAGGTTTCCACATAGTAAAACAAAGAGGAAGACGATAATTGCGCCACTATGACAACGCTATCTGTTGCTAGGGACTACGGCTTGGAAGAAGGGGGGGTAAATACTTAGACGCGACGTGAGGGGATTCTGACCCGTGCTAAGCTAACACGCTAACGAGCCGGCCAGTTGCGAGCAAGTTGGCCAGCAAGCGGCAAACAGCTATTTGGGTAGCCAGCGATCCTTTTCGTGGTCAATGAATGGACGTGTTTACTTGAGAACGCATTACCGTCATATGATGTCCACATACGTGTACACTCGGTCAAAATTCCCATAGAACACAAAAGTCATCATTGTGAAATAAAGTGTTCTACTCTTTATTTACCAACCTGAACACAGCTGTTTTTTCTTGACAGCTTTTGCATTCATTCAAAACACATATGAACATGTTTTGAACAAACAGTGCAAAGACAAAACTAGAAAAAATATTTTCTTAAACTGTCCATTTCAATTTCTGGACATGGCTATGTAAAAACAAAATTTGCAAGAAATATTTTATATTTCCAAAACCATTTTTATCAACAATAACAATACAGTCCAAAACTATTACTATTTCAAACTAGGAGTGCCCTTTTTTCTGTATGAACATGCTCACACCTTTGTGTGAAAAGCGGTGTAACAGTTGCGATGAAACACCTTGCATGTCCCACACTGCACTCGTGATTTCCCGGAGCAGCCTGCCGCTCTGCAGCGGGCTGCATTCTTCAGGTTGACCAACTCTGGAAGATGTGCATTGCCCCTTCTGCGGATTGAGATATGGGGCACTTCCTTCACTTGACCTTTTTTCCCTTGTTCTGAAAGGTCTTCATCGTCTTCTGGTAAACCATTCACGCTGGGCCAAGAAGGCCTTAGCCACTTCCAAGCGGAACTCAAGGAACTGCATGATTGTCTTCTTTGGTGTACCACATACAGCAAGATCTTTGCGGTACAGTCGCCAGCTGTTGGCCAATGCCAAATCCATGAAGTGCATTAGCATCCGCAGTGTCCACTTTTTAGTGCGGATGTTCATGCGATAATAGCTCATCATTCTGTCAACCAAGTCAACCCCCACCCATCTTGGAGTTGTATTCACGGATAATACTTGGTCGTGAAATAGTCACATATCGTTTCAGTTTCTTGTCCCATCGCTTGCAGGTGTCTTCTGGTTGAATAGCATCAACAACAGACATCATCAGTACTGGTTTATTGTCATACCACTTCACTACGCCAATGTTTCCATCTCCAGTATTAACTTCTGCTGAGGTGCCTCTTCCAGCCTTTTTCATTGCTTTGTCAGTTGGTAGCTTCTGCACTGGTGCAGCAACCCGATTCTTTATAACTGTACCAGTCACGTAGACTTGCTTCTTTATCATTCGTTCCACACCGGCAATGATTGTAAAGAACCGATCACAATCCAACTTTGTACCAGGATGCAGAGTTTGACACAGTTGATCAATGACCAAGCTTCCAAGACCCAGATCTTCTGGTTCATCAACCTGCTCACGCAGTGCATCTGCACCTTGATGTATGTCCAGCACAATACCATCTGCTGTAGCGCAAACAAAGCATTCCACGTCCATTCTTGGACTGTCCTTGACGTCTTGGTCCTGGTGTTGGCTCTTCAGGGCCATCATTTGAGCCATCAGCCTCAACCTGCTGAGTCTGACGCCGACGTCTGCGAGAACACTGTTTCTTCATTCTCACCACAGTGACGTTTACGTCCCCTGCTGGACTCACTGGGCTGTGGAATGGGGTCCTCATCCCCACCATCGTTCTCCTCACTGCTGTTCACCTCCTTTGGTGGAGGTTGATAATCAGCCTCCTCCACAGGATCATAGATGTCAGACAAATCTTCCACCTCTGAGTCGTCTCCAGCAATTGTCCCCAGTATCCGCTCTGCTCTTGACAGAGGAATATGCTCTGGAAATCCAATCATGAGAAAAATCATTATATTGAATGGATATTTATTCTTCAGATGCTGCTGTTTTGATATGAACTATCTTCGAGCCATTATGCAACACATTTCGTTCAGATATGCACTGGTATATATTTATGAATGGCAATAAAAGTCTATCTAGCTATATAGCTAGCTATCTAGCTATCTTTCTATCTAATCAAAACCATGTAGATGTATTCACAAATCATGCTATATCTGTCTGTAATGTTGTAAACTATTATTTTCTACCAAAATCTTCCCAAACTACGTTTTTACACTCACATTTTGTTGTTAGCGTTTTAGCTAACATTTTAGCATTTTCAACGACACTAAATTCTTCTGTCTCCGTATGTGGACATCATGTTTAGCGGCATACTTGATCGTTACTGTCACTAACCTTTACCAAATTGACATGCCATGGCAAACATACAACACTTGTATACATATCTGCACAAGAATCAGCCACGAAATTTGTTTGGTATTGGTACCTGGTCGACGGTTGGGTCGGGAGTGGCCATCCGAAATTCCCGGGGTGTTCCTTGACATCTTGAATTTGACCTGTAATGTGTTTTACTCTTCTGACACCACTATGATGGCAGAGTAATTAGCCTCGTATGTGGACATCAGCCCCCCTTTAAGCAGAATTAAGTAGTATAGTATAGACCAGGGGTGGGCAAACTACGGCCCGGGGGCCGGACCCGGCCTGTTGGGCGTTTTGATCCGGCCTGCCGAGTATTATGAATTATAAATTATAGTAACGACCGCTGTAACAATTCTCCGTTCCCGACTTGAGTTTCCCAAAGCACGATGACGGCAAAAGACCAGCATCGATGTTTCTTAACTCAAGTCGGGAACAGAGAAGCGTTACAGCGTTACAGTCTTTACGTGCCGCTCGGCAGAGGACAGCGGTGCCGTGCTTTCTGCACCGCATCAGCCTGGGAGTCCAGCTGCTGCTGTCTGCGCTGCTCACCTCCACCCCCCCACAGGCAAGCTCGCCACGGGGACGTGGTCCGTTTTATACGGCAAAAACTGACGCACATCAGACCCACGGGACAGCGCCGCCCTGCGCGCTCAGTATAACAATCGGGAAAGCTGATGGTTTTCCAAAGCTGAGCGACGCAGATTTTGCTTTTGCTGTGAACATACTGACACACATGAATGAGCTGAACATGAAGCTACCAGGGAAAGATCAGTTTGTGCATGAACATGTACACAAACGAGAGAGTGAGAGTCTTCAAAGCCAAGTTGACTTGGAATTGGAACTCTTTGATCTTCAATGTGACGCCGTCTTAAAGGAGACGTTCAACCCCCTTAACCTGGCTGAATTCATTGCTTCACCAAGCGAAGCCAAGTTTGCAAACAGAGGATGCTGGTGTTGTTTGGCTCTACTTAGGTGGTTGAGCAGACGTTCAGCGTGATGAAACCAACAAATCACGCCACAGATCCCAGTTAACGGATGAACACCTCAGATCTGTCCTGAGAATTACCACAACAAACTATCATGTACTGGCAAAAAAGGGGGACCAACAACACTGTTCCCACTGAAATGGAATGTAATGTAAAAATGTAAGTTCACTTTACTTTTGGCTTTTACTTATAATTTATATTGCCAAAAAGTTTGCCCACCCCTGGTATAGACAACCTAAAATGTGATGTCCACGCATGTGGACGGCAGGTCCTAAGAGGTTAAAGTCTGAATGTTTAAAATAAATACAGCGTAGGACCTACTGTCAGCTTTGTAGGAATCAGTGTAAAGACATTTAGTGTTAAAGAGCTTTGAGAGTGGTTGGAAAACTAGAAAATAGATAAACATGGTTAGTCCATTTACAATTGACCTATTTTGCAATTGATTCATCAGAAACTCACTGTCTGGAGCTGCATCCTCAGCTGGTTGTTGGTAAATTTGAGGGATCTGGCAATGGCCTGGAGATAGTATATCAGCATGCTGAAACACACCAGGACAAAAGTCAAGATGACATGTTGATTTTACGGCGTGTGTGTGTGTTTGTGTCAGAGGGCATTTTCGAAGTCCTCTTGCTTTAAATCACCCTAAATTCAGGTATGACATATTGGAATGCAGTAATATTGTTTGAAAAGACCATAAAAGTTTCTATTCTATGTTTTTTTCGAAATGACCAGGGACAGGAGTCTACACTTGCTTTGAGTAGTGTGACGATCCAATGTTGCTGTATTGGAACTGTGCTAAGTAGTATATTATTATTATTATTATTATTATTATTATATTACACTCCCATGAACTTGTATTTGTGCGTTCTCCTACAAAAAGAAAGATCATGGTTGCCAACTGCAAAATAAAATCATACAATGTGATTTTCTGGATTTGTTTTAGATTCCGTCACTTGCAGTTGAAGAGTACCTATGATAGAAATGACAGACTCTTTGTAAGTGGGAAAACCTGCAAAATCTGCAGTGTATCAAATACTTGTTCTTCCCACTGTAACTGATTCTGGATTGCATGAGAAAATCTTCCACAACACTCTTCATCAACAGATCTGTGTCACAGAGCAAAACAGTTCAAACATACTTAAGTAAAAACTTCAGAGGAAACACTTAACGTGGGGCATGGCCCTCTATTGTCTCTGTGTAGCCCTGCGATTGGCTGGCGACCAGTCCAGGGTGAACCCTGTCTATCGCCCGAAGTTGGCTGGGATGGACTCCAGAGGCCCTGTGTGCAGGATAAGCGGTTTGAAGATGGATAGTGTCATTTGGTTTATCTTCAGTACCTATTTGTTTAGCTAGTTTGGGTTTCAGGTACCTTGGTGTGATTGTAACTCGCAGTCTTACGTGTCTTGATACATTCAACTTCAATTTCACCAAATTCCTATACATACCGAATTAATAAAATCAAATGCAATTTGATTTTATAAAACAAACCTAACATTGCCGCAAACCATGTTTGCCCGCCAAACTACAGGCTTTTATGACCACAGTCTTTTGAGTGTTCTGACCAAAATTTGAAACTGATCTGATTAAGATCATAGATTGCGCAGAAACACGGACGGTAATAATAATATTAATCCAGTATCAATCTTCAATTTGGAATGGATGACAAATTAGAGGGGAAATGAAGACGCTGTAGACATCTTAACGCGATTGACTGATTGACCAAGACTCGCTTCACATCCAATGTATTATTGCGAAGATCCCATCGACGCAGTTCAAGTGGATGACATGTTTTGATTTCGCAACGACAAATTTGCCGAAAAGTGATACACTTGCAGGGATGTATACTATAAATGCGTACCAATATTGTTGCCCAAATCCTATTTCCGGTCTATTGATAAACGTATTCTAAACTTTATCTGGGCGGGTAAGTCGCCCAAAGGACATAGGTGGCCTGGCTCCTGCAGAACGTATTTCTTACTATTGGGTAACATTTTTTTATTTTGGTTTAAACCCCTGAGACTGATTGTTGCATCTTAGAGGCTCATTCATGCTATTAATCCTTTTCTCCAGTCCTTGCCCCTTACTCTTACCACCTTCTATAGTGGACAAAATCTTTTTGTAGTGGAAAAGATGAGGACTTGGTGTTTTAGTGATGTTTATAACGATGGTCACTTCCCTTGCTAACGGCAAACTAGCAAAAATATTCAGAGGTTGTGACCCACAATGTAATCGTGATTATACGTTACTAAACACAATTTGGGCGTGTGCCAAGCTTAAGCATTTCTGGTCCCATTTTTTATATTTGAACTATAGTTTTAGAGGTCACAGAACAACCACGCTCTCTCTCTCTGGGAATATTTACTCTAAACCCATCGTATATGTAACCAAAGAGAAGGATGTTATTGCCCTTACCACTCTTCAGGCATGTCGTAGAACCCTTCTGATCCAATTTGGGTTTTTTGTCATGCTTTTTAATTTGAGTTTTATTTAGCTTTGTTAGTTTGCTTTACTTTACTTTTCATTACTGTATTTCTATTTTAAATTTGAGTTACTATTGTAAACTGATTAACCCACACACTAAAATGGAAATACTTGCCCCTTACTCCTGTTCACATTTACCAAAAAACGAGGGCTATCAAATTAAATACAATTTAAAAAAATGTATAATTAATTAATGGCACATTTTGAAATTCATGAATCTTGATCAATGGCGATTAATGAATGTTTTTTTTGTTGTTACAATGTTGTTTTTGATAAATGTTGTACAGATAAATCGTTTTAAACTAGGTTTTAAAACGATTTCTGTAGAAGTTGAAGAATCAACTCAGGTACAGCCGACGGGAGGCAGACTGCGAGTTACCGATTCAGGCTTTATGAGTAAATACAGAATCCCTTTGTGTTCATTTCTAAAGCCTCGCCTTGAGATATACACCACTTTATTAAGACGCTGTGTTGTGTCAGATTCTCAATAAAGTTAGAAAAAGGGTCATGAAGAGAGTCATTTCAGGATTAAACGCATTAATCTCGGCCACAATAATCGCATAGATTAACACGTTTATGTTGACAGCCCTACAAAAGATAAATATGGGAATGCATTTGTGTGTGTGTTTGTTTAGTCTTACAACAGCAGCAGCAGGCCCGGCAGCACCACGACAGGGCTGGTGATGTAACTCATCACTTTGCTGAACCACAGGGGGAAGTCACTGGCCACTGTCTCAGAGATGATGTCATATATCTTCTCTTGACCACTGAAACACACATTTAAGTCATTTTATGTATTAAACATTTTGAAATAACAAAAAAACAGAACTTCACCTCTGGTAGTAGCTACTCCTTTGAATGTGGTTAGCTCTTCGTATTGCCCAAATAGTACTTTATCAGCTGCACCCTCCCCACCAACTTGTGGACCAGAATACAAAATGCAAATCGGCAACTTGCACTGGCCACTTGGTACTGGGCAGGAGAAATAGAAACATAATATATATATATTTTTTCCATTTGCCTTTTTTTTCTGAAAAATGATTTATTTTGAAAAATGACCGGATTCTTTCTCAATTATATGCACATTTCCCTCCTGACACATCTCCCAGTCGCCCCCCAAGTGTGCCGGGTGCAGCAACTACTAATCCGCCCCTCCGTCGGCCGGATACTTTGTTGTGTTTATCCATCACACATTCAAGACTGGACCATGAGGCAAAAAGGGGTTGGAGACCTCCGAGCTGCAGTATGGAAACATGGTTTAGCTTTGTGATGATCTAACATTGTAACACGTAACATCGCTTCGTACATGAAGTAACTATAGATCATATGCTAATTCACTTACAATGACTGTCTAATTCAGCCCTTAAGCTCTTTGGAAAACACAAAGGAAAGTGGAACGTCATTACGAGGACCTTAAATATTACTTTAGATGTAAAACAAAATAATTGATGTATGTGTTTTATTCAAGGATAGGAGGATGCAGACAGGCTTTACAGTTTTAGAACATCTTCCACTTTCCACTAATAGGGAATGTAAATCACAGCACTTCCATTTAACCACACACATGCTTTGACACGGTAAGCAATGATTCACCTGAATGGTCCACAGTGCTGTGACGGTCTATATCTCACTATGGCAAAGACAGTGGGCAGCATACACAGAAACAGCATGAAAAGCAGCATAGCCAAGTAGAAATTGTTTGATCTGGACAAAAAAAGCAAAGCACAGAAAACAGTGTTTTCAACATATTACAAACAATAGGCCTGTCGCGACCCTTTTTGTGGGGCAATATATTCAATTTTACTAAAGAATGAGCAGATCGTGCTGCCTCTGTCTTCTTCATCAACCCTTTTTGACAAAAGTGGATGTGGTGCTGTATTTTGGATCTTGTCTACACACTATAGGTGTGTTCTATTGCGGGCAGAGTGAAAGGTATCTGTTGGATGTACTGTATGTATGCTCTGTGATATTGTCTGTATTTCTTAACGGCTGATACTGTGGGCCTCATGTACTAACATTTTTGCGCCCACTTCAGGCGGATTTGGTCAATTCTTAAACTGTCTCTAAACCAGATCCAAACATTAACACTCTATTTTCACTTGATCCTGGCTCTAGAGGGCTTGTTTGAATGATGCTGCGGTGGGAGCCTGGCAGCTTCTGCGTCTGCGTCTGTACGCACCGTCGTGTTGACGCACTCGTTTCACTTCCTGGTTCTAAAGTCCTGCGTGTGTTGCAGAGCGATTCACCTCCAGAACAACAGATGGAGTAACGTGTTTTGTAGAAGACGATCTAGAGAGTCACGTCTTTGTGTGTGGAAGTCGCTGGTTGCTTTATTTATTCATCAGAGACTTTATTGCCCCGTGCATCCACACTGCTGCTTTTCATCACGGACACATTTGTCCCGTATTTTCCTCCACGACTTTGTTCCCCTTGTTTGTGGAGATCTCCCTCCATGAATCAGAGGCCATCCGCGAGTCCTGTAAATGTTATGTTCTCGTTCTTTATTTGGGCTCTTTCCTCTTTGCTTGCCGCTACTGTGGGCATCCATGTTAGTTTATTTTCCCCCACTTAGTGAGACGCTTACATTCAGAGGGTTGCCTAGTCAAATGAGGTGCTGCCCCAGAACTGCTGCGGTAGTGGAGGTTCCCACAGTAACCTGTGGCCACCCAGGGTCCCTCGCTGGAGCTGCCCCTTCCATAACCGGAACACACGTAGCGCGGTCAGTACGAAGACCAAAAGTCCACCGGCAGCTACATGCGCACATGTTGGCTCAACGGGCGGCCCACCTCGGCCCCAGATGGTGAGGGGAAAGTGCACCCGAGGAGGAAAAAGGGCACCGCACCGGACAAAGGACCCAATGAGCTGACTTTATCTTATTTCTCTCAAACTGTACAGTAAAGATTTTTGAAATTATACATGGGCATATAGGAGAGGGAAATTACGCAAATGACGTACATTTTACTGACTTTGCCTTCAATTTTCTCAAAAACTGTAAATGAATATTTCATGAAAATGTACATGACTATAGAGAAGGTCTATCTGAACAAGGCTCAAGTGAAAATAGAGTGTTACCAGTTTGGGATCTGGTTCAAGGACAGTTCAAATATTGAGAAAAGACAAACATCATGTACTTTTTACTAACTTTGTCTTCAGCTTTCTCGAAATCTATACAGTAATACTTCATGGAAATGGGCACGGGCATAGAGGAGGTCTACTCGAACAAGGATCAAGTGAAAATATATAGTGTTACCAATAGTGGATCTGGTTTAAAGACAGCTCAAAGATGGGGATATGGCACTTCATAGGGGAAATGAGGATTGGTGCCTTTTTGGCTATACAAGCCCTTCTACCATAACGCCCTCAATATATATTTTATTTTGAAATGCGGTCCACTGCAGTAACTGAGACCATATCATCACCAACAGAACATGTTGACAGTGTTATACAGCGTTCCCAGCACTCAACAGTCAAGAGCAGGGTTAGTACAACTCATTTAATATTAACAACGGGTCACTACCACTCTGTCTCTCATCCAGCAGAACTGCATTTAATTGCCCCCTTTAGATAATCACTCAGTGCTATGGTGGACTGCGTGTGTGTGTGTGTGTGTGTGTGTGTGTGTGTGTGTGTGTGTGTGTGTGTGTGTGTGTGTGTGTGTGTGTGTGTGAGCATCTGTGAGCGACTGATAAGGACTGAAAGAGGCTATGGCCGCTTTGTTACATAAATCCAGAGGTTGGCTCAAACAATGCCTGTGTGTTCATGTGCATGTGTGTGACTACTCTAGGACTAGCCACTGATTTGCCAACACCGCTGAAGAGCTAGAAAATGAAACCATTAGTGTTAATAAGTAATGAGAGAGGTTTGCTGATCAGAGTAAAATTCCTCATCTCCCAACTCCGTCCTGCAGCAAAATGTGCGTAGCACACTACCTCTCTTGGACCAGACATGAATGCCAATACACATGCTGTTTGCCAGTTTGATTGACAGCCTTTAAAGACAATTAAGTGACGAATAACTAACACTCTTTGCCAAAATTTCGGAGGTGTCAATATGGGGTTTCGGAAAATAATAGTAGGGCTGAGCAAGTTCCGACATTTATTCTATTCTGCATTAACGCTGTTTTATTATATTCCTTATTTGAATGTTCCTTGGTCACTGGCTCACATAAATAATAAAGAGGAGGGGGGGGGGGGGGGTGATCAGCACCGCCCCCAACCAATGGCAGCATTTGGGGGCAGGCTCATGCCATCACTCGCAAGAGAGGAGAGGGACAGAGAGAGAGGAAGGAATCCGAGGCGATGGAGTTAATACTCATATGTCTCTCTTTCTCTCTCTCCCCCCCTCCCTTATTATTCATATCTGTTTCTGAGACTATACATGTGCCACTATTAGTTCTTTACGTGATTTACTGTGTCATTTCAAATTCCCCTACCTCCAATAATCAGTTGTGATGTGTAACTTTACATTTTGAATTTTAAATAATTTAGCCGCTATGTGTGGTTAATTGTAAATGTAATATGATGCAATCACCAAATATCTTAATGAACACACAATCACATGTTTTTTTTGTGTATGTCAGACCTGGAGGCTCTGAACACCTGCTGATGGGGAACATTACATGTGAGGACGGCCCAGCTCCTCAGGTACATGAGACCAATCAGCTTCAAAACGTTGAAGGCAGGAAGACAGGGAGAGAAAAATGCTCCCATCCTGAACGGAAGAAAGAGAAAAGTGAGTAACACACCCACACAGCCACTGGGGTCACACTTCATATAACACACATTCCATCCTGAGGCTCATGGTTTCGCTTCATTATGTTCAATGTTGCCAAGTGGCATTTCTGAAATGAGTTGAGGAAATACAGTGGAGCCAGATACAGGGGTGTAATGGAGAGATCATAGCAGGCCACATTCCTTTAAACAGGGTCATGGAGACTGGTCAGCACTGGCTAGTCAATTAACTCTGAGGTACATCTTCTATTACACACCGGTGCAAGCCGAGCTAATACAGTGCAGTTATGGTTAGGTATCTATATTTCATTTTCTGTATTTCTAATTCATTTCATAGACATTTTTGGACTTACCAGATCATTCCTTGGTTATAAATCAGATGCAAAACATTCTCTGCTATTTTGAATTCTCCATATTCAGGCTGAGAAGAGAGAAAGATCATTAATGTGTAGAAAGATCACTAATGTGTTGTCCTTAAATGATCAAATCAATATTAAAAACTTTGGTACTCAGTTTACTTTTCCCCCCCGTTTATTGACTGACTTGAAATTTTGCACACTGTGCTCTTGGTTATCCTGTACAAAATAGTCAATCGTGGTAGGCAAATGCTTCTGACTAGTTTTTCTGTCATTTTGAATTTTGTGAAAAACACATTGTCAACTTTACAACTCCTCCCAGACGTCATTATTGGCTCTTTTAAAAGTTAAATACATTTTTTTGATATCTCATTGTCTTTAGAGATTATGGACCAATGGAAATATAAGGGGTGTAGCCTAATAGGTAAAGACACATAACGTCACAAGTTCTTGGCCTTTCCTCACCAAATCTCAAGCATACGTTCACATTGAGACCTAGCAATTTTTTAATAAAATTTAAACAAAACTGGGCGCTGCAGTCAATTGCTGAATACTTGCATTTTTCGCTTTTTTTATCTTTGATTTATAAATGAACAAACTCTTTTTAACACGATCAAAATCCGTCTAGTATGATCCTGACCCTTTTCAAAAGTTGAATTAAAGAGTTTTGTGCATCAACCTGGGTGGGGCGCGGCATCCATTTTGGTCAATTTTCCGAAACATTTAAATTTCTAGTCAAAATTTCCACTTCATCATCTTCAGGAAGCTAGTGTGAGCCTTAATAGGTTTTACACTTGATGTGCTACTCCTAGCCATTAAATCAGATCAACCTCAAATTTGTAGTACACTCTAAAAAATGTGACCAATGGTTACTCAAAAAAAATGTGACAACAAACAAAGTGACAAATATAATTGAGTAGATTTCAATTGCTAAAACTTTGAGTAAAATGTATTGAAAAAAATAATTTAATCTACAAGAGATATGTAGCAAATCCAAATCAATTTCACAAGGAAACTTGATTCATGTCTACTTATCAAAAGTCATTTATAAAATGACTGGATATTTGGGTGAAATTGACTTATATTTACTGAATATTTGAGAGAAATGTATTTACATTTACTGATTATTTGGGTGAAATGTATATATTTACTGAATATTTGAGTCACATTGAGTGTTATATACTACTAATCTTGGTAAAATTGAATTTGATTTACTGAATAAAATATGTTATATCAACTCACATTTTAGCACATTGTTAAATTAATTGTTTAAATCTATTCAATAAAATTACGTGCCACTTTGTTGCCACAATTTTTCTATGTCTAATTCACTCAATACATTTTTGTGTAACAGTAAACTTAACTTAACAGATCATCATACATAAGTACAGCAGGTTAAAAATAATTTATTTGTGCAAATTTCTATGAATACGTACAGGAAAAGCTGCATTATATGAGCATGGTTTATATACATTTGAACAACACAAATAAAGCAGCATTAACACTAGATAGCAACACCAAAACTGAACTCCAGAAAAACAAGAGGCAAACCTAAACTTCTCAATGTGAATCCTAAAAGTATAATGTAATTAACAAGCATTGAACAAACAGTAACCACATTTGAGAGTTCTAACAGTAACAACAATTCCCTTTTTTCTCCGAGGGTCAAAGGGAACAGCTTTGAACAGTCCAGCTCCAAGAAAACCTGAAACATGTTAAATGTGTTTAAGTTTCTTTGAATGTGCAAGATTGACTGCATACGCAAACCCAAGCAGCAGACAGCAAGCCCTTGGAAAGTCCCTCAGTCAAAACTTTTAGTCTGTCCAACGCGATACCAACGTCTGGACTCTCCGACGTGTTCGTCTTGCTCCTGTAGATTTTCATCTTTTGTATTGCAAGGTCCCGTGAAACAGCGTCTTCACCAGCATCCTGAAATAGCAAGAAGATTGAGTATTACGTACTGTACATCCAAAAGATTAGGTCCCATTTGAACATCCACCAAATTACTTCTACGTTGGCATGTTTGTTAACTTCACAGAAGAGCAAAATAATGTTAAACTGCTTCAACAACTTGGTTATAATGCGTTCGTTCACTAAAAATAATTGCACAGGTCTTACCTTTAGGAGACCAGCGTCCCTTCCACACGCGGAGCAGATGTCCACGTGGTTCAAAATGCGTGGGACGGAAGTGTCACTCAATTGAAAACAATGTACTCTAAATGAGTAAAATTCATAATTTTCTGCATATTAAACTTTATCCATAAAATATAATTAAAGTCTACTCAGTGATTCACAAGCAAATTTAAGTATGTAATTAATAAATATGCAGCATTTATTAAATTCAGCTCAATTTAATTCAAAACTGTACTTAGGCTTCATTATGTAACGGTTACTATTATATATTTAGTAGATATTAATTAACGGCAGTCGCATTTTTTACAGTGTAAGTAAAGCCTTAAGACTTTGATGATAGAATATTGTTGTTTTTTTTTAAATGTGTTGCTGTGGCAACACGGTCTTCGCATGAGAGATCAAGCAGGTCAAAACTCATGAAACATTCTGGGCGTGTTCTAGGTGATGACAGTAAAGCAGCGATTCCCAAAGTGTGGGCCGCGAAGGTACTGCAGGTGGGCCGCGAGAGGTCATTATTTACAATAAATAAATCAAATGTTTTCAATTTTGAAAAGTTTGAAATTAATATCAAAAAGATGCGGCACATTAGTTATGTGAAACATTAATTGATGAGGCACAAACAATTTAAACGAACAGATTATTAAAACAATAAGGTTCTCGCTCAAAACGGCTGCTCTTGTCCGCCTGTCGTTGTTCAACAAACGGCGCCGCCAACCAAAACAATGTCACATGGGGCGCCCTCTAAATTAAAGTATTAAAGTAAATATACTGCATTTTCCGCACTCCAAGGCGCACTTAAAAGGCTTTAATTTTCTCAAAAACGACAGTGCACCTTATAATCCGGAGCCTTATATATATGGATCAATTGGTTAATCGGTTGATCCATACTGGTTGTACACGGCGCTCAAGGCGCTCTGCCAAACATGACAAAGCTCGTCTACGACGGCGAGATGCTGAGCGGCGCTCAATCGCGTGAGATATGGAGACGGTGCTATTTTCTCTACAGTAGCTGAACCATCTTAACGGGGAAAATTAGTTATTCTAAAAGGGGCCGTGGGCAGGCGGCATTTGCTGTTGTATTGTCAAAAAATCCTGGTTTCGTGATCAACTCGCGCAGATCCACCTTCGAGGAACCGAGATAGCCTGATGTCAATCATCTCATGTATGAACAGGAACGGACCTCGCACTCGCACTTTCTTCTCATTCTCCACCAACATCCACCCTTTTTGGTAAGTATTTGGTATTTATTTGTAGGGCTGTCTAAATTAACACATTAATCTATGCGATTCATTTGGGATGAATGCAATAAAATATTTGAATCCCAGTTGCAAGGGTCATCATTGTTTATTTACAGCAAACTGGAAGTAAACAACGATGACCCCGGAAACGAAACCGCCGCTAGCTGCAGTCAGTTACCTTTGATCGCTGAGTCCGAGGCGGTAGTTGAAGATGGAGAGAGCTTTTTTCAGCAAAACCAACAGAGGCGTCATACAGCGGAATACTGTGCAGAGGAATTCATCCACGTGTCAAACAGAACCACGTTACGCACTGACGTCCGGTTGCCGACTCGGCTAAGGCTCAGAAGACCCTTGATTTTTTTCCTTTGGCCAACCGCCAAAGATTACAGGTGTAATAAATTATTGTTAATTCGGAACAAGTCTCTCCTGATTGAATTGTTCTTTATTGTTTCCATTGCTTGTCCCACCTACAAAAAAGACCCCTGTAACCCGTTTACTCCCGTACGTCCTACAATCAGTGGAATACATTATCTTTTAGCTGGATCGTGGACAAGCCATTCTCGACTGGACCTCCACTTTTTGTCTTTTTCTTTTCCCCTCTTTATTTGCTCTTTTAGGTCTTCCCTTTTCCTACACCTGCTAGGAGCCGCCATATCCTTGCTTCGGTCTCCACAAGTTTTATCAAAAGCCTTCACCTGTCACGCGTGTTTGCCAGTCTATTCGCTTATCAACAAAGGTACAGTGGACGAGAGGGGAAAACAATACGCGGAAGGTACAACATTAGCAGGATAACTCGGTGTGTCCTGTGAACTGGTTGAATGTGTGTCTCACTGTCAATGTGTGAGGCTTGAGAAGCCTGCTATGAGTCTGTTATTTTAGCTGTGTTTTAAGAAGACTAATGTAACGAACTGTCTCATCTAGCCGAGGAAACTCGCTACCGTCGCCAGAGAACGGAGCAGGCAGGTCCGCATGGATCTCTCTGCTGGGCTTAAAAGGCTCTTCTTCTCCATGCACATCTTGAACCGGCACCGACACCCCCATCTTTGGACTCATGGTGGGGATGAGTCCGCATACAGGTGGAGATTGACCAACTGGTGACGTGGCCCAGTCAAATATATGGACATTGTGACGACTCGAAGAGACTGTGAAGATTAACTTCCTGTTTTATTTTTGTAACCACGGCACTTCCTGTATCTAGTTTCCCCCCACAGCTGAGTTTAGTTTGCAATCACCCCCACCTGTATTTAAGCCTCAGTTCCCCACTCGTCTGTGTCAGGTTATCTTTTGTCTTTCCCAGAGGTACATGTTTGTTGTTAAATTCCCAGTGCTGTTTTTGTAATCTTGTTTCTACTTTGTTGCCAGGCTCTCTTCCTTTTTGTTTCTACAAGAGCGTGTGGATTCCGCCTTTGCCTGTGCCCCCTTTGTTTTGCTTTAGTTTACTCTCCTAGTAAAAGATTCCAAACCTTGAAAGAATTTTCTGTTGCCTTATTGCTCTGCACCTGAGTCGAAGTCCTGACCCCTCACAGACATACATACGTGTTTTAACGTACTTATCTGTCTATATTGTTAATTACTGCTTGTATATTTTGATCTTATTTTACTTTAGCTTATTGTATTGCCTTCAAAGCCAAGTTGACTTCATTCTCAAGACAAATTTCAATCAAATTATTTGCTCATTTCCACACACCAGCAACAGTGAAAGAGGCCCCTCGGCTTATACAGAAATACAGCAAATCACTACACAACCTGCACGGAGAAAAATAACAATGGACTTCAGCTCGTGTCATGTCCCCTGTCACACAACATAAATGGAACTGATGTAGCTGTATGAATGTTATGCTTCACTAAGTGAAGCCAAGTTGCCAAACATTAGGAGGATAAGAGGATGGTGGTGTTTTTGGCTACACATCCACAAATCATCTCAGCCAACTGATAACGCCTCATATCCCAAACCAAAAGTCAATGTATGTGTGCAAGTGCACTAGACTACCGTATATGACAGCATTAAACACACAAAAATATTGGTCAACAATAACCGATATGGGACAAAGCACAAAATACAAGACAACAGATTCAGCTGGATGACAAGTAAACATCAGCAGCAAAGCTGCGGCTCTCACGTGTCACACATCGAGCGTGACAGTCAGTCATTTTCGGTCTTTAGTAAAGCGCCATGTGACTCACTGCCACCGCTGCTGGCTCTCTTTCTTCTACGTCGGCTCGACGATTTTACTTTTGCTCTGCAAGAATCTCCGCAACTCATTGAGTGACGTAATAATAGTGCGAGACAACAAATCGATAATGAAATTCATTGCCAACGCTTTTAATAATCAAATTCTTTCAATTTCATTGATTCGTTGTTGCAGCCCTACTTGAGTTAAATTAACCATCTAGCCATCCCACATTTATGATCTCAAAAGCACAGTATATACTTTTTTAGCAAAGGTTTATAGGTTGCGTTTTTTGTAAATATTTCATGCAGAAGGAAATGCCTTCAACCCATTTGTTAGCTCTCTAGGAGATGACAAAGGAGATATCCCAGAACTTTGGTTTGTAGGAATACCTTTCTCAAGCGCTCCTCTAGAGCTGACTTATTATTTCATTGTTTTATCTTATTTCTGGAGCCCATGATAAAAATATTAAGGGACAAAAACTCAAACTTACAAACTTGCTCTCTAAATCCCAGCAGCAGCAGTCACTCAGGTATCGGACCACCAAGCCCCTGATGAAGTCAATGAGTAGGATGCTGGCCACCGTAAAGATCATGTCGATGATGGACAGCTTCAGCATCTCCTGCAGACACACCATGTACATATAAACACGTGCAGGCTAATACATTTCCCACCAGCCAACCAGGCTGAAACCTGCTCAGTTATGTTGTTTTCTGATGTTTGTTTACCCCTCGGCCATCTGCACAGCTGGGACTTGCATGAGTAGAAGTTAATTAATTAATCAGTGTAAAGCACATCAATTGGAACCAATGGCCTAACATTTGCCTATTCTTCTGTGTAGAAAAGTGAGTTCAAAACAAGTGCAGACGAGAACATTCAACCTCAATACATGCATGTCCATTGTTTGTGTGATCTGGTTATTGGGTAAGTGAGGGGTGTTGGAATTAGGCTAGGTGGTAATATAGGATGGATATATGTGAAAAATACACGTAGTGCACCGACACAAATATCCCCATAAATATACAAATAAATACGCAAGTAAACTAAAAAGACTAACAAGTGGAGTTAAGAGAAAGAAACACATAAATAGTATGTGAAAGTAATATATATTATGAAATGATTACCTTAAAATAATAAAAAATCTTGAAAAGTAGCTTGCAAGCCGAAAAGTGTGGAAAGCCCTGTGTTAAACCTTTTCGACCACGGCGTTACTCCAGGCAGCAGCGCCCGCTTGAAAATCACTGTGGCCCCTGTCGACCATCCGCGCCCCCTCGACTGGATCATCCGCGCGGCAAGAAACAATGGTATGTACATCAAACGAATGCCTTTCTATACTATACTATCTCTAAAATGTCTGGCAATCCACCACTTTGCTCCAGACTGAAATGTCTCAAAAATGTATAGATGGATTGTCATTGAATGACAGTGACTCGCCGTGTGGAACTGATTGATGAAAATATAGCCAGCCAATTACACAAAACGTTTTTGATCATGGAGACCCTGAAAGGAACAACGCAAGTGTAGGACACCCATTAATTTCATTAATCTAACACTAATCTAATTTTATTAGATTAGTGCAACTTCCAGTTTTCTCTGGACCTCCCTTCAACTGGTTTCATGTTAGAAAATACTTTGCGGACCGGTCTTGAAGGTGTGGCAGATAAACACGTATTTAAGCAGAAGAGCGGTAGAATTATAATATGTGTGATCATGACTACTGTTATGATTGTAGTTTGTGTGTTATTAGGTAATAGCTATTAGCATGTTAGATTAATATCTGTAATATGAATTAAACACCTTTTATATAAATCATTTGATTACTGTACACATGACATCCAGCCACAAAGTAATGTTAGGCCTGGGGGAAGGATGCTTAAACCTTCCGTGATGGATTTCTTGCATATTTTCTTTCTCCCCAATTTTATAGAATAGGGATAGGAGAATAGGGAATGGTCGGGTCAGTGAGGGATCTCATATATTCATTTTAATTTTTAAACTTGAGCCAGTTGATTCTTTTGACGTTACGGACAGACTGGCCGACGGGGGAGGGAGGGGCGTGAGGTGGCAAAAAAAGCGTTTGGTTGACTTTGGGTGTCAAGCAGTGCTGTAGTGGTAAAATTAGATGTGGGTAAACCAAGAATGTTGTGATCATACAGACCAATGACGCAATGCAACGCTGTGCGACTCAGTAAAACTGTCCTGGCTATATTATGTTATCAGTTAAAGTCATATACAATCAATGACAGTGAATAAATGTGTTTGCAAACAGTAAAGAAAAGTATGTGTAGGCCTCAAGGGGGTGGAGGGGGACACAAAAAAGGACCTCTATAGGACCTTAAAAAAGTGAAGGCCTCTGGAAACGGGCCCAGGGTGTTACAGCTGAACCGTGTAATATGGAAAGAGACAACACTTCCCCTGCTCCTTAACCATTTATGGCGCGTTTCCACCGACCGGTATCGGGTCGTCACTCTTTCAACCAATCAACGTTCTGCAGTGAGTCTAGCTCCACCCTTTAGTACCAAACAACTATGCCAGGTACCCCAACGGAAGGGTACCAAAAAAGTGGTACGGTACGGTTCTGATTTTTGGTACCATTCTCAACTTTTGGCAGTGGAGACACAAATAAAAGGGTACCGACCCGCACCGTACCGTACCGCTCGGTGGAAACGCGCCATAAGAGAAAGCTCCAAAAGTCAACAGAACTAATGGATCCATTCCAAACAGGCAGACAGCTCCACAACCTGTGTGTGTGTGTTTACATCCTGATTAGTGGAGCCACCGCAAGGCGCTGATTGGAGGGTCACAGACAGACAGCGCAGATGAAAATTATCACCCTACGGCGTTTATATGTTCAACAATATGAAACGTAGTCTTTGGTGTTTTAAAATGACACCAAATGTGTTTTGGATTTTTCCAACGGAAGAATACAAGGGGCGGGGTACTTTGAGGTTTGTAAACGTTATGTCCAAAATTCCAAAGGTACAGAGGTAGGTACAACAGCCCTGGTGTCAAGCGCATGTAATCGGGAGAGAATTTGGTCATCAAGATAAAATCGTTTTTTTTTTCTTCGCAGCCTGGTGGTTGGGGACCACTGGTGTAGAGCAATCAGAAGAGGGTACCTGTCCAACGTACGTCTCCCAGCATTGGTCCTGCTGAGAGCGGGTGTTCTTCTCAAACATAGCCGTGTGGTTGGAGATGGTCCCTGAACTGCTTGGGCTGGTGCTCCTAACATCCAGCAGTGTGGCAATTGTTGCTATGGTGCTGTTGTGATGCTCAGAGACTGAGATCTCAGAAACCAGGGTTGAAAGGCTGCCTACCTCAGGCTGAGAGATTGTGGCCAGGAAGGAGCTGGAGTCAGACCAGTTCCCTGGACTCACTGGGTCCTGGAAGACAAAGAAATTGTTGGAATACATTACCAGCCACACAAGGCAAGGGGCAAAAACACACACAGGAACAGGGGGGCAAAAAGACAGGCAGGAACTCGGAACATCCAGGAAGATAGACAATGACGCGACAAGTAACAGGGGAATTCACTGCTTAAATACACTAGGGAGGTGCAGGTGATTGGACACAGGTGGAAACAATCAGACGATCACAGGGGATGACAGGACAAGGCAGGAAGTGAAGTTACCCAGGGAGACAAGAAGCAGAAAACTACACAATAAGACAGGAAATAAAACCACACTGTGACATATTAAAAGACAAAACCCCTGTAAGGCAGCCGGCCCGGACTCCGTTTCCCCTCACACCGTGAAGCATTGTGCTGACCAGCTGTCTCCGGTGTTCACTGATATCTTCAACACCTCCCTGGAGACATGCCACGTACCAGCCTGCTTCAAGGCCTCCACCATCATCCCTGTTCCCAAGAAGCCCAGGATCACAGGACTCAATGACTACAGGCCCGTCGCCCTGACCTCTGTAGTCATGAAGTCTTTTGAACGGCTAGTCCTGACCCACCTGAAGTCCCTCACCGACCCCCTCCTGGACCCCCTGCAGTTCGCCTACAGAACCACCAGACGATGCTGTCAACATGGCCCACCACTACATCGTCCAGCATCTGGACTCCCCAGGAACCTACGCCAGGATCCTGTGTGTTCAGCTCTGCCTTCAACACCATCATCGCATCTCTGCTGCAGGACAAACATTCCCAGCTGCACGTGCCCGACTCCACCTGCAAGTGGATCACAGACTTCCTGTCTGACAGGAAGCAGCACGTGAAGCTGGGGAAACATGTCTCAGCCTCTCGGAGCATCAGCACCGGTTCCCCCCAAGGCTGCGTTCTTTCCCCTCTGCTCTTCTCCCTGTACACCAACAGCTGCACCTCCAGTCACCAGTCCGTCAAGCTCCTGAAGTTTGCGGATGCGGTTTGCGGTGGGGATGAGTCCGCCTACAGGTGGGAATCTGACTATTTGGTAATGTGGTGACCACTGTGGATTCCTTCCATTTCTGGGCTCCAGTCACCAGTCCGTCAAGCTCCTGAAGTTTGAGGATGACACCACCCTCATTGGACTGATCTCTGGTGGGGATGAGTGAGAGTCTGACCATCTGGTTTCGTGGTGCAGCCAGAACAACCTGGAGCTCAACACTTTGAAGAGAGTGGAGATGGTTGTGGATTTCAGGAAGAACGGAGTCCCACCTTCCCCCATCACCCTGTGTGACTCCCCCGTGACCGCTGTGGGTTCCTTCAATTTCTGGGCTCGACCATCACCCGGGACCTCAAGTGGGAACTGAACATCAGCTCCATCACCAGGAAGGCTCAGCAGAGGTTGTCGTTCCTGAGGCAGCTCCTATAAGGAGCAGAGGATGGATGGCCGAGTCCATCCTCTGATCCTCCATCACCGTCTGGTACGCTGCAGCCACAGCCAAGGACAAGGGCAGGCTGCAGCATGTCATCCGCTCTGCAGAGAGAGTGATCGGCTGCAATCTGCCGTCTCTCTAGGACTTGTTCAATTCTAGGACCCTGAAGTGAGCTAAAAAGATTGTAGTTGACCCCTCTCACCCCGTAAAAAAACTGTTTGTGCCCCTTCCATCTGGCAGGAGGCTGAGGTTCATGAGGACTAAGACCTCCTGCCACACCAACAGTTTCTTCCTGTCGGCAGTCGGGCTCAGAGCCCGGGTCCCCCACTGACTAAATCCCACCAGCCAGATTCTGACGCTGCTGCACACTCTAGATCTTCAGCACTCACTCTAAGAAATGCAATACACACTAATGTAAAACTCGGACCGAAAAACTAATGAAACATAATCAGTTATTACGAAAAAATTATAATAGATATCAACAAGCTTTAAAACAATAGTTCAGATTTTTGTCAACATTTTAAAGTTTAAATGGTGTCTGTAGCTGAAAGATTGGCGAAGCAGAAAAATGTGAAAGTTGAAGAAGTTTGTGGCGGCTAAAACTCTCTTTGGTGTTTCCTTTGGCCCCTATTTATGCGTCCTGTCGTTTTAACCACGCCGGGAGATCGGGTCCAGTTGTCTGACTCGCGGCTTTGCCTCCAAACAGAAAACCAGGTGCAATGTCATTTATTGAAAATAAAAAAACATGAAAGAAAGATGAGTTACAACGATTTGGATGCCTGATGATGCCAATCACATCAACTGTCGGCTGAGGCCGAGGTCTAAGACGGCATCTGACGTAACCCGTTTCTCCACCAACTGTGCGCCATTCGCACCAACTTATAGGAGTGCCTGCCTCTCCTGTAGGGGGCACACTTTGCTTTTAACACTAATAAAAAGAACAAAAATAAGTTATTTTAATACATGGACATAAACTACACACCAGCCCCTAATTGTTCTCCACAGAATCAATTACCCAAATAAGGAGCTGTGTAAAAAAGGAGTTATTCAAGATATTCATAAGAAGTAAAGTATATACATTACATTGTGGCTTCAGATGAAACATCTATTCTTCAGTGTCTAGAAGGCGGCACAGCTTGGTTATGGGCCTTTTAATGACTGAAGTCTTAGTCTGGAGCTTCACTGAACGGACCAGACGTCTTTCATCGGGTTTGGTTTTCAGCACTCTGCCTAATGGCCATGAGCCTCGGGGGGCCGTGGGATCGACCACCCGGACGAGGTCTCCTTTACTAAAGTTCTTTCTTACATCGGTCCATTTCTGCCTTTCTTGGAGCAGCAGAAGGTATTCTTTCGTCCATCTATGCCAGAAAAGGTCCGCCATGTACTGGACCTGTTTCCAGCGACGCCTTGCATAGAGGTCAGATTTTGGAAAAGTTCCAGGAGGTAGAATGGGTTGTGTTTTAAGCAAGACAATGCGATTTGTGAGTCAGAGGCTCTAGATCACAAGGATCCGAGGATACAGTACAGAGGTGGCGATTATTGAGGATTGTTTGTAAGATTTCATCGTCGAGGGTTTGCTGGCCGAGAGTGGAGTTGAGCTTGGAACTCCACTGGATACCATCAGAAAGCAGAGCGCCTTGGATTTTCCTGTTATTTAGGCAACTCAGGGCCTTGAGTTCGGCCTGAGCACCGACTACGTTTGTGCCATTGTCTGATCGAATGTGTTTAACCGGACCGCTCCTACAAATAAACCTTCTCAAAGCATGAATGCACGAGTCAGTGTCCAATGAGTAGGCTACCTCCAAATGAATGGCTCTGCTAGACATACAGGTAAACAAGACTCCATACCGTTTAATCATGCTTCTCCCCCGTCTCACTTCAATCGGGCCAAAATAATCCAATCCGACATTGGTAAAGAAAGTTGGAATGCTTCAAAGCATTCCAACAATAAAAAGAAGTTAAATAAAGATTTGAAGAACCATACTTGACCACAACAATGATGTCCGGCGCGACCTGTAGCCCAACTAATTTACTAACCAAGGAAACTCTCAAGGTCTCTCAGTTTCAGCAGCTTGGTTGAATCTTATTAGCGTATTCTTGCTCTGCTGTTAGTTACAAGTTATCTTTTTATATCTGATGACTGTTTATGTAGATTGTATGAATCCATTAGATTAAAAAATGACTGCGTGGTCATGCAACACATTGCAACTTTAACGGAATGAGAAGAAACAGATGCTCATAATTTTCATAATTTTACATACTCACAGAAGAGCTCATACTGTTGACCTTATCAAGCAGGGCAATAATGAGGCTGTAGAGATTCCCGAGGTACAACACAAGTACTCTGTAAAAACATATAGATATGAACAATGTTATTGTACCTGGGATGTACAGATTGTAATTATGATGTAATGTAGAGAATGAGTACCTGGCCAGCTGGAAACGCAGGGAGGTTCGTGGGTGGTACATCTCAAGCTGAGAAACCAGCTCAAAGGCAGAAGGAGCAATCATGGTGATGAGAGAAACCACCACACTCACCTGGCGAGAGAAAGAAGAGACTGTATTCTATTTCTCCTTTTTAAAATGCCGATTTCTACTTAAAATTGATAATACATTACAGCAGGGATTCCCAAAGTGTGGTGCGAGCACCCCTTAGGCTGTGCAAGCGGCCTTTAGGTGGTGCGCAAGAGGAAACGTAATGGTGGTCAAATGGAGTAATAATTCCTATTCATATGGCTTTTAGAGACATGACTTGTAAAACTACCCTTTTTACGATTAGCTGCCTACAAGAAAGCAGAAAAAGGAAAGTGGCAGCTCCTCAACTATCTTTCGGGGGAAGCCAAAATGACAATATATTCAAGACTACTTCGCCAACATGGAGAAGTTCGCTCGCTCCGCTCGGCATGGCAGCACCTATAAGGGGGCTGGAGAGTTCACCCAGCAGGAGGTCTTCCGACTTCTAAAGATCAACAAGGAAGGAGGGAGGGAGCACTACTGGGAGTGAGGCGTCTGCCCAGCTGAGCAGGATCCTGAGCGGTTTCCCGCTCAATGTTGTCGGGAAAAAAACTGGTCCTGCTATTAATATTAATCACATTACTATTACTGTAGTCATAAACCAACTTTACCAACGTTGCTTCTTTCCTGAAGTCTTTGTGCTTTTCCCTCCTCAGGTTACTGTGGACTGTGGTTCTGTCTGATGCTGGTTCTATCTGATGCTGGTTCTACCTGATGGTGGTTCTGTCTGATGGTGGTTCTGTCTGATGTTCTATTTGATGGTGGTTCTATTTGGTGCTGGTTCTATCTGATGGTGGTTCTGTCTGATGGTGGTTCTATTTGGTGCTGGTTATGTCTGATGGTGGTTCTGTCTGATGGTGGTTCTATTTGATGGTGGTTCTGTCTGATGGTGGTTCTATCTGATGGTGGTTCTCTCTGATGGTGGTTCTGTCTCATGGTGGTTGTCCCTGCAGTGGTCCTGCTGTATACCTGGCTTACTACTTTCAAAAGATACTATACAAGCTTTTTTCCTTTTTTCTCCACGTTGAAGGCGTTTTTCATTCCTGTGCCGATGTGAGGGTTTCGGGAGGGTGGATGTCACACATGAACAGACTATAAAGCCCTTTGAGGAAAATCTGTAATTTGTGATTTGGGGCTATACCAAATACAATCAATTGAATCAGTCCTGGTTCTCCACTTTCATTGATTTCTTGGAACAGTATTGTATGTTGAATAATCTAATCAAACTAATGATGTCTGTTCTGCTACCTCATTCTTCTCCCAAAGTGTCAGCTCCGGCTTCTCCTGCTCTAGTTTCTGAGAACGGTCCACCACAAAGTAGATGATGTAGATGCTGCCAGCCAGAGACAGCAGCACCAGGATGTTGGCTAAAATACGCAGACTGATGAGAACTGCCCTGAGAAAACACACAAATATGTTTTTAAGATTTTCATATCAGGTAAATATATTAGTGCAATGTTTTCTCTGAAGTGGAAGTACATAGCATGTACTACACAGAGTGGTTGCATATTATAAAGAGATTAGCAGTGCAATATTACTCAATGTCTTTCAATCAGAACATTATAATAAACGTCAGATGCAATCAGATGGACGGTATTAAAATGCCATGATGCCGTCACAATGCGTAATGACGCTGATGGCTGATCATGCGCTCTTAGAAGATGTGGCACATGGAAGGATTGGCGCTGTAGTGCAGCGCACCATCGGCCTGTTTAAGGGCAGATGGCGCTGCCTCGACTGCACTGGAGGGAGGTTATTGTTTACTCCTGAAAGGTGTGCAACATCGTGCTGCATGTGCTGTGCTACATGATGTGGCACAGCTTCCAAACGTGCCTCGACCCCCTGACGTCGATGGCTGTGTTGGCCCCGACCCTGTCCCCGATCCCCAATCACTGCCGCCAGTCTCTCATCCCCTTTCCCACCCGGGGCAGACACACCATGGCACTAAACGCTTTTTCGCATCCACTTTCAGACCATTTTTTCTTTATTTCGGCCACGGTCCGAGGTCGTGAGGCTGCAGCGTTGCTCTGCAACCTTTTGCCACTCGAGTGCCTTGTTGGCATTAGTGATGCCCATACTGTGCCCTCCAAAAAGCATTTTACTTCTCCTTTCCACCTCCCCAATGATCATTTCCACTTCACACTGAGTGAAGTTACGTTTCTTCGTTTTCCTCTCAGTGTTTGTCATGATTTTGCAATCGATGAATATTAATTTGTGGGCGTTCCACAGACTATATATGGGCAACTATGGGCGTGACATGAAGCCGCAAAAACTGCGCTGCATTTAGAATTGATTGTGATTTATTAAGGGAAAACTGCGTAAGACGTGCGTGCGCACGGTTTTATAAGTCTGAATATTTCTGTGCGTACGCACGTCCTACGTTTCATCCGCACGCCACTTCTGGCGCAAATCATACGCAAGCTTTTATAAATGAGGCCCCTGGTCCGTGTTTTGCTCTAGGCATTTTGATACTTCAAATAAAGTATTTTTGTTTGTGTAAATCTGCATTTGAGTCCTGCTTCCGCCACCTCGTCATGACAAACTGTATGTCAGAGTGGAGGATGACATCTAATGTGATAGCCGAGGTAGATATATCTTCTGTATCTCCATTTCCTTTTTGTGATTCAATCTCAGTTTCCTAAAAAGAGCCCAGGATTCAGATCAGGGGGGTTCTCACATACTGCAAGAGAGAAAAACCCAGAGGAAGACGATGAAGCATGCAAAATCAAGAAACAAATAGCAGACACCTACAGACTGGTATCCTTCTTCTTTTCCTGCTCCTCAACGATGGCCTCCTAAGCAGAGAAACGTTTCATATAAGTTTTGATGATCCCTGCTGCTGTTGTTGTTGGTAGAAGGCAAAATCACAGCAAGTCACACTTTCAGATTCATAATGTTGTGTGCATGAAAAGTACAAGAAGGGGACAGGGGTGTTGTTGGCGCATATGTACGTGTAACTGGATATGTGCAATCTGAGTGCCACTGACCCGGATGTTGTTGACAATGGCAGCTCCTTTGCTCTCGGCAGCCTCGGGGTTTCCTATCAGGTAATCCCAGGCACAGAAAACTCTCCAACAGAACGTGAAGTTCTCGTCAGAGGCACTGGCCAGGCTCAGACGAGAGTTCTTGGCCATTCTGTAGGAGTTTATGTAGAGCAAGTTATCAAATCATACAATACATTATCAACACTATTTTAGGATGCTGGTGCTATTCGAGTGGTCAGTCAGTCATACATACATACTTGTATATTTTGGATTCCTGAAGAACTAATGATTTGGTGAACCTTCCCCCCGGCACCGCCCCAATGATATATTTGCATTGGTGACATTTGTACAACATATTATACCTCACTGAATGGTCACACCAACTAATCCTAAATGGTGACTTTCGACCTGGATCTTATTTCCAAAATGATTAAGGCTCTAAATAGTACTATGAGTGGCAATATAGTGCACTACATTTTTAGTGTGGAGTGAAATGAAAGTTGCAGCTGCCATGTTATTGGGAGCTAAAGAATGTTCACGCTGGTGTTTTTTTCCAAGCTAGTGCTTGACGCTTGGTGTTCTCGTCGGTAGTCCATCTTAGTACTTACACTGACTGTATACACTGTAACACACGTTATCGAGAGCTATGCAGGGTTGACTGTAAGGAAGTGACATGGTATGAAGAGCGGCGAGGTCCGTATAGGGACGAGGTCAGGGTGGATGAATACAAGGCTTCTTTCAGCGGCGGCTGGTGGACTGTTTTTTGGCAGGGCCAGTCAATCAGTTTCAGTGAACATCACAGTGTGATTCAATGCAAAGGGTATCAAACACACATTATTTCTTTGCAGTTAAATATTTAACATTTATTCCAACAGTTTAACATAATAAGGACATCTTATTCAATTCAGTATATCAATGAATATATGAATATATATGTATATAAAAAACAATATCCAGAATATGATATAACTACCATATCATAACTATTATAAATATATTATTCTAAATATATTATATTAAAGGCTAAATTCGATTATTACAACATAAATATATTTATATAAAATCTATGTGTGGTGTGATTATAAACTACCTTTTGTTTTAAGGGGCCAGAAGAAAGCAGAAGATGTGAAAGATGTGTTGGGGGCTGGGGAACATGGACGGAATGGCTATTTGAATGTGAGGAAAGGGAATGCATTAAAACAATCTGAACGTGAGATAAGTTAGGTTATAAAATTGAGAATGAACAAAAGCCATTCTTGAATAAAAACAGGAAGAAAGCTGAGCAGGATGAGCAGATGTGATTATTTCAACACAAACTACTACCTTTTCCTAAACAAGTAGTATTATTGGCTCAACAGGCACGCTTGTTGTTGTCCATAAGATGGACACTTTACATTACAGGTCATTTAGCAGACGCTTTTATCCAAAGCGACTTACATTACACTTTAAACCCATGGCTTTTTGCTGGGGAGCAATTAGGGGTTAGGTGTCTTGCTCAGGGACACTTTGACATGGAACGTGGGTCAGCCTGGACTCGAGCCACCAACCTTGTGCTTCCCAGCACGCCTTCTCTAACCCCTGCGCCACGACGACCCCCACTTCCTATGACATGGGTTAGCTGATGTATTAGGCGGGCCGACCGCTAACACAGAGCCCGTTTGAAACATGCTAGTTCCCGATGGAAACACCTCCTGTTTTAGACTCTCCAACTGTGCGTCTCCTTAAAAGTCTGCATGGAGGCCGTGGTGTTTGTCAGCACACCATTGAAATAGATTTTTACTTAACTTTGCGGTTTTAATTTGCTGATATGACAAGGCAATTTCTATTGTCTAAAAAGTTGAATAATTACTTTCTTAAAAGGATGATGAAACTGTAGGCAAAGACAGCCATCCCAACCAGGAAGTAGGCGAGGGGCAACCGGTACCCTGCACTGCCAATTTTCCTCAGTCTGCCATAGTAACCATAGAATAATACGGAGTACTGCAGGTAGCCCTGTGGAGAAAGACACACACAACACATGTCAAACAAACATGCAAACATACAAACAAACAACAAAACAGTTTCTTGCCAAATAAGACATACAGCCTTTGACTGGACTGAAGTATTAACTTCTCAATTCCTTGTTAAACACTCATTGTCATTTTCTTTAGCCCGGTCATTGTTGCAGATTGAGAGTAAAATCAAGTCAATGTTTCACTGCGCCTAATGCGCCACCTGGACATGGGAACTAATCTGTACCAAACTTCGGAGGGCAGTTTAAAAAGACCAACGCAAGCCGTAGTTTGCCCACCTCTGCTCCATGTTATGCTAGTATAGAAGGTGGAGTGGCCTTGGGTTATAGGTCAAGGAGGCAGTAAAGTTGTTTTGTAATGTGCTATCGACAGAACAGTAAAAAGAAAGAGAGGCTAACCCCGAGAGACCAGATGGTGTCCAAGTCCTGGGCTGAAGCCTGATGCTCTTTGGGGATAGTTTTACTCCTCGTTGTACCAAACGGAGCTCCAGCCAGCAGCTGGTACATACAAACACAAACAGTACATTACATTTTTATATCTATACAGATGTTACCGACCAACACCTCTAAAAACCTAACTGAGTGTATCTGGTACGACAAAGAACGGCTGAAGAATAAACTGTAATGTATCAATGACTGCCAACGTACTCATTCTGTTGTTTTTACATTTCTGATTAAACCAACAATGGCTACTCAAGCTCTGTATTTGACACACAGCCACAACATTGATATTAGTATTCTCAACCCACTCTTGAAAAGGAAAAGTAAGCTCCATAACTACATGTTTAATATGGCTTTGCCATACACATCTTTACTTGAGTAAAATGAGCTTATCCTTCTTTATTCTGCACTATTTAGTTACCTGCTCCTGTAATGATCAACTGAAAATGGGTCGCTATAAATCAATAGTATTAATTATGTTTTAAATGTTCATGCAAAACGGAACCCAAGAGGAAAACTCACTGCAGATATACTGAGCTACCATTGACCAATTTGCTCCAATTATTAATCCCAGCCGTATAAATATTTAGTGTAAATGCTATAAATATTGGTGTGAAGGGTGGGAGGAAGAAAAATCTGTGCTTTTTTTTTTTGGATTGAAAAGTTGTCAACTTATACCTCTTGAAAAAAAGACATAAAATCTCTCACTTGAATACCCAGGTTTATTTAGCCAAATGAAAGAGCGTAGTTTATCTGTAGTGTTACACTTAATAGGAGCCAAACCTCAGGAATACAAAACTACGTTCAAGTTAGAGTGATTTTATATTCTGTCATTGGACACATCATTTACAGCAGGGAACAAGCACACATATCAATGTGACAGGATGTGAAGGTGGGGCTCACTAAGCAGGGGGGACACAAAGGATAGATTGCTGACAGTGATGGGTTTGTCCCAACAAGGAGAGGCAGATGATAAAAACCCACATTGGGAATGATAGCATTACTAATTTGTGGCAAAATTGCTTTTGTGTGCCTGTCAGTCACAAACATAAATCCAGCTGCATTTAGCTGCTGAGTAATGGTATGAAGCAATTTGTTTTCATATATGCCCTTTCTTAGCTATATGGAGAGTTATAACACATTCCAATTGAAGAAAATACCAATAGAACAGTTTGAACTTAGTCCATTCGTCAACTCACAAAAGGGGAATGTTTATGGTTGTTTTTGGAAGAGCAGTGTAGCAATTCATCAGCAGAGCTGCTCCCTTTGCCCACACATCATGTTCACGGTTTTTAGGACAATTCTGCAATTAAGCCTATCATATGGCATGCAGTATTAATACTATATGAGTTGTGAGACATTAGCTGACCTCTGGTAGGACGATAAAGGCTCCAGTCATGATCGTAAGGACGATGTTGATCCCAAACAACCATCGGAGGAAGATGAAGTAGGAGGCCACGCCCGACCCAAAGTGACCTCAACGAGACACAAGAAACATCTGACTGAGTTGTTGGCATGTTGGACGGTCCCTCATTCTACTATATATTTCAGTTCTCTGAAAAGGACTAACACCCTAAATGAGCATCGCGAAGGACGACTGGACTTTAGCTCCAGCTGAGTCAAGAACTGTAACGTTCTGTCGACTGTCATTACATTCTGTGGCGAGTAGAGAGGGTGCTAAACCTTCTACCTGTCTCTCACATCCCCATCCTGACTCGTCTGCTTAAAACAGTTTTACCTTTAGTCAGCACGTTACTGGATATTATTAATAGCACATGTACCACAGTCCTTCAATGTGGCGCAAATCAAACTTCTTGAACAACCCACTCATGATGCAAAGATGTTGGTTAGCTATAGATGTCTAATACTTCCTTTCTCTTTACGATTCTTGAACAAGCAGTTGCAAATCTGTTGTGTGACGTTCTGCACAGCGATGGTTTATTTGAAGTACATCATAGCACAGAAACAACAGTGGTGAAAATTCCTCGTACGTGGCTAACTGAGTTAGCCGGATCATTGTCAGGATGAGATGACGTAGATCAGGCTTTTCGGTTCCCCGAAGCAGGTTTGTCTAAATCACCACAGCAACACATGGAAAAACTTCATCTGAGCTGCTGGATTAGTTCATCAGTCCCAGGAAAAAAAGGGCAGCTCACTTCCTCATTGATGAAGGAGCGACATCAGTTAGATGAACGTTCTATAGGGAGAAACTTCTCCCAGATCATAAAAGACCCGAACACCACACGCTGCAGCCGAACGTCTACTGTCCCGCAGACTGTCTCACACACTCTCTCATACTGTCTCACACACTCTCTCATGTCTCACACACTGTCTCACATACTGTCTCACACACTGTCTCACACTGTCCCACGGACTGTCTCCCGTTGTCTCTCATACTGTCTCACACACTCTCATGTCTCACACTCTCTCATGTCTCACACACTGTCTCACATACTGTCTCACACACTGTCTCACACTGTCCCACAGACTGTCTCCCGTTGTCTCTCATACTGTCTCACACACTCTCTCATACTGTCTCACACACTGTCTCACATACTGTCTCACACACTGTCTCACACTGTCCCATGGACTGTCTCCCGTTGTCTCTCATACTGTCTCACACACTCTCATGTCTCACACACTGTCTCTCACACTGTCCTGTCTGTACAGTGATGCGATGCAGAGAACATCTGGAAAGCCGCTGCATGTCGTGCTCTTGGTAAAGTTCTGTTGGTTTTCTTGGTCTCTTAATAAACTTCTGGATGTTCCACATTTCACTGCATCAATTGATCAAATGTCTGATTATGAACAATGGATATATAATGATTCTCACATACACATTCACACACATCTAATAAAACTCCTATGTAATCTACACATACATAAGATACAGTACATATATCCCATTCATTCGTATCAGTGTGACGTCCTCTGTCCAGAAACCATCATATCGGACAGGAAAAACTCCCCAAACAATGAAAAAGTATTTGATGGGGAGAATAAAGGGAAGAAACCTTTAGAGACACAGGACGATCCTCCCTGGGATGGACAGACTGCGATGGACGGACAACGTAAAATATGTATAATACGTTCAATTCATCTGACAGAAATGATTCAGATGAACATATTATCTCATCATGTGTTCATGATCATCTCCTGCTCGTCAGGGGGGAAAAAGACGCTCTTCCTTTAAGTTTATTTGCCGTTATACTGTTAAAAATCCTGGTTTCTAACGTAAGACGACTGACATCTGGTTCAAACTAACGAGACGGTTTGAGCGCCGATCCGCCTCCGAGGAACCCAGATAGCCTGATGTCAATCATCTCGGTAATTTGAGCTGGATAATCGGACATTTGATCGACTTACTTTAACCACGTACGAGGAACAGGGCACATCTTACTTCTGAGGAAATGTTATATATATATATATATATATATATATATATATATATTTTTTTTAACCACGTGTCAGGCGAAGGGCCGTTCATCGCTGCTCGCAGCTTTAATTCTTTATTAGGAGTGTCCGCATAAACGTGTGAATCTATGCGATTAACTGCAACATTTGCAAGTGTCTAAAATACACGTTTTCTAAAGTGATTAGTCATTACTTTTTAGTCTCTTTTAGATTTAGTCTTTAGGAGAAAAACATATTCATTAAACAACATTGTAACAACAACAGCTTTCATTAATCGCCAATAATCGAGATGAATTTCAAAATGTGCATTTAATTAGTTAATTTAAAAAAAAAATCTATTGACAGCCCTATTTATTATTATTATTAGAATCATTTTCCTCACATACAAGGCACTAACTGGTCTCACTGTCTTAGCTTAAGGAGCTTATAGTACCCTATTATCTTACTAGAGAGCAGCACTCCAAGTAACCCAGCATTTATGTGGTTCCAAGGGTTTTAAAGTAGAACGGCTGTCAAGACCTTCAGTTATCAAGCTCCACTTTTGTAGATCCAGCTACCACTTTCATTCTAAGGGTGGCCACACACTCACCTCATTTCAGAGTCGGCTAAAGACTTTCCTCTTTGATTGTGCCTATAGTTAGGGCTGGCTCAGGTTAGCCAGGACCAGCCTTCAGAGAAGCTGCTGTAGGCCTCGACTGCCTGGGGACTTCCGAGGATGGACTGAGGTCCTCTCTTCTCCCTCCTTCTACATGAATTCATGTCCCATTATTAGACACCCCAAACTCTTATCTAATGGCTGGTCCAGACTAACTTGAGCCAGCCAACTCAATCAGCACTCACTCTCGGTCCATCCGGACATGTTTTTCTGACAACAAATTTCTCAGAGAAAGCAGGTGGTACATGTTTTTCAAACTGCCGGTAGAGTCCGATTAGCGTCTGGAGAATATCTTGGCTTCTTGATACTTTGACTTCATAACATTACATTCCATGTCATTTAGCTGACGCTTATCCAAAGTGACTTACAATAAGTGCATTCAACCATACGGATACAAACCGAGAAGAACAAGAAACGAGCAATTGCGGTGCAATTTCATCAATTAAGCCAATTTACAACTTGCTATCAGTAAGAGCCATCATAAGTACAATTTAAGTGTTACACTTCGTTTAGTGTTTTTAGTCAAACTAAAGACACACCTCTTCAGACTATAGTTGAATTCATAGTGATGTTTTTGCATTTAATTGGATAAAAGCTACCACACTTATTTCCGTCCTCTTGATGTTTGACTAACAAGAAGACGAAGGGTAGGTGTGACATGTATTAACTGATTAGAGCTAAATTATGAATTGAATATAAAATAAAATATATCATTACTGGTATTCATTCTGTAGAAGAAACACATGACTCACTTTCAATTTTCTTGATCCTCACCTCCCAGGGAATGAACAGAACCACGATGTTGTAAAGCACACGTGAAAGTTTCTTCAGCAGCTGCAGAAGAAGAAACCACTTACTTACTGAGCGCACTGAATAACACACAGTAATTGAGCATGCAAAAATGATAAAAGCAATGGTGTTATATTAACATCATTTGTTTTTGTAGTACTTGGTCCACAATAACTTTAACGATTCCTCCAAACCTCACAAAATGTGTGTGTGAAAAGGTCTGTGCTCAGCTGCAGGGGAGAGATGTGTGGGAGGGGTTTCGGTCTGATCCACCAGAACCTGGTTCCACATGGGGCTTTGGTAGAAGCAAAGTGGGGGAAGATAAGCTGCGCGCATGGGGATGTTCACAGATATTTTGTTGTTCGAGTGGAAATAAAACACATGGGCCAAGTATTCAGACCCTTTGCTGTGACACTCATATTTAACTCATATGCTGTCCATTTCTTCTGATCCTCCTTGAGATGGTTCTACTTCTTTATTGGAGTCCTGCTGTGTTTAAGTAAACTGGATTGGACTAGGAAAAGGCACACACCTGTCTATATAAGACCTTGCAGCTCACCTTGCATGTCAGAGCAAATGAGAATCATGAGGTCGAAGGAACTGCCCAAGGAGCTCAGAGACAGAATTGTGGCAAGGCACAGATCTGGCCAAGGTTACAAAAGAATTCCTGCACCACTCACGGTTCCTAAGAGCACAGTGGCCTGTGCCCAATACAATCCCAACAGTGAAACATGGTGCTGGTGGTGGCAGCATCGTGCTATGGGGGTGTTTTTCAGCTGCAGTTGCAATTGAAGGATAGATGAATGCGGCCAAGTACAGAGATATCTTGGACGACCCAGAGTGCTCAGGACCTCAGACTGGGCCGACGGTTCACCTTCCAACAAGACAATGGCTTCGGAACAACTCTGAGACAATTCTTGACTGGCCCAGCCAGAGCCCTAACCTAAACCCGATTGAGCATCTCTGGAGAGACCTGAAAATGTCTGTCCACCTTCTGACGCAAGTGGGGAGGATCTGTAAGGAAGAATGGCAGAGGATCCCCAAATCCAGGTGTGAAAAACTTGTATCATTCCCAAGAAGACTCATGGCTGTACTAGCTCAAAAGGGTGCTACACTCTTGCAAACTTTCCACAAAGACAAGGCACTTTGCAGAAAATGTCTAGGTCTGGGATGTGTACCAGGTTACGCCATTTGACACACTGAAGAAAGCCCTTTCCTCTCCTCCTGTGTTAGGCATGTACGACCCGAACAGAGACATTAAGGTGTCAGCAGACGCATCGTCTTATAGCTTTAGAGGTATTCTTTTCCAGATGTGGGCAGATGAATGGAAGCCTATTGCTTATGCATTGCGGCCACTTACTCCAACGGAACAGCAATACGCACAGGTGGAAAAGGAATTTCACATGAGCCTGTGGACGGTTCTGGAATTTCCTGATAGGGAAACATTTTCTGTCTGGAGACGACCATGAACCTCTCGTCAAACTGCTTGGAACACAAGCACTGGATCTTCTTCCACTGAGAATCTAGTGCTTTAGGATGAGACTAATGTGCTTTACACTAAAGTCACGCTCTCCTAACGAATCAGGCATGTCAACAGAAGAGCACGAGCTGATTGAGAGCCCCAACATTTATGTGGACTGTTTGATGCAAAGTCTACAAGCCAGTCCCACATACATGGAAAATCTCAGGGAGCAGCTAAAAAGCTGACCGTGTCTGGTCGTGAGTCATGGCACTGTGCACAGAAGGATGGCCTGTACTGAGAAGGCAAGAACCTTTGCCAACGAGCCACTGGCAAGCGTGAGCTACACTCACAGTGAATGATGGCTTACTGTTGAAGAACAAACGGTTGCATAAATGGTTAAAAGAGGAGCAGCATTGTACACACACCTAGCAATCATGTGTGTGTATTTACATGTGTACTTGTGCATGATGCATATTCTTGTATTCTTTTATTTCTTGTGTAGCCCATTGGAGAAAATGATCAGCACTACAGCCATTGGAGGGCACGGTACTCTTGTCAAGAGGGAAACAGGAAGTGGACTTTGTTCTGCTCACGTGACTGACCCGTGGAGCAGTACATGTTTTTACAAATGTCCATTTAAATGTGTATGTTTGTTTTTCAGATGAGGCCACGAGGCTACTGACGCTTAGACATTGTGCATCTCTGTGCTGTTGTTTCCTCTTCTTGTTGCCTTGGCAGGAGAGTTACCACTGCAGTTATTTTTGTACCGTTACAGAAGGATAATTGTCTTAAATCTTTGTCAGATCATAAAATTGAAAAACCTCTCCAAATTTCTTTAATGCTGCTCCTGAAAAAAAGGTGAATAAATAAATATCCCGAATTATTGAGTTGTGTTTGTTGTCGTTCAATTTCACCCGCCTACATTTAGAACGCCTCTTGTGGACACGTGCTGTCAATTATACAGTTACACACTAAACACATGAGTTATTGTTTATTGTGCATCAGTGTTCGCACAGATCCAACGTGTGGGGGCTGATACGGTCAACACACATCGCTAGATACAACTATACACACTAGATACCACTATACACACTACATGTCACGGTGTGGTTTATCTCCTCTTATTTTGTAGTTTCCGGCCTGCCTTTCTGCCCTGGTTCCTGTGTGCGGTTTGTGTGTGTGTGAGAGGGACAGAGACGGAGGAGAGCAGGGAAAGGAAATGCAGCTGAACGAATACGCTGCGTGATTTAAATAGCGGTTAAAATAAATAAATACACCAAACAGAATGTGTGGCGGCCGGTGTTGAATCTGTGGCGCAGTACGTCACACCTCTAATGCTGCTGTGATCCACATCCAATAAAGCTTAAATAAATGAACACTGTGTGTTCGGTTCTCATCCAGCGTTACAACATCTTTAGTCTCACAAGCACCATCTGTCTCTCCGGCTGCTGGAGATGCCGACGCCTTGGTTTCCCCTTGATGATCATGACCACAATGCCCCATGGATCAATAAAAACAATGTATCCTCACACAGTATTTTATAGGATATCTTAAGAAAATATATTTAGTAAATTTCTGTGCGTTGTTCTGCAAATGTCCAGAAACATGAGCCGTCATTGCGCCTGTAGGAGCCCCAAGAGTTTAGGAAACAAAAGTACTTTGTGTAGTTTAATGACAAATACGGCGACATCTGGTTTGATATGGGACACGGGGACCAGTCTCTACCTGAACGCCTCCATTTATTTATCCTACTAGGGACAACAAGCTGTTTTTCATTCTTTACAAAGATGTGTGATCAAATACATACTGTGAATGAATGACTGACATACATACATCAGCTCCTGCAGTCTGGTAGCCTCTGGTTCTGGTGAGACGGCCCTCATACTTCAGGACAATCTCTCTGGCCTGCCTGGGACACAGAGACACACAGTTGGTAGCTCACTAAGTACATGTACTAACACACTGGTGGATCAAATACTACTGTACATTTACACCTCTAGTACTTCTAATAGATTGCCCTTGTTTTCATCCTGTGGGATGTGCTTATTATGGGTTAGATAACTGAACGCTGGGTGATGGTTTCACAGGGTGTCTTGTTAACAGTCGTCGCCCCAACGTGAAAGTCAATCTTCAAAACACAGGGAGGGAAATCCAGAACCAATTCAACAGGGTACTAAAACCCAGATCCTTCTAAAATCAGTAAAGCTTCTTACCGGTTCCATTATAACGGGTAAAAACAACGGTTTAGCTTTATGGTGACCCAGCACCGGGGGCATCCGAGAGGACAATGAGCCATGTATGAATCAATGGACACTCTGACTCTTCTAGGGAAGAAACTGGACTTTTTACAATTGTGGCATACGTAGGGTTTGTTTGGTAATATTCTATTGTCAGTGAGGAGTGTAAGTATAGAGCATTGGATTCGGCAGAGCAGCAGGTGTTGCAGTGAGAGTAATCGCAGACATTCAGCCTGAGATTAAAGAGGGTGTAAAAACGCAGGCTTGCATCCCTTCCCTGATGACGGTAATAAAAGCTCTGCAGTAATAACAAACGGCCCATATAAAACCTGTTATCCATGGCACATACTCAGCACATCCTGAGCTCTCTATCGGCTCTGCGTTCCACTAGTGTGATAACATTCAGTCAACTGTTCTGTGTGTGGTCACGCAGCACTGTGCTATTGTATATTTTTCCTTTAATATATGTAATATATCCTTTAATATATGATATTTGTAATAGTTCCGATATGGTAGTTATATCATATTATGAATATTGTTTTATATATATATATATATATATATATATATATGTTTCCCACAGATCCAACATCAATGTGTGGCGGCCGGTGTTGAATCTGTGGCGCACCGCCACAAATTAGTCTGTGTGTGGGAAACACAGCATATATAGTTATATAAATATTCATTAATATACTGAATAGTTTGAATAAGGTCCTTATTATGTGTTACTGTTGGAAGTTATAATGCATTGAATCATACTGGGATGTTTACTGAAACTGGCCCTACCCCCAAAAACACACCAGCCACTGCTGCATGTGGACAGTCACAGGTTTATGCGTCATTTGGATGCTGTACCTGGCACAATGCTGAACCATTTACCAAAGACATGCTGCTGTACATGGGACAAGGGGCTATAAATGCTTATGTCTTTGTGACATGTGGCCGCTCCATCCCTCCCTGCAGCCGCGGAGCGCGTCGCCCTGCCGGTGGTCGAAGCCCCGCGTTAAACCCCCCCGGCTGCCGCAGCGCTTTTCCCGCTGGGCACGTTGTCTCGAACCCGACCGCATCGCACGTCCGTGTCCCTTGCACTTATTATTTTTGTTTTATTTTTATTTTTTAGGATATATTTTTTCACGTTCCGAATCTAATGTCTAACTATTCTGACAAATAAAACGTTCTTTGAAATAGGTTTTTGTTTTTTACTACGCTAATACATTGTCATTATGTTATCAGTGGCATAAAATGGTCTGAAAACTGCAATTCTCACTGTGTTCCTAACAATGTCTCCAAAACTATTAAATATTAACATTAATTAAACTTTATTTAAATATTAAACAGATTAAACTATTACGGTGCAAAAGCAAATATATTTTTGTTAGGGCTGTCAATAGATTAAAAAAAATTAACTAATTAATCACACATTTTGAAATTCATCAATCTTGATTAACGGCGATTAATGAATGTGGGTGTTACAATGTTGTTGCACAGAAAGTTTTGCACTTGAAGAAATAGTGCCAGGGAACCTAATACACACAGCAACCGTTATTGTTCAGAAGGCATTTGGCATGAAAGTGCTGTAGGGAAATCTGTGTCTTGTCAAACTCTGGTCAGCACAAAAGGTAAACTAATAAGGAAGAGATCAGTTAGATAGTATCTCTGGATGCATTTCAGTAACGCAGTAATATACACAGTTATCATACCTCTAGAGGTTTTTTTCAGTGAGCAGTGAGTCATTCTCACTTTAAATATTAACATATATAAAGAACTTTAATTGAGAAAAGTAGCTTTGTGAGTGTGTGTATGTGTGTTAAGAGCAGAAGAGTAAACTGTCTACAGATAGAGACGGAACAATCACACTTGTGGGTACTTTAGGACTTTGAGCTTGCGTCTCATTGGCCAGGGTCTGGTCCGAATGTTGGCGATGATCTCCTTCTGGTATTGAATGTTCTGGAACATCTCCTCTGGGTCATTGCTTTCCACCCGCTCATCCTCTTTGTCGTCTTCATCTGAGGAGCTACAGGAGAAGACACAGTGGAACAATGAAAGGGGGACCTGTCGGCTAACATTGTAAAGAGAACTAAATAAAGAATATAATCTTAGTGACTCTTTTTGACTGTCCCTTGAGATCTGATGAAACCCACTAGTTTGTACCCACTCGGTACAGCTTCCTTAAGACAGCTATTCCAAGCAGTTCAATAGAACTTGTTGTATATACTATTTAAGTTACACTCTAAAAAATGTCACCGTAAATTACCACTAACTTACTGGCAGCAAGGACGCCAGGAATTTACCGTTATTTTACAATATAATACCGTAAATGATTTTTACACTATGCTACCGTGAAATGGATTACAGTAAATTGGCGTGAACTTTACTGTCAATTAACGGTAAAATACTGGCAGTGGATGCCAGTAATTTGCTGTTTTTTTATGGTACACTGCCATAGAATACAGCATGTTACCGTATAATGGATTACTGTATGTTACTGTAAACTTGAACCAATTTTACTGTGAATTAACTGCAATTTACTGGCAGTCGACGCTAGTAACTTACTGTTTTATTTACAGTTCCCTACCGTAATATACGGTATGTTGCCATATATTGGATTACAGTTTGTTACCATAGGATTACTGTTTTTGTGTTATAAATACCAGAATGTTACCGTTTAATTATAACCGTATACTTTTGCATTTAATTCCCCACAAATTAAAGAAAGACAACCAAACTCATTTCGGTCATAGTGGTTGGAGTTTATTAGATGCCTTTAAGACAAAAAATGTTTGTAACCAAGAACAAAACATAAAATATGCCGCTTGTATACAATAATAAAAAATGAATCATAAAATCATTAGGAACAAGGTAAACTAACTGCAACAATACGCTATGGAACACTTTCTATTGACCGCAGCAAACGGCTGGCGTCCTTAATCCAGAGCCTCTGTAAAACAAACCAAAATAAAATATTTAGAAACACTGTCATTGGAAAATATTAAAAGTTGAGGAAGACAACAAGATGTAAGGAAGGAGAATGTTAATCATGAAGGCAAATAACACTTACCAACGTTACTTGGAGAGACGAGCCAATGAGAAGCTCCTCCCAAGTTCAACTGACAGGTGTTCTGGATGAACTGAGATTACGCGTCTGACGTCACGTTCAGGAGCAGTCGGTAATCTTTACATTCCGGCCACTGAAACGAAGACATAGGCGGCGCATGGGATAGGGAGGGTGTGCTGTGAAGCGCAAGGTCGCCGGTTCAAATCCTGGCTGCTCCCTGTGCCAAGTCAAAGTGTCCCTGAGCAAGACACCTAACCCCCAATTACTCCACATAGAAGGATGTCAAACCATGGGCGTGTTGGATAACAGTGACAGCTGCATGTATAGTAATGTCCTGAGAGTCAAAGACTTACAGGACCTGTTTTTCAGTCATGGGTATTAAACTACAACAGATGTAGATGGATTGTGATTCACTGCACTTGTATGTGTATTTCCACCACTTCATAAAATATATGTAACATGACGTTGAATTACGGTAGTCTGCTATTATTGTAAATTGACAGCATTAACTGTTTATTCATGACATTGGCCGTTAATTTACAAGCAAGGGATGGAAATGTAACTATGTTACAGTTATTATGACATACTGTAAGATACCGTTAGAAATGCACCGTAAATTTACAGCAATTTGTTACACTGTATGCTAATATATATATATATATATATATATATATATATATATATATATATATATATATATATTAGATTAATGTGGCTGCAAACGGACAACTTAAAGCAGCGCCATGCTGCTAGGCTACGCTCATGGCTGCTACTGAGCATACTGGCATTTCCCGTCCTGCTGAAACTGCATGTTGAACGGCACCTTGTAGCCTGAATCTTTTCCACTGCTGGCCTTTCAATGCATTGTACTTGTCCTTTTCTGGAGGATGTTCAAGAATGCTCACCACTCTGCCTGCTGTCGGACTGCCGAGGGCCGCCACCACGTAGTAATATTCTGTCGTGTTCGCTGTAATGTCTCTGAGGGCAAACTGTGCCTCAGCTTGTGCAAACCACACTGACGCTTGCGTCTCCCAAAACTCTCACGCAATTAGAGGGAAACTGCGTGCGTCGACATGCTCTCTGGAAGCGTCCAGTAGAGGTCAGGGTCACCAATGTCGTCCTCGTGCAGTCCCCTACAGGGACATTGTTGGCACTTCAAATACAGCCTTCAGATGATGGAGAGCTGAGAGCAAAGTGCACGAGGACAGCAGGAAGAGTCGCTAGTTCAACATGTTCCACTCAGTGGAATTCGGCTTCTGAGATGATCAAATGGGTAGTTTTGTGTTTGAAATAACATTAACAATTAAACAACAGTGTCTAATCTACATGATTTTCTAAAGAACTCATTACAAAAACAAAACAAAAACTAACGTTCATTAATGCCGATTAATGAATTTCAAAATGTGCTATTAATTATTTTTTGTTTCTATTTCTATAGTCTATCTATTGACAGCCCTACTATATATAAATACATGCTTGGATATATTTATACTGTATAGTTGTTAAAGGTTCTCTTGATAAATGTTCGACTGCTGGCAAGTCTTTAACTATCTGGTGAATGGGATAATCACAATGAGTGCAGATCAATACTGTCTATTGGGTAATAAATAAGGAAGGAGATTTACAAAAGGATGCATGCAGGGTAACATGCAGGTTTACATGTGGGTACAAGGACTGCAGATACACCCCCTCTACCTTGATGAAACCGGGCCCCAGCAGAGGAGAACATCCCCTGACCGCTGTGGCCAAAGAAGAGCAGAGTGCAACACCTGCGGCTTCGCATGAGGTCAGAGACAAAGAAACGGCACATTGACGTAACATTCGTCTTTTCCGCCGCCGTTTCTCCCGTTTTCTTATGTTACCTTCTTTCTGCATGCAGAAACCCCCGAATCATGAGAAGGAAATGAGAGGAAACAGATACAAACACCACCACACACTTTGTGGGACAGAAGGGAAGATTTAGAAAGATGTGTGTCCGCTTATTGTTTTAGGTTTAATAATCAAAGGGATTATAAATCCTGTGCAGCATCTCGGAATGGGTACATCATTTGAGAAGAAATAACGAAATGAACATATGATATAACCTCAGTAGCATGGAATTATTCATCACTGTTACAAATACAGGCAAAGGATTTTGGCTGCTTTATACTCCAAACCCAAACAAGGCTTAAATTCTCTGTAATTCTCAGCTTAATAAAGCTATATGCTCCATCAGCACCATGCTATTATTTATAAAATAATGGTTGATGTTACATGAAGGAAAAAGTAAAGAAATTGCATTCTGTTGTGTCATTTCCTTCCACACATCTGTCATGTGTACATTTAGCAGTCAATCGCTTTCATAACTTGTGTGATTAATAAACTAAAATCCGTTGGATGACAGTTGAGGGTGACACAGGAAACTCTTTGTATAATGACTAATTATATATATATATTATATATTATAAGCATTTAAAGGCTCAACGAGATGGAAACGATAGTGTGACACAGAGAGAGAGAAACAGAGATCCAGCCAAATAAGAAGGGAGATAGAGGAGAGTAGACTCACCCTTGCTGGTGGTTCTGGTAGGCTGAATAAATCCTTCTGGAGTTCTTCCTGATGCTTTTGTGCCTCCTGGCTGCAGACAGAGACCTGATGCTGCCAACTGAGGGCTCAGACACCGGACTCATGCTGCGTGCAGGTCCGGGTGCTCAGGACTGGACTGAGGTGACTGCAGTGGAGCTGGACCCCACTGGAACATCACACACCACCAAGTCAAGACCGAAACACACTCCGTCACCAGGCCAATCACAGCCGGACTGACCGCTTAAAGAGACAGCACCACAGTTACTTCAGCTGACAAGGTATGGCTGTATATCAAAAGGAGCTCAGTTCTCACAGTAAGTAAACTAATATTTACAGATATATTAGTCCAAGGTAAAAATAAAAATCACTATCTGGAAAGTGTTAGTTCATTGGAGCAGTTACCAGCTGAATGCTGAGCTGCATCTCTAAAGACGAGATAAATGTATTGAGCTTCGATCACGTATACTGTCCATTAACACACCAGAAAGGCTGTACAATCGTGATTGATGAGAATTTTGGACCTGAACCACCAGTATGTATGCAAGTGTTGGTTAGAATACAGGCTACTAGGGATTTCTCTCTCTGGTCCAAAGTGAACATTGTGACTGTGTCTCTAATGTCCACTGAGGACAAACCCCTCTGACCTGGACCCGTCTGTAGCCAATCAGATGTCGCCCTCATTTCAACCAATCACATGGAGAGAAACCTCATGGTTGAGGTCGTAACCTCATTGATGAGGTTTCTCTCCAGCAGCTCCCACCACACGCAGAACTTTATGAAGTCATGAGCACCTCTGCTAATGAAAGAAAATGTTATGCATGAGACACCTGAAATACATTTAATTGAGATGTGAGCCACTGAAACTAGCCGATAGATAAGACACATCATGCAGATTTACCATCAGAACTGTCATCATCTTTTGGTGCACAAATGAGCAGTAGGTGCAAATAGAGATGCAATAAGTATGTAACTGTCACGGCTATCTCAACTAGCCGTCCCCTTTAATGTGAGGGCCCAAACGCAGACACTAGGCAGTGGTGGAAGTGAGAACAAGGTTTATTAAGTGGTGTTGTAGATCTTCGGGGGGGGAGGGAGGAACCTCAGGAAAGGAGATGCACTAAATACAGGACAAGACTGTTGAGAGGAATGATAAATCAAATGGTGACGTCGGTCGTCCTTACTGCGTTAGAATCCACATAGGAGAGGAGGGTGCTGGCTGAATGCTGAGGCTTTCAGTCCACGGTGGGGCCAGCAGGCAGGCAGTGAAGAGGAAGCCAGTAAAGGAACCACCATCAGATAGAACCACCATCACATTGAACCACCATCAGATAGAACCACCATCACATTGAACCACCATCAGATAGGAGCACCATCACATAGAACCACCATCACATAGAACCACCATCACATTGAACCATCATCACATAGAACCACCATCACATAGAAACACCATCACATTGAACCACCATCAGATAGACCAACCATCACATTGAACCATCAGCAGATAGACCCACCATCACATAGAACCACCATCACATTGAACCACCATCAGATAGAACCACCATCCACAGCAGCCTGTGGAGGAGACTTTAGGAAAAAAGCGAAGTGGGAAATGTTGGTTTATGATGACAGTAATGGTAATGTGATTCGTATTCATAATAATAATGATAGCAGCAGCAGTGGTCAGCAGAGCCATGGCAGGAGGCAGGAACAGGGTCCCGACGGAACCTTGATCCATGAGGAGAGAAAGCACATTATGCTGACAGTAATAGTATTGGGAATAATAATGGTGTTAGAAGCGGTAGGTGGTAGCAGGGCCATGGCAGGAGTGTAATGAACCATTACAATACTTTTTGGACTCCCACACGTGCTCAGTGGATGTAATGTTTATTGAATTGATTGTTTAGTATAGATGTTTATAGATGTTGAAGGCCAGGCCAGCCGTTGATAAAAACATTAATTCTTATTATATATTTTTGGATGAATGGTGATGATATGAAGACCACTTACCTGCTGTGTCTCCTTTCCAAGGTATATAAAGACGTACCGTTGAAATTGAGCACCATTTTATGTTTCCGGGAGATACCAAAGGATTGAGGTATGCACTCAAGCTGTTCCAGTCATGCTGCTTCCTAAGGCCAGGCGCCGAGGGCCATCGTAACAAGGTGGCAGGACCAGGGTCCAGACGGAACCACGATCTACAGAAACTTGTGCGGCGAAAAAGTCAAGAGTCAATGCACAGGGTCGTTTAGTCGCGAATGAGGCGAACTTTATTAAACACCCGCTCAAGTTAGTTAGTGTGTGACCGAGAGACGCGCCGATCCGACACAACAGGTCATCAGACCGCCTGAAGCACCGCTGGAAGCCACCAGACGCACCTGGAGGAGTCGCCGAAACTCTAATTGTGTGCGGATAGAACGATATAACCCGCTTTACATTACATTACATTACAGGTCATTTAGCGGACGCTTTTATCCAAAGCGACTTACATTACACTTTAAACACATGGCTTTTCACATTTTTGCCCGGGGAGCAATTAGGGGTTAGGTGTCTTGCTCAGGGACACTTCAACATGGAACATGGGACAGTCTGGAATCGAACCCACAACCTTGTGCTTCCCAGCACACCTTCTCTAACCCCTGCGCCACGGGCCCCACGACAACCCCTTTACTGAAGCAGGGGGGGAATATTCGCTTCGCTTTTGGTGTGAACGCACCATAACAGACTGATCAACAGATACACACATTTGAAAAAAATCCTGTATGTGTAACATACAATAAAGGTATTCTGATTCTGAAATGCAAAGCTCAAAATGTCAAACACGTCACCACAGAGTCTGAAGACTAGTTCAGTATGTTGTGTTGTTCACCTGAAAGCTAGATGTTGCTGGGGTCTCACTTAGAGCTTGGAACAAAGCGAGTTGGGCCTACGTGTTCCTACGTGGTCAACATCCTGATAAGAATCCTTGTCCAGTAGACTGGACCACGGTGAGTCACAACGATGCAGCTCGAGTCCTCACTAAGACAGGAGCCCATCACTCGTGCTGTGAGGCCTTTACACTGTCTTCCTGTCCAACAAAGGCCAAGTGCACTCACACACACATTCTCATCTCATGATTGTCGTTAAAAAGTAGTATTTGCGTGATCATATTGTAAGAAATGAATAAGTAGAGGTTATGCAACAATCACATGCAACAGTCCCGTCAGCTGTACGTTATTTAAACTTTGTTTCATATTGTAAGAGATTCACATTTAGATTTATATGAAACAGGGATATGTGTTCCCATTTGGCAGATATTTGTGTATCAGTGAGGGGATATATTTAGCCATTAGCGTTGAAATTGACTATTGCATTTGCGGTAAATCCTGCAGTCGTATGTCACACAACCTGCCCTCAATCCCCAGAGAGAAGAACAATCATTTTAAAATGCTTTTTGCTTGTGAAAGGGATACGAGGAGGATTTCAGATCTCTCAGTGCACTCTGAATTTTTCTAAAATAGTAATGCAGCATCATATTGACCTGTGAAAATGAGATTTTAGTAGCTGCCACTCTTTATTTTTCCCTTAATCTGATCTGAGAAGAAATTTGAATAATACATGAAAACGTATTATAATTTAGACATTTGACAACGTAAATATATAGATTTGCAAAGTACACGCATTTACCTTATATGTCCACATTGGTTTGTCTTCCTGATCTTCTTCATCTGAATGGTACTGCTAATGCATGATGAGAAGCACAAGCACATCAATGCAACGTGGCTGCACACTGTCAGTTATGACTACTGTATTATATGGATATTACCGTTTGTTCATGTTAGCAGCCTCTATGTCAGTCTCTGTGTGACAATGTTTACCTGACAAAATCTATCTGCTCATCGTGGATGATTTGGTGAATGATGCCAGTAATAACATAGAAGTTTTAAATGTTTTACCAAATATGTACATCATAGAAATCTCAGCTGTATATATTCTGTACAAATAGTATTTGTTCAAGGTTAGGCATGTTGTACTATTACTTGAATCACTAACTACCTCATTCTGTTTAAAAACCCTCGGGATGAACATCCAACTATACTATTGGCCGGACAGATGTTTCCAGGCATTAATGGTGGACCTCACCCCTCCTACGGTGATCTCCTCATAGAGTGTAAAGCCACAGCTGCTATGTATTCCTCAATAGAAAAGACATGAAACACAAAATGTCGTCGGGGGAACTTGTTGGAATTAAAATATAAATCTTCACCTCGTGTGAGGAGGGTCATTGTGAGTAACGCAGGCTTTATTAACGCTCTGTGTGGGAGCTATTATTTAGTTATTTATCCTTGAACATAGTTTGCTTAATTGTTTGGGTCATTGGCTCACTAATTGGGTAATGCTGTGGGCACCTGGGGGTTACTTAGGGGCATAGCCAGGTGGACCAGCATGCACCTGGGGGTTACTTAGGGGCATAGCCAGGTGGACCAGCATGCACCTGGGGGTTACTTAGGGGCATAGCCAGGTGGACCAGCATGCACCTGGGGGACCAGTGAGACAGAGGACAGCACTGCATAGGAATTATTGTGTGTGTGTGTGTGTGTGTGTTAATGTGTTTGGGTGGATTCTATGAAATGAATAAAGAACAAGACAAGAAGGCCTGGACAATGCAGAGTCGACAGCAGAGGGGAGGGTGTCCAGGGTGTGGACGGCCTGCAGAGACCTCTCCTGACTGTAGAGTAGAAGATTATCACACCGGTGGCTGATAAAAAGATCAAAATTACAAAGAAAAAACGCTGCTATTCTTTTATTATTAGCCTTTTCAATCGTGGGAAGTACAATGGAGCACACTGAAAAATGTTTCTGGTCCTCATGTGTTACGTTCGTACAGCACCCCGTGAGGGGAGGGGAACATACACCGCGCTGCCCAGAACCCCAGACGGCCAGAGACCGGGTGTGGGCGCAAGTAATCACACCAACATCGATGGGTCTGGTTTAAACAGGCTATAGCACGTGCCAGTTTATTAATAATAATAATAATAATAATAATAATAAACAATAGAGGGAAATGGGAGGACGGCTGAGCTGATCCAAAACAAAGAAATTAGCAAAACCCCACCCCTTACCTGTCCCAACGTCCTACACAAAACACTTATTTACTCTGGCGCTCGAGCAAGGCGCCCTAACCAAAAATACAGGGGGTGGATCGCTCA